TACAAAAGCACATTAGCTTGCGCTTCTCTGGCAGGAAAGTTAAGTAAAACTGTTTCTTGTAAAATGTATTTCAGCATTTGGTTTTTTACAAGGCTGAAGTTGCTTCTCATTCTCCAGCTTGTTGTTCAATTTTTTCCATTCCACCTTAAATGGTGCCTGAGGCGCCAGAATGTAACTGCTGCACCATTTAAGGTGGAACAGGACAACTCGAATGAGAACCTGATGTTTTAGTGTTTTATAGTTTCTTGTTGCAGATTAAACGTATCAGGAAACCAGCTGAGTGCTTATAAATGTCCATTTGTCTCCAAATTATCGATATTCATCTTAAATCTTTCTCTTTGCCGTTTCGTTAGCCACCAGCTAGGCGAGATTGTTGTCCGCATTGCTATGGTGACCAGCAGTGTGAGCGCCAATCTTCAAGGTTAAAGGGTGAATTAGCAGATATACATTAACTCCAGCACTTAAGACCATTTATTGTTAAACTGTCAGAACAATCAGCAGAGCTTTATTTTACTGCACAGGAGGATTATTTTGTTTTTACCTAAAAAAGCTAATTCTGCTGTGGAGCCGCCTCAGTGTTGCTGACCACTGAGCTAGATGAAGAAAATGTAGACTTTTGTCTGTTTTTTTTTCCAGAGTAATAATGGGACACAGCAGTAGTGATTCCTAAAAAGCAAAGATTATGCTGCCTGTTTTGTGGTGTTACAGCACTTTTTCATTGTACGTATTTCATTTTTCAGTTTATGTTCACTTCTAATTTTGCTTGTATTTCCTCAAGTTTTGGGGGACTAAGAGACAATGTTAAAAGAAAGACCATTTTCTTATTTTGTAAAAATAAGAGAGCACAGTGTTCACTTCTTCAGAAAACACCCCACCGACATGGATAAATGATTTTGGACTAGTCAATGGATGGACAAAATTTTGCACAGTCATGGCTCTGCAAAATCTGCAGGTACAGCCATCTTTGGAAATTGTTGATTATTTTGGGATGATATACATTATTGGTTATATCCAAAGATTTTGGATTTAAGCGAGTTTACAAAGATAGATATTATATGTAGAATGTCTCTCCAAGACACAGATTCTGAAATGGTTATAAATGTTACTTTATTGTTAGGAATTTTTTTCATTTGACAGACCCTAGAGAGAGGTAATTGTCATTAACTAGCCATAAATTAAGTAATTTAATAACAATATTTACATTTGATAAACATAAATAACGTCTTCCTCCTTTAGCTACTTAAACTCAAGCAGCTAGCTAACTAGCTCCCACACAATCATAGCCACATTTGCCCCGTAGTATTCAATAGCAACATTTACTGAAGTGAAAACAGAAAAATAACTACCTCAATACCTGCATTTTTAACAAAACTACTGACCTAATGACTCTTTAAAACTAGCATTAGTGATAAACTTGCTTTTGAACAAACTGACGCACACAAATTGAAATAAACGGTGAAAGTGCCACCAAACTACACAGCACCCTTAACTTGTTACTTCAATCTCAGGGAACTACAGAATAACAGCAGGGACAAAACACGAAGCTGAAAAGTACTAAGCTTTCATTACATTGGCTCTAGTGCCATCTACTGGATATTCCAGAAACAGCGGCTTTAATGATAAACTAACACTGACGACCCCGTGTCCACCAGTGCAATGCATGGAAACGTGGCAGAAGTCTGATATGGACATTCACCCCACCACAGCCTCTGTTTGTTGGCTGTCTGTGCTGTTCTGTTTGGTTTGTCCAGCATCCTTTGCTGCTGACTTCACCCCCAATAGACATGGCCTAGCCAGATGTGCCGACCGGACAGTCCCGTGCCATCGGCAGTATGGCTGTGGGTATGGCCAGCAGACAAGCCCTAGCCTGATGTCCTGGCCGGTCGCACATCTATTAGTGGCGATCCCGTGACCCTGGCTGTATGGCTGCGGTCATGGCCGACCCTCGGATCAGCTCCGTCATCACCTCCACCCACAGTGACACACTTGTCTCCTTCACAGCTCTGACTGCAGCCTGCTCGATAAATGCGTTCATGGGCGCCACCATCTTTGTTTACATCTGCCCCCGGATTTTCCACTGGTGCCAGCCAGCAGGCTCGCCACGCCCTTCAGAATAAGAGTCCTAAGCCGAACAACCCCATGAATAAATGCTGCGGAACACATAACCTGGAACTAACATGAAGCATTTTTCAAACACACTTCAGAATGTACATTTAGTATCATCACTGATCCAACATACTAGGGATGCACCGAAATGAAAATTTTTGGCCAAAACCGAACAAAATAAAACATTTGGCATTAAACATTTTTAACATCCCAGAAGATATGCTAACAAAGCACAATATGGCTTAAATAAATTAGCAAAGATTTGCCCCCCCCTCCCGTAAAAGTAAAAATAAAATATGTCAATATGACTTAAATAAATTAGTAAAGCAAAATACAGGATTATCTCCAAATCTCCAAAATACAGGATGACCATATTACTTAACATAAATAAGTTAAGATGTACCCCCTCTTGACAATTCAGCAGAACAATGTTTGCAAACGGCCTTTAAAATGATTCCACACAGCCGACATGTTCACTGCTTACAAAGAGCGTCTCACTCCACGCTGGTTGCGATTTTATCGCGTTGTTCTAAAATTGGGGTTTGTGTTTCTTTAAGGAGGATGCGGGCACGAGAGAGAGAGAGAGAGAGAGAGAAAGAGAGAGAGAGAGAGAGAGAGAGAGAGAGAGAGCGTGCGTGCGCGTGTGTGTGTTGAGAAGCTGCTGTCTGTCTGCCTCGCTGTTGCTTGTTAAACACCGGCTCTGTTCTTTTCTTTACTCTTTCTGGAGTTACGTTTGGCTCGAGTGCTTGAAACTGAATAAAAGCTGGGAAACTTTAACGCGCTCTGGTGTGACTCGCTATGGAAAGATAACGCGTTAAAGAGCAGCTCTAGCCCTGAATATAAGGTGTAACCGTTCCACTCTGGTTCCCGTCTACGGCCGGGAACTAGAAAAAGATAATAGCGTCATTAAAAACGTCATTGTTCGGTATAAATTATTCGCTCTTTTCGCTTATTCGGCCGAACACACAAAGTGTTTTTTGTGCCATTTTCGACCGGAATAATTTCGGTTGCCGAATATTCGGTGCATCCCTACAACATACCGTTGACAATGAAATTCCATCCTTGACCAAATGATTTGATTCATTATAAAAAATCAATAATGAATCAGTCTCACCCTGCTGTCTGGGGACTCACACCATTTAAAAGGCAACATTGTTGTTTTCCCCTAATCTTCCATCAAAATGAGGCAAAACATCTGATTTTGGGCTATATCCCCATACACCAGCAGGCGGGGAAAATGATGTTAACAATCATAATGTCACGTTTACCTGTAAGAAAAATACATGTATGCAAACTGTATTGATCAGACAGTGTCCAAAAATTGTTGACGCGCTTCAGTGTTTGGAAGCATTAATCCCTGTAAACATTCTGTAAATAATGTATGTGCAAAGTTTATCTCTACACGATAACTACAATCATTGTCCATCCAGTGACTGCTGTCCCACTGCTCTTTGTTCCTTGCCAGTCAACAAACATATCTTATCACGTTTTTGCAGTCATGGAAGTTCATCAGTTTATAGGCTTAGGCCAACTAAGTTCATTACAGCATTGAAGATTCAAACACAGGAGAGGTCAGCATGAGATTTCACTGGTACACATTTCCAAGTGAAGTTTTCTAGCTGCATCATCAGCCACTTTTAGTTCATGAGCCAAAGGTAGAACCTTTATGGTAGAACCCAGCAGAACCACAACTGACATCATGCTGGGCTCCTTAGTCCTGGTTTGGGTTTTCATCTGCCTCCTCTTCCTCTTTGTCAGGACCCAGAGGCCCAAGAACTTTCCTCCTGGACCCCAGCCTGTGCCCCTATCCGGGAACCTGTTTCAGCTGAACATCACCAATCCTCTGAAAGACTTTGAGAAGGTAAAGTATTGGACTGGGTGAATAGGGGCACTTAGAGGGAAATTAAAATATTGAGCTCTAAAGACATGACTAACCTGCAATATGGCCATGGGCCAGCTGTGTTTTGTCATGACCCTGGCTGACCATTGTTTGTTCAAAATATGCCAAAACTACAACGGCAAAAATTTTCTAGCTGCATCATCAGCCACTTTTAGTTCATTACTCGCTGAGCGGAGTGATTTAGCTTATCCCAAGCATTTAGAGTAAAATGACAAAGTGATCAATTCCCTATAGATGGCTTTGTCCTGAATGTGGAAAAGCCTGTAATTGTGTGAATCAAGGCATAGCCAATCGAGGAAAGTTTGCGACAATAAAGTTTAGTGGTCGACGGCTGTGTAACAGAGCAGTAAATAATTATTTCTGTAAATAATCTTAACTATGATTTCTGACCTTCTTGCTAATGAATTCTCAGATAATTCAGCCACAATTATGATTTTACCACAAATTAATATAGTTCCCTCTTTTTTAGATGCTGAACAGCAAATCAGACAGAATCTCTGTCATCATGATTACGAATACCCAGCCCTCCCCCTTATGTCAATGATTTAACAGCGCTCACCCTTACAGGGTGCCCACCAGCGGAGGGAGGACAAATTAATGGAAGTACTTGGAGGGCCTTAGATAGGATTGTTATTTTCCAATATCATTGGCTCAGGTCAGTTAGGTTAGGCACACTGGCATTCAAGAGCCAATTTCATTACAACCATTGTCCATCCAGTGACTGCTGTCCCATTGCTCTCTGTTCCGTACTTGTCGTATCAGAGGTTCACGGTCATGTAAGTTCATCCCTTTATAGCTTTGGGCCAACTAAGTTCATTACAGCATTCAAGAGCCAAATGTCATAAATAAAAGGGGGGTCAACTTGAGGTAGATTACACTGGTACACATTAAAGTTCAGTAAAGCTTATGGTCTATTTGTACAGGTGTGTTGGGGAAATTGTCAGTCTGAATAAAATAAATAATTAAAATATACATTGTGTTGTGTGGCAATAAAATAAATAAATAGTTACAATAAGTTAATTCACATATCTTAATGGTCTTAATTTAAGACTGAAGTATAAATCTAAATTCTGATCAAGAGATTCACCAGGTGATTGTAGTACTGTATTTCATGCAAAGTTGTTCTGTACTGTTTTTATTTTCATGCACTGCAGAGAAGAAGGAGTGTGTATTTTTTTCTTACCCATATTCTGCTATATTCTGCTAGAGATGCTATTAGCCCATCCCAGCACAGGAGGTGGTATTTGCTGCAATACAGGTCGGGAAAAATAGTTTGTGCATTTGAGTACGGCAGAATTCACTTATACGTGTAGAAAAACATTCTGGGAATTTCCCTAAATTTCTATCACTTTATTTGATTATAATCTATAAACTTTACTCTGCATCATCAGGGGGTGAAAGGAATTCAGAATCATAGACAACCATCTCTGAGAAACAAAGTTTGCACACATGTATCTTTGTATTTTTCTAAAACAGTACAAAAGCCATAAATCACCTCATCATTACCAAACACTCCTCCAGCCACCCTTGTGTCAATGATTTAACCGCTCTCTCACACACACTCCTCCTACTTGGTTGATGTGGCTATTTATTGGAAGGAGCTGGTGAGCAAAAGGTAGAACCTTTATGGTAGAACCCAGCAGAGAGCAGAACCACAACTGCCATCATGCTGGGCTCCTTGGTCCTGGTTTGGGTTTTCATCTGCCTCCTCTTCCTCTTTGTCAGGACCCAGAGGCCCAAGAACTTTCCTCCTGGACCCCGGCCTGTGCCCCTGTTCGGGAACCTGTTTCAGCTGAACATCACCAATCCTCTGAAAGACTTTGAGAAGATAAAGTACTGGACTGGGTGAATAGGGGCACTTAGAGGGAAATTAAAATATTGAGCTCTAAAGACATGACTAACCTGCAATAGTTTGTTTATTTGAAGGGATAAATCTGTTTAGACCAGGGGTGACAAACTCAACCAGTAAAGGGGCCATATTGAAATATCTCGACAAATCTGTGCGCCAGCTGTGTTTTGCCGTGACCCTGGCTGACCATTGTTTGTTCAAAATGTGCCAAAACTACAACGGCACTGAAAAAAAGGCACTGAATACTTGAACAATTCAAAAATAATTTTAAGCAAACACAAATTGTTTTATATAAAACAATAGACTACATCAGCTGCAGATCACTGTTAAACCTCTTAAAATGTCCCCAGTGTACAGTAGGTTATTTAAAACAGCCCATTTGCTTGAACCAGACACCTGACAATTTTTTTTGTTTTTGTGGTGCAGTCACATAGATTGTTATTGGGGAGGGGGTGGGAGCACACATTACATTGCAGAGCATGCTGGGAACTGTAGTGCAGTTCATGGTGAGATGGGCTAAAATGAACAGAAATTTAAAATAATTTTGCGGTCCGAATAGGATTGCACAACAGGCCAGACTTGACCAGTGGGCCTTGTGTTTGACACATGGGGTTAAGACTTATGTCAGAGGTATAAATCAAAAACCTGTTGAACTCTATGCTTGTGGTCTTTTCTTCAGTGTAAAAAACTCACTTTATACACTAAAGGTTAGTACAGACAACATGTACTCTTGTCTGTCATCTTGTTACTTCATTTTTTTGTATATCTTATGTACTCAAGCTGTGATTAGATCTTCTCTTGAACTGTATGCTTTCTCTGCTTGATGTATATCTGTAGTTGGCTGAGCGCTATGGGAATGTTTACAGCCTGTATATTGGAGGAACACCAGCAGTGGTTCTTACTGGTTTGAAGGCTGTGAAGGAAGCTTTCGTGACCAAGGCTGCAGACTTTTCAGGACGGCCACAAAATCTCCTAATCAGCCATGCAGCAGAAGGGAAAGGTGAAGTCTATAAACAATTACTGTATAACTATGTACAGAATGTGGTCAGTTAATCTCAACCTCAGACTCTCTGCCTACAGAGATACACAGATCGTCTGATATACTCTGTATAATATTACAGCCACAACTATCAGAATCGCTGATTGACTATCTGTGCTGCTGTGTCAACTAGGTGCCTATAGCATACTTGCCTGCTCTGCACACCACGATAACAGTGATATTTTGGAAGCAACCTATCTTGTGAAATTATTTAGGAGTGTTATTTGAAGCATTTAGTAGCTAGTAAACAAGATATCATACATATTTTGCAACTGGCAAGGCACATTGTTTCTGTTCTTGCTGTAGCATGATTTTGAATTTGGTCTGCATCCTGCAACAAAACTCACTACACTGTCTGACAGCAGTCAGAAGACTGGCTTACAAGACTAGCTTTAAATAAACTGTGTTTTTTTCCTATACCATTAGTCACCAACCCTCCTCCTGGGGATTGACTTTCCTGTAGTTTAGTAGAGTTTAGTTCCAACCTGGATTTAACATGCTGCTCTCATCTTTACATGGCACTTCTGAAGTGACTTCTGAAGAAGTTAATTAGCAGGTTTGGCAGACAGTTGTTGGAACTAGAATTCACTGAAAGGCAGATCTCCAGGACCACGGTTGGCCACCACTGTCCTATACAAATATACTGGTGTTCTTTTACTCATACAGCTAATAGACACTGACAGATGGCACCTGGAAGATATAAGATGTCTTAAATTCTGATATGTGTAAAATGTGCCAGGAATTGTGCTTGTTGATTATGGTCCTACATGGAAGGAGCATCGGCGCTTTGCCCTCATGACCCTGAGGAACTTTGGCATGGGGAAGCAGTCTATGGAGGACAGGATTCTGGGAGAGACTGAACATCTTGTAAAACGCTTGGAAAAAAGTGCTGGTATTTTCATCCTGACACTTCAAAAATTCTAGGTTGTTTACACTGAACAGAGAAGCTCACTATTTTGAGGGTAAAGCTGGACAAAACACTATAACAAATAACTTTACTTGAATTTATATTTGAGCATCTACATCTCCCTAATGAACACAATAATATGTATTTTGATTTTGAGCCAAGGTGTCAAAATGGTTAATTAGGGCTGCATTTCGTATCTTGGCTACAGCTATAAGACCTTTAGGAAGGAAATAGCTACACCATTAAACATTATGCAGTCATATTTGACATTAATTTCTGAATGTACGTGTATCTGTGTAGGGGGCTTCATGAATCCTCAGACCGTGTTCCATGATGCTGCATCAAATATCATATATCTGGTTTTATTTGGAATTCGCTATGACTACGGAGATGAAACCCTTAAACAGTATGTTAGCCTCTTCACTGAATTTACAAAAACCACCAATGGACCATGGGGAATGATAGGACTTTCTACTATTAACATATAATATAGAAATATAATTGTTTCTCGCTTTATATTTTGAGCTTTATATTATTATACTGGTAGCATGTTGCATTATCTTTGGAACAGTACATGTTGTTTGAAAGTTAAAATGTCTTTCTTTCCTATAGATATATGATACACTTCCTATTCTGAGAGCCCTGCCCCTTCCTTTTAGGAAGGCTATCATAAACTTTGAGATACTCAAAAAAATGATAGCAAGTATGATCAGTAAACACAAGACATCAAGAGTCCCCGGGGAACCAGAAAACTTTGTCGACTGCTATCTGGATGAGCTTGATAAGGTGTGTGTGCTTAAATGTGAAGATTTTTTTGGTGTTATTAAAGAGAAATTCTGAGATCACTTCCTTTAACACAACAGATTATATCTTCTCTAATATGCACAACCTTATCAGATGATGCTTTCTGTTCAACAGAGAGGAAATGATGGGTCTTTCAGTGAAGAACAGCTTGCAAGATACATTGTGGACCTGCATGGTGCTGGGACAGATACCACCTCCAACACCCTGCTAACAGCATTCCTCTACCTCATAACACATCCAGACATTCAGGGTGTGGACTATGAACTATCCACTGCGTTTGATCATACTATTTGTTTTTTTGATAGATTTACTAGAGGCAGTAATTGCTTCATACGCCTGCTCTGTCTACTTTCTAGAGAGATGTCAGAAGGAGATTGATGAGGTTCTGGAGGGTAAAGCTCATGAATATTTTGAGGACAGACACAAGATGCCGTACACGCAGGCTGTGATGCATGAGTGTCAGCGTATTGCTAGAACCGTCCCTCTGGGTGTGTTTCACTGTGCCAGCAGAGATACTGAACTGATGGGCTACAACATCCCAAAGGTGAAGATCTGTCTTTTCCGTCTGTGTTTCTTAACTTAAGCCACATCTTTAACTTTGTCTTTCCTTCCTTTTTTTTCTTCTTCTGTTTTTCAGGGTACTGTAATCATCCCGAACCTCGCCTCAGTGCTGAGTGAAGAAGGCCAGTGGAAGTTTCCTCATGAGTTCAATCCAGCTAACTTCCTGAATGAGCAGGGACAGTTTGAGAAGTCTGAGGCCTTCATGCCCTTTTCTGCTGGTTAGTGTTCTGAACAGTGTAAATATACACAGTGAACAAATCCCAGAAACTGGTTTGTCCAATATTAGTTAAACTTAAACATCCCTGCTTGGCCCATTTTAGTGCTTTTCCTGCATTAACACATCTACTTAAATCACATTTAAAAGGCTGTATTTATGTATTATCTAATTAGTTCTCAGATATCTAAGGTGATCTGAAGAACTAGTGTAATGTCAGAGGCATGTGAAATGGCTTTATTTGGGGCAGTCCAGCACTCAAAGAACTGACAGGGGTCAAAACACAGGTAGGCAAAACTACAGGCCGAAAACCTGTCTGAAAACCAGGTGTATACACAGGAGTCTTAGGCCCAATACCATTTCACCCCTCGCCCTTCCCACTTAGCCCTTAATTACTAAGTTCACTAATTCACTGAATTCACTAAGTAAGTTTTACTTTCCCTATTGTCAGATTTTGCTAACATAACGTTCTATATATCTTGTAGTTTTTGTAAACGGCTTTTTTTACAACGTGGAAATCGCTAATCCTGATGAACTTACAAAGTATGGTGACGTGTCTTTTACATGTGTGTAGGGCCTCGTATGTGTCTTGGTGAAGGTCTGGCTCGCATGGAGCTCTTCCTCATCTTGGTCACTCTGCTGCGTCGGTTTCAGTTCTTCTGGCCTGAAGATGCAGGAGAACCAGACTTCACTCCTGTATATGGAATCACACTCACACCCAAACCGTACAGGATGGGAGTCAGACGGAGACAGCCAGCTAGAGAAACATAGAACATGATGAAAAAAATATTAATATACTTGAGAATTATAATATTTAATGATTCTTTATAAATTATGATGTAAATTAGGGTCAGATTAGATAGCTGCGTATGAAAGTTACTTCCAACTACAACCACAGCACTAAAGATTTTTGTGATGAACTTCATTCTATGGTTTACATGCTTTCACAAAATAAAGCTTTATGTTTGATGGATGTCACTAACAAAGTAAGTTCGGAGACTATTTAACAACAGTTCTAACTGAGGAGCAACTGTATCAACACAACACCCCACAGTCAGAAGCAATAATAATTACAGTCATTTTTTAAAGCTCTGCAAAAAAATGTTAAAGGTCTCAGCTGATTGAGCTATTTTAAAAAGAACTCCCATTCCAAAGTCTGACCACTGGAGTCTCAAGTTTTTTGGTTGTTGTTATTCCAAGGATAAGACAGTCCAACAGTCACAGGCATTTAATCAGAAGCAATCTTAAAACACAGGGAGGGAGAAGGCAACTACACCAAAAAACAAAAAACAAACATGCAAAATGCAACCCTTTATAACATAAAGGAGAATACCAAAACAGTCACTTCCAATTCCTCAATAGAAATCACAACTCAAAACCTAAATCAAGTGATGAAACCAACTGTTTATACATAGGTTGATCTTTATTATTAATGGTCCCCAGACACTGCAAAAAAACACAAGATTCCCTTTTTTTCGCAATTGAATTTGGTTAACTGGTTTGCTTGATTTAGTATCTAAGGCACAATTACTTTTTCACATAGGACCAGGTAGGTCTGAGCAGCATTTTTACATCAATAAATGAAATCATCGTTAAAAACAGCATTTTGTGTTTGGGTTATCTTTGTCTAATACTAAAAGTGGTTTGATGATCTGAAACGTTCAAGTGTGACAAATATGCAACATAGAAAAAACTGGGACGGGGACATATACTTTTTCACAGCACTTTACATAACAATGACATAATCATGAAATAAACATGTCATTGCAGATGTCATATGTCATTGTGAGTTGTCACGATAGATAATGTCCAGTAATACAACAGTGTCTTGTTATTGTTACCATTGATCGTTGTGACGGATGCAATAGATACAATAAGGTACATTCAGCAAATAAACAGTAACTGTGCATTAAAATGTGCAGAAGTGTTTTCTCTGTAGAGGATGTGTTAAATTATTTTCACTTAGAAAATCTTTTACTCAGCAAAACCTAATTTGAGCAGAGGAGCCCAAACTTTTGCATATGACTGTAAATGTCTTACAAGATCCAAATGTCCTTGTCTAAGTAGAAATGATTCAATTGCATATCGTAAAAGACAAAAAAACAAAAGCAATGCAAGTGTATGGGGATCACCCAGCTAAGGACCTTTTCTGGGCTATGAGGCTTCATGGTGGCCACACCATAGTCATGAGACCGCCTGGGCTGAAAAGGACTCTTTACATGCCAGCTTAGTGACTCTGGTCTGGGGAGTTTTTACCAAAGCCAGCTGAGGTACTGTGTTTGTGTGTTGTAGGTTGTTTTACTTCTGTAAAGCAGGGGTTTGAGAAAGGTGCTCTATAAATTAAATATAGTATTATTATTATTATTATTATTATTATTATTATTATTAATATCAGTTTTTTGAGCTTCTTGTTTTTTCCAGCTTTCCATTTTTTCAATTCGGAGTCATTCTCACTTTCTCTAAAAGCTCTGCTGATCAGGCCATGTATCACTTAAATAGATTTCTTTTCCAGGAGAAAATAAGCAAAATTGTGCAGCTTTTATATGGCAGGGCAGGTTAAACTCTAACGAGAATTGACTGGACCCCTTCACTCTAGTTACCATCTTTTCAAGACATCATCACTCAAGATCACGTGTCAGACTCCAGTGTTGGCAGACCAAAGCACTGCATACTTTAATGTTTGCCTCATTCAACTCATCAGCTAAGCAGCAAGGCCATCATTAGTTGAATTCAGAGTGTTAGAAGAGGGAAAATGCTAATCTTTGCAGTGCTGTGACCTGAGAGGAACCCAGTTTGCAACCCCTGCCCTAGAGTAGTGACCAGCACTACTCCTGGACATTTCTTGCAAAGTTTCTACAAAAGTTTAGTCTCAACCATTGTCCACCACACCTGATCCATCTAATAATTCTCCTCAGATCTCTTTGACTAGCTGCATCAGATGCGTGAGATTTGGGCTGAAGGTGAAACATGCAAGACGGTTGATATCTCCAGGAAGAGTGTTGGTGACCAAGGCCCTAGAGGTTTATATGGGTGACCATATGTACTCTTTTTGGGAAAATCGTATCCAGTCTGGATTTTAAAAAGTCAGAGATTTGTCTTTGCCTCCATGTTGCTTTCCACAGTTTGCTCCCGTGCCACCCTGCTGCCCCCAGTGTTCTCTTTTTTTGAGAAACAAAATATGGTCACCCTAACATATGTTTGTTTTACAAAGATGAGGCACAGTTAAATAACAATGCAATTAATTATTTTGTGACACAAAAGAATCCAAACTATCAAATCACACTTGTCAGATTTATTCAGAAGAATAACAAGAACAGTTTTATGATGATTACCACAATGAATTGAATTAAAAAGAACATAAAAATATAAAATTATGTCAGTCTAGACTTCTGTCCTCTATTTCAATGTTTGTGTGTGACCTCTTTGTTCCACCTTCTTTAGGGTTGAGGTGTCTTCTCCATTTTTCCCCTCTGACCTCTGAAGTCCCCCCTGACTCAGAAATAGCTCATCCTTATAACAAATCCCTTATTAATATTGCTACCATACTCCATTAAGTACAATACCATACCATAACATTCAAAGCTACATTGATGTCACTTTCACCAATAATGAAAATGGTAGAATAAGCTAAGGCTCAGGATCATCTCCTGAGACACTCTGTTCTGCAAAAGGTAGCATATCATTCCCTGGATCATACCTAGCCAGAGTGACAAAGGTCAAACAGTGATGAAAAGAATGGAAAGTTACCTCTCGTACTGTAGTAGAGTATTACATAACAATCGTCAACCAAAGGGAACTAAAGATACAGTTCATTATCAGTAAATCACACACCAGCAAAACTATTCAAGAGAGAAAGTCAGATTCTACATTTCTCTAGCTGGCTGTCTCAGTCTGACCCCCATCCTGTATGGTTTAGGTGTGAGTGTGATTCCATATACAGGAGTGAAGTCTGGTTCTCCTGCATCTTCAGGCCAGAAGAACTGAAACCGACGCAGCAGAGTGACCAAGATGAGGAAGAGCTCCATTCGAGCCAGACCTTCACCGAGACACATATGAGGCCCTGCACATGGAAAATACATCAGCAACTCTTTTGTGTCAACCAGTGTCATCTATTCATTAGGGCATGGTTTCTGTACTAATCTGAGACTATTACATACTTTTCAATTGTCAGCATCATTTAGCCCAAGGCAAAGCTTCAAGGAATTCCTCAACCAAAAAAATGCTGAAATGAATAACAACTAATAGGAAAAGATCTATCAGCAAAGTATTCTTTCATTTTTGTCAAGAAAAGAGGTGTGAATGATTTTGTGGTAGTCCAAAACTCTCACCAGCAGAAAATGGCATGAAGGCCTCAGGCTTCTCAAACTGTCCCTCATCATTCAGGAAGTTAGCTGGATTGAACTCATGAGGAAACTTCCACTGGCCTTCCTCACTCAGCACTGAGGAGAGGTTGGGGATGATGAGAGTACCCTGCACCACAGGGAAAGACAAAAACACAAACGAGTAAAAAAAAGAAATGAGTGACATTGCATGGAAACAAAGTATCTTCTGTATCCTCACCTTTGGGATGCTGTAACCCATCAGTTCAGTATCTCTGCTGGTGCAGTGAAACACACTCAGAAGGACAGTATTGGCCCTGCGCTGAGATTCATTGATCACAGCCTGTGTGTACGGCATGTTGTGTCTGTCCTCAATAGATGCATGAGCTTTACCCTCCAGAACCTCATCAATCTCCTTCTGACACCTCTCTAGAAAGAGCAGACAGAAGGCATATGGTACCATTACTAGCTCTTTTATCAAATCCATTAACAAATTTTTTGCAAAGAGGGCAAAAGACTTAAAAAAGAATGCAATGCGTATTTTCAGACCCTGAATGTCTGGATGCGTTGTGAGGTAGAGGAACACTGTAAGGAGAGTGTTGGAGGTGGTATCAGTCCCGGCAAAGTGCAGCAAAGTACATCAAAAGCTGAGAGTCTGTAAAAGAGGAATCATCATCTCCTCTCTGCTGAAAACAAGATGCATCCATACATACAAAGTGGCCTAAAACATAGCAAGATGGCAGAAGTAATACACTGACATGAGTTCTTTCAAGCATCCTAAAATCAGCCCACTCACACCTTATCAATCTCATCCAGGTAGCAGTCGACAAAGTCTCTCGGCTCTTCTGGTACTCTTGTTGTCTTGTGCTCGTTGACCATCTTTGCTACCATCTGTTTCATTATTCTGACAATTGTAAAAGACCTCTTAAAGGGAAGGGGCAGGTTTCTCACCACAGGAAGTGTATCATAGATCTGCAGGACAATGAAACATGTTGGTTGTCATATTATTAAATGGACTAATAAACTGCTAGCATTACAAAAGAATTACTATGTGTACTATTAATGAATGATATTGCCATACAGCACTGTGCAAAAGTCAGAGACCACACTTTCGTTTATTTACTTTCTAAACAACATTTTATTGGAAAGAAATGTATTCTATGGCGAGATAATGACCCCAAGCACACCACTGAGAACGTTAAGACTTTAGCTGGTGTTCTCAGACCATTGGTCCTCATTTACCAATTTCTTCCTAAGTTTTTTCTTGAATGTGTTCTTGAGAAAGGTCCTAAGAAACAATCTACATCAGATTCATGATGTGTTCTTAAACTGCAGACTTGTTGGCACCTTTGTGCTCTTGAGTGTGTGTAGATTCGGTTCTTACCTAAGAACAAATCCCAAATAAGAAAACATTGGTGAATGTCAGAATCTCTGTGAAAACTGCATAAGTGAGTTTTATTTTTTTCTTAAGAACAGTTGGTGAATGAGTCTCATTGAATTAGCTACCCAGACCTCCACATGAATGACTGTGTTTGGGATCACTTGGATCATGAAAAGCAGCAAATGCAACCAACTTCTAAGACTGAACTTTGGAGGTGTGGAAAAATCTCCCTGCTGATTTCTTTGAAAAATTGGCAATCTTTGCACTTTCAGTAAATAGAGGAATGAACTGCTCGGGTCTCTCGTTCCCATAGTCATAACACACCAAATAAAACAAGGTAGATTATATTTGATGCAGCATCACGAAACAAGGTCTGAGCATCCAGGGAACCACCACAGAGATCATACCTATTAACTGATAATGTTACATGGCTGTACAAATATTTGTTTTTCGGGTTGGTAGATACTGGTCTGTTACATTACTGACAATTTTTTGATGCTTTCAGAAAACTGGCAGATCAAATCATATAACAATTTTTTGATTTTGCTCATAAAACAGACAATACAGTTTCCAAAGTACCATGACAATATTACCAGCACTTTTCTTTAACCGTGCAACAAAAGCTCAGTCTCTCCCAGAATCCTGTCCTCCATTGACTGCTTCCCCATGCCAAAGTTCCTCAGGTTCATGAGGGCAAAGCACCGATGCTCCTTCCATGCAGGACCATAGTCAAGAAATACAATACCTGCCACATTTTACACATTAGTTTCAAAGTTCAGTGCACTTAATTATTTACCATTCTCTTTTTTTTATATATATATCTCGAAGGCCGCACCCCCACCCCAGCCTCATTCACCAACATGTTCTTAAAAAAATTTCTTCTTAAAACCCAATTATGCAGTTTTCATGAAGATTCTGACATTCACTAATATTTTGGGATTTGTTCTTAGGTAAGAACAGAATCTACATGCACTCAAGATCACAGAGGTGCAAACAATTCTGTGGTTTAAGTACACGTCATGAATCTGACATACAAATTTAAGACAAATGTAGGAAGATATTGGTCAATGAGGGCCTTTTCTAATGAATTTTGATCCTTCTTATAACATGTCCAAAATAAGAGCTTCAGTTTGTTTATCTGGGCTTCGAGTGAGAGAGGAGGCTTGATTTAGTCAACGATCCATTTGTTTTCTTTGTTGTACAAGGTACTCTTAAAAGTCTTCACCAGCACCAGTTAAAAGGCATCAATATTTTTCCTGTCTAACTTTCTTATTGTTCAGCTTCCCCATCCATAATAAACCACAGAAAAGACCACAGCCTGGACGATTCTGATCTTTGTTTATAGAGATAAATCCTTACATCTGAAGATCTTTCAAAGCTTTTTCTTGTTTGTGCTGCCAAATGCCAATCTGTGTCATATTCATGTGAATGGGGAAAACACTCACAACTCCATTGTTGGCATCCTGAGCAAAACTGATCCTCAGTGGTAATCCATAATGGGAAATATTGTGGATTCTGCAGATTGTCTTGGGAAGCGAGAGGCTGGTAAGTATGGGCAAGTCATCATGCAGTTCACACTGAAATACCACTGTGATACCATTTGGAAAATGACAAAAAAACTGAAGTGTGCAAGAAGTTCGGCGTCCACTTCAAGCAAGACTTCTACAAGGCAGATTGAAGCGCTGAAGCATGGCAGATAATAGAGCATGTTAAATTGAAAGACAGTCGTTTTTCTATATTACGGTTACACTTATGGTCAAAGGGTAACTCTTAATTAGCTAGACCAGGGGTCAGCAACCCAAATGTTAAGAAGACCCATTTTGTTGTTTCAACAAAAATCAAACCACCTTGGGAGCCACAACACTGTATGTCCATCTTACCATCTTGGCTCTAGGTATGTCTCAGTATGTGCTAAAGCACTAGTATAGGATAAAAATATAAACGAAAACACACTTACTTTGCTCTAGTTTAAGCTTGAGCTCAGCTATAGCCGCTTTTCTCACATCTTTGGCAGGAAACTTTTCCATAAGGGTAGAACAGTTTCTTATAAAATGTCTCTCAACGTTCGATTTTTTACAAGCTGAAGTCGCTTCTCATTCTCCAGCTTCTCATTCAAATTTTTCCGTTCCACCTTCCAACTGGAGCATCAGTTACATTCTGGCACCTCAGGCACCATTTAAGGTGGAACAAGAAACTTCGAACGAGAAGCTGACTTCAGCTGCGCAACGTTTCAGCGTTTGACAGTTTCTTGTTGCAGATTAAACATATCAGGAAACCATCTTATAAATGTCCATTCGTCTCCAAAATATCAATGTCCATCTTAAATCTTTCTCTTTGCCTTTTCGTTAGCCACCAGCTAGGTGAGATTGTCTGCGTTGCTATGGTGACCAGCAGTCTGCACGCCAACCTTCAAGGTTAAAGGGTGAATTTGCAGTTATACCAGAGAACTTGTAGAGAGGAGAATTACTGCTCTGCAATGTCTTCTCAAATGCTAGAGGGCGCTCCCGAGTGAGTCCAAAATGATTGGGTTGACATGGAGCATTTGAGCAAAATCATAGTTTACAAATGCTTAAACATTTTTAATGTAAAAGAATACATTCATTTCCTGAACACAGAACAGCATAAAACATTTTAACACTGCTGTTATATTTTTAACAGCTTTTAAACTCGAGCTATAGGGGTTTAAAAAGGCGCCTCATGTGCGTCCATGACGTCAGTGAGCGCAAACAGCCAATGAGCTGCTTTTCGTTTTTAGCCGTTGAGCTCCATTCACTCCCATTCATTGAGGACTCACTCGTGAGTGCCCTCTGCTGTTTAGCAGTCCTGTTTTTGTTATAACAGGGGGAATAGGAAGTGGCCAGGCTCCTCATAAACTGGCTCTGGTTAGACATTAACTCCAGCGTTTAAGACCATTTATTGTTAAAACTGTGTAGAACGATCAGCAGAGCTTTATTTTACTGCAAGGGAGAATTATTTTATTTTTACCTAAAAAAGCTAATTCTGCAGCGGAGCTGCAAAAGAGGCTGCATGATGCCGACCACTGAGCTAGACGATGAAAATGTAGACTGTTCAGAGCAATAATGGGACACAGCAGTAGTGATTCCTAAAAAGCAAAGTTTTTGCTTCCTGTTTTGTGGTGTTATAGCACTTTTTCATCACAAGCTTTCATCTACTGGATATTCCAGAAACAGCGGCTTTAATGATAAACTAACACTGACGACCCCGTGTCCACCAGTGCATGGAAACGTGGCAGAAGTCTGATATGGACATTCACCCCACCACAGCCTTGTTTGTTTGCTGTCTGTGCTGTTCTGTTTGGCTTGTCCAGCATCCCTTCCTGCTGACTTCACCCCCAGTAGACAAGGCCTAGCCAGATGTCCCGGCCGGACAGTCTTGCGCCATCGGCAGTATGGCTGTGGGTATGGCCAGCAGACAAGCCCTAGCCTGATGTCCTGGCCGGCTGCACATCCATTAGTGGCGATCCCGTGACCCTGGCTGTATGGCTGCGGTCATGGCCAATCCTCGGACTAGTTCTGTCATCACCTCCACCCACATGACACACTTGTCTCCTTCACAGCTCTGACTGCAGCCTGCCCGATAAATGCGCCACCATCTTTGTTTACATCTGCCCCCAGATTTTCCACTGGTGTCGCGGGACCCAGCCAGCAGGCTCACCATGCCCTTCAGAATAAGAGTCCTTAGTAGAACAACCTCATGAATAAATGCTGCGGAACACATAACCTGGAACTAACATGAAGCATTTTCAAACACACTTCAGAATGTACATTTAGTATCATTACTGATCCGACATATTGTTGACACTGAAATTTTATCCTTGACCAAATGATTTGATTCACTATAAAAAATCTATAATGAATGAGTCTCACCCTGCTGTCTGGGGACTCCATTTAAAAGACAACAGTATTGTTTCCCCCCAATCTTCCATCAAAATGTAATGACTTTTGCCTCACCTCTATAACATCTTCTGAATTTGGGCTGTATCCCCATACACCAGTAGGCAGGGAAAATGATATTAACAATCGCATCATGCTTTCCCATAAGAAAAATACACGTATGCAAATTGTATTGATCAAACAGTGCTCAAAAAATGTTGTGCTTGAGTGTTTGGAAACATTAAACCCTATGAAACAATGTATGTGCAAGGTATCTCTCAAAAGCCATTGGCTTAGGTCAGTTTAGACAGCAGTCACTACAACCGTTGTCCATCCAGTGACTGCTGTCCCACTGCTCTCTGTTCCTTACCAGTCAACAAACATATCACGTTTTTGTGGTCATGTAAGTTTACTACTTTATAGGCTTAGGCCAACTAAGTTCATTACAGCATTCAAGAGCCAAATTTCACAAAGACAGGGGAGGTCAGCCTGAGATTACACTGGTACACATTTTCTAGTTGCATCAGTCATTTTTAGTTCATGAGTGGAGGGATTTAGAGTGAAATGATGAAGTGATCAATTCCCTATAGATGGCTTTGTCCTGAATGTGGAAAAGCCTGTAATTGTGTGAATCAAGGCATAGCCAATCGATGAAAGTTTGCTACAATAAAGTTTAGTGGTGGACGGCCGTGTAAGAGAGCAGTAAATGATTATTTCTGTAAATAATCTTAACTATGATTTCTGACCTTCTTGCTAATGAATTCTCAGATAATTCAGCCACAATTATGATTTCACCACAAATTAATATAGTTCCCTCTTTTTTAGATGCTGAACAGCAAATCAGACTGAATCTCTGTCATCATGATTACGAATACCCAGCCCTCCCCCTTATGTCAATGATTTAACAGCGCTCACCCTTACAGCGTGCCCACCAGCGGAGGACAAATTAATGGAAATACTTGGAGGGCCTTAGATAGGATTGTTATTTTCCAATATCATTGGCTCAGGTCAGTTAGGTTAGGCACACTGGCATTCAAGAGCCAATTTCATTACAACCATTGTCCATCCAGTGACTGTTGTCCCATTGCTCTCTGTTCCGTACTTGTCAACAAACGTGTTGTATCAGAGGTTCACGGCCATGTAAGTTCATCCCTTTATAGCTTTGGGCCAACCAAGTTCATTACAGCATTCAAGAGCCAAATGTCATAAATAAAGGGGAGGTCAGCTTGAGGTAGATTACACTGGTACACATTAAAGTTCAGTAAAGCTTATGGTCTATTTGTACAGGTGTGTTGGGGAAATTGTCAGTCTGAATAAAATTAATAATTAAAATATACATTGTGTTGTGTGGCAATAAAATAAATAAATAGGCATAATAAATGTGAGCTTGGATAATTGCTTAAAGTGAGTACACACTTGTGGCAAGCCTCACTCTTCCACTGCATACTGTCTTTAATTTATATATTGTAACAGTGTGAACCAATTATGTACCAATCCAAGAGGAGATATGCTCATGTAGTTTATGTACGACTCCATTCCATTTCCTAAGTTAATGTAAAACGTCTTAATGGTCTTTTCATATGGCTTTGTTAAAGACTGAAGCATAAATCTACACTCTGATTTGTATCTGTGTGTGATCTGTATCTATATCTGTACTGTTTTTATTTTCATGCACTGCAGAGAAGAAGGAGTGTGTATTTTTTTTTACCCATATTCTGTTATATTCTGCTAGAGATGCTATTAGCCCATCCCAGCACAGGAGGTGGTATTTGCTGCAATACAGGTCGGGAAAAATAGTTGTTGGTGCATTTGAGTACGGCAGAATTCACTTATATGTGTAGAAAAACATTCTGGGAATTCCCCTAAATTTCTATCACTTCATTTGACTATAATCTATAAACTTTACTCTGCATCATCAGGGGGTGAAAGGAATTCAGAATCAACCATCTCTGAGAAACAAAGTTTGCACACATGTATCTTTGTATTTTTCTAAAACAGTACAAAAGCCATAAATCACCTCATCATTACCAAACACTCCTCCAGCCACCCTTGTGTCAATGATTTAACTGCTCTCACACACACACTCCTCCTACTCAGTTGATGTTGCTATTTATTGGAAGGAGCTGGTAAGCAAAAGGTAGAACCCAGCAGAACCACAACTGCCATCATGCTGGGCTCCTTGGTCCTGGTTTGGGTTTTCATCTTTCTCCTCTTCCTCTTCGTCAGGACCCAGAGGCCCAAGAACTTTCCTCCTGGACCCCGGCCTGTGCCCCTGTTCGGGAACCTGTTTCAGCTGAACATCACCAATCCTCTGAAAGACTTTGAGAAGGTAAAGTACTGGACTGGGTGAATAGGGACACTTAGAGGGAAATTAAAATATTGAGCAATAGTTTGTTTATTTGAAGGGATAAATCTGTTTAGACCAGGGGTGACAAACTCAACCACTAAAAGGGCCGTATTAAAATATCTCAATAAATCCGTAGACCAGCTGTGTTTTATTTTGTTTTTACTTAACATTTTGCCATGACCCCAACTGACCATTGTTTGTTCAAAATATGCAAAAACGGGAAAAAAGGCACTGAATACTTGAATGATTCAAAAATAATTTTAAACAATCACAAATTGTTTTATATAAAACAATAGACTACATCAGCTGCAGATCACTGTTAAACCTCTTAAAATGTCCCCAGTGTACAGCAGGTTTTTTAAAACAGCCCATTCGCTTGAAATAGACACCTATTTATTTATTTATATATATATATATATATATATATATATATATATATATATATATGGCAGTGCAGTCCCATAGATCATTGTTGGGGAGGGGGTGGGAGCACACGTTACGCTGCAGAGCATGATGGAAACTGTAGTGCAGTTCATGGTGAAATTGGCTAACTGGCAAACTATATATCTAATATAAAAGGTACAAACTAAAAACCTGTTGAACTCTTGCTTGTAGTCATTTCATCAGTGTAAAAACTCACTTTATACACTAAAGGTCAGTGTAGACAACATGTACTACTGTGAACAGCTGGTGTCTTTTGGCCAGATCAGTGTTTGCTGCTTGTCTATCATCTTGTTAATTGATATTTTTTGTATGTTTTTATCTACTTAAGCTTTGATTAGATCTTCTCTTGAAAGACTGTATCCTTTTCTGCTTGACATGTTTCTTTAGTTGGCTGAGCGCTATGGGAATGTTTACAGCCTATATATTGGAGGAACACCAGCAGTGGTTCTTACTGGTTTGAAGGCTGTGAAGGAAGCTCTGGTGATCAAGGCTGCAGACTTTTCAGGACGGCCACAAAATCACCTAGTCAGCCATCTAACAGAAGGGAAAGGTGAAGTCTATAAACAATTACTGTATTACTATGTACAGAATGTGGTCAGTTAATCTCAACCTCAGACACTCTGCCTACAGAGATACACAGATCGTCTGATATACTCTGTATAATATTAAAGCCACAACTATCAGAATCGCCGATTGACTATCTGTGCTGCTGTGTGGACTTCTGTGCATTGTTTTTTGCAGTCCGATGAGAACTTAATAGTTACCTGTAGCAGCCTGAGGATATACTTGCCTGCTCTGCACACCACGATAACAGTGATATTTTGGAAGCAACTTGAAATTATTCAGGAGTTTTATTTGAAGCATTTAGTAGCTAGTAAACAAGATATCCTACATATTTGCCAACTGGCAAAGCACATTGTTTCGGTTCTTGCTGTAGAAGCATTCTGAATTTGGCCTGTATCCATACATCACACAAAAACAAGTCTATGATTAGTCAGTTTGAATGTCAGTAATACAGCCCCTTCCTGAGAAAGTAGGCAGTGTTTTGCCACATTGAGCAACAAAACTCACCACACTGTCTGACACCATTTAGAAGACTGGCTTGCAAGACTAGCTTTAATTAAACTGTGTTTTTTCCTATACCATTAGTCACCAACCCTCCTCCTGGGGATTGACTTTCCTGCAGAGTTCAGTTCTAACCTGAATCTAACACGCTGCCCTCCTCTTTACCTGGCACTTATGCAGCTGATCCAGCCAATCAGTGACTTCTGAAGAAGTTAACTAGCAGGTTTGGCTGTTGTTGGAACTAGAATTCGCAGGAAGGTAGATCTCCAGGACCACGGTTAGCTAATATCCTGGTGTTCTCATACAGCTAATAGACGCTGACAGATGGCACCTGGAGGCTAAAACATGTCTTAAATGTCTGATATGTGTAAAATGTGGCAGGTATCGTGCTTGTTGATTATGGTCCTGCATGGAAGGAGCATCGACGCTTTGCCCTCATGACCCTGAGGAACTTTGGCATGGGGAAGCGGTCAATGGAGGATAGGATTCTGGGAGAGACTGAGCATCTTGTGAAACGCTTGGAAAAAAGTGCCGGTATTATTATCACAATACTTAAAAATTATTAGTTATTAGGCTCTCACTGTCCTACATTCTGCTCTAGCCACACTTGCTAATTAGCTATAATTACCTTGGCCACATACCTTGGATTTTTATATGATAATGTTGTTTCCACATGATCTAATTGAGAATCTTCATTGTAGAAAATGAAAGAATGAAAATGAAGAAAACTTTCACTGCTTTCTCTGAACTCTCAGGATATTGGGTTGTACGGCCAGTGCTGCAGTATATTTAACTTTCTGAAAGCTGCTGTTACAGGTACAACAGGGTGATCTACAGTTACTATAGTGAAATACCAAAGCCTCAGCTCTAAATTGTTAACACGGAAGAGAGAAGCTCACCATTTTGAGGGTAAAGCAGTCTAAAATAAAACATCTTAACAGTTACCTTTTATTGACTTTATATTTGAGCATCTATTTCTCACTAATGGATGCCATAACACTATTATATGTATTTTGATTTTGAGCCAAGGTGTCTAAAGTGAGAAGTATGGCCATTGTTCGTATCTTTGCTACAGCTACAAGACCTTTTGGAAGGAAACAGCCAAACCATTAAATGTTATGCAGTCACATCTGTGAATTTACGTGTATCTGTGTAGGGGGCTTCATGAATCCTCAGACCGTGTTCCATGATGCTGCATCAAATATCATATATCTGGTTTTATTTGGAATTCGCTATGACTACGGAGATGAAACCCTTAAACAATATGTTAGCCTCTTCACTGAAACTACAAAAATTGCCAATGGACCATGGGGAATGGTAGGACTTTCTATAAATAAGAATGATGTGCCATGTATTAAACTAATACATTTAGAAATATTATTATACTGGTAGCACGTTTCAATATCCTTGAAAAATACATGTTGTTTGAAAAATGTCTTTCTTTCCTATAGATATATGATACACTTCCTATTCTGAGAGCCCTGCCCCTTCCTTTTAGGAAGGCTATCATAAACTTTGAGATACTCAAAAAAATGATAGCAAGTATGATCAGTAAACACAAGACATCAAGAGTCCCAGGAGAACCAGAAAACTTTGTCGACTGCTATCTGGATGAGCTTGATAAGGTGTGTGTGCTTGAAAGTGAAGAAGATTTTTTTGGTGTTATAAAGAGAAATTCTGAGATCACTTCCTTTAGCACAACGGATTATATCTTCTCTAATATGCACAACCTTATCAGATGATGCTTTCTGTTCAACAGAGAGGAAATGATGGGTCTTTCAATGAAGAACAGCTTGCAAGATACATTGTGGACCTGCATGGTGCTGGGACAGATACCACCTCCAACACCCTCCTCACAGCATTCCTCTACCTCATAACACATCCAGACATTCAGGGTGTGAACTATGAACTATCCACTGCGTTTGATCATACTGTTTGTTTTCTTAATAGATTTACTAGAGACAGTAATTGCTTCATACGCCTGCTCTGTCTACTTTCTAGAGAGATGTCAGAAGGAGATTGATGAGGTTCTGGAGGGTAAAGCTTATGCATCTTTTGAGGACAGACACAAGATGCCGTACACGCAGGCTGTGATCCACGAGTGTCAGCGTATCAGCATAACCGTCCCTCTGGGTGTGTTTCACTGTGCCAGCAGAGATTCTGAACTGATGGGCTACAACATCCCAAAGGTGAAGATCTGTCTTTTCCGTCTGTGTTTCTTAACTTAAGCCACATCTTTAACTTTGTCTTTATTTCTTTCCTTTTCTTCTTTGTCTTCTTCTGTTTTTCAGGATACTGTAATCATCCCAAACCTTGCCTCAGTGCTGAGTGAGGAAGGCCAGTGGAAGTTTCCTCATGAGTTCAATCCAGCTAACTTCCTGAATGAGCAGGGACAGTTTGAGAAGCCGGAGGCCTTCCTGCCCTTTTCTGCTGGTTAGTGTTCTGAACAGTGTAAATTAACACAGTGAACAAATCCCAGAAACTGGTTTCACCAACATTAGTTAAACTTAAATATAACTGCCCGGCCCATTTTTGTGCTTTCCCTGCCCTAACACATCTACTTAGATCACATTTAAAAGGCTGTATTTATATATTATCTAACTAATTCTCAGATATTTAAGGTGATCTGAAGAACTAGTGTAATGTCAGAGCCATGAAGGGCAGTTGAAATGTGTGTGAAATGGTGCTATTTGGGGCAGTCCAGCACTCAAAGTACTTGCAGGGGTCACAACACCGGCAGGCAAAACTACAGGCCGAAAACCACAGCTCAGTACACTGTAGATACAACAGAAACTTCACAAATAGCAGGGAAAACAAAGGTGTAATGAGTCCTAGATCACTTGCCATTGTGGTGTGAGTGGGTGAAGCCAGGGAGAGTTCAAGTGGAGTCTCCCCAGAGGGGACAGACAAGTAGATATTATTGTTCTTAAGGAAATCTTTTTTAAGCTTTACTTACACTATTTGCAGACTTTTTTTTGCTTAATTAATGTGTTTACATTTCATTTTCAATATATGTTGTAGTGTAATGTATTAATGTGGAAATCAGCAACCCACCAAAGTATGGTGATTTGTCTTTTACATGTCCGCAGGGCCTCGTGTGTGTCTTGGTGAAGGTCTGGCCCGCATGGAGCTCTTCCTCATCTTGGTCACTCTGCTGCATCGGTTTCAGTTCTTCTGGCCTGAAGATGCAGGAGAACCAGACTTCACTCCTGTATTTGGAATCACGCTCACACCCAAACCGTACAGGATGAGAGTCAGACTGAGACAGCCAGCTAGAGAAACATAGAATGTGATTCTAAATATTAATATAATTGAGAATTATAATAATTAATCATTCTTTATTGATGATGATGTAAATTAAGGTCAGATTAGATGGCTGTGTATGAAAGTTAGTTCAGCAGTGAGTTCAAATCTTACAACTTTCCAACTACAACCACAGCACCAAAGATTTTTTTGATGAACTTTTGGTTTACATGCTTTCATGAAATAAAGTTTTATGTTTGATGGATGTCACCAACAAAGGGTGTTTGGAGACTAATTAACAGCAGTTCTAACAGGGGAGAAACAACACCCCACAGTCAGAAGCAATAATAATTACAGTCATTAATAAAAGGTCTTCTAAAACAAACGTTAACGGTCTGATTAAGCTATTTTAAAGAGAACTCCCAATCCCAAGTCTGACCATTGAAGCCTCACATTATGTTTTTTTGGTTGTTGTTATTCTAAGGCTAAGACAGTCTGACAGTCACAGGCATTCAATCAGAATCAAACTTAAAACACAGGTAAAGAGAAGGCAACCAGACCAAAAATAGATAAACAACAAAACAAAACGGTCACTTCCAGTTACTCAAACGAAATCACAACTTAAAACCTTAAACAAAGGATTAAACCAGCTGTTCATACTTAGATTTGCCCTTATTATTAATGAATCAAAGTGTGACAAATATGCAACAATAGAAGAAACTAGGACGGGGACATATACTTTTTCACAGCACTTTACATAACATTGACATAATCATGAAATAAACATGTCATTGCAGATGTCATATGTCATTGTGAGTTGTCACGATAGATAATGTCCAGTAATACAACAGTGTCGTTATTGTTAACATTGATCGTTGTGACGGATGCAATAGATACAATAAGGTACATTCAGCAAATAAACAGTAACTGTGCATTAAAATGTGCAGAAGTGTTTTCTCTGTAGAGGATGTGTTAAATTATTTTCACTTAGAACATCAGCAAAACCTAATTTGAGCAGAGGAGCCCAAACTTTTGCATATGACTGTAAATGTCTTACAAGCTTCAAATGTCCTTGTCTAAGTAGAGATGATTCTGTCACATATCTTAAAGAAAAAAGAAATAAATGAAATGTAAGTGTATGAGGATCAGCCAATTATTATTGTTAATTATTCATTATTATTATTATTATTATTATTATTATCAGTTTTTTGAGCTTCTTGTTTTTTCCAGCTTTCCATTTTTTCAATTCGGAATCATTCTCACTTTCTCTGAAAACTCAGGCGATGTATTGCTTAAACAAATTTCTTTTCCAAGAGAAATGAAGCAAAATTGTGCAGCTTTTATATGGCAGGGCAGGTTAAACTCGCATCTGGAACTGACTGGACTCCTTGCCTCCATTTACCATCTTTTCAAGACATCATCACTCAAGATCACATGCGTCAGACTCCAGTGTTGGCAGACCAAAGCACTGTATACTTCAGTGTTTGCCTCATTCAACTCATCAGCTAAGCAGCAAAGCCCATCATTAGTTGAATTCAGAGTGTTAGAAGAGGGAAAATGCTAATCTTTGCAGTGCTGTGACCTGAGAGGAACCAAGTTTGCAACCCCTGTCCTAGAGTAGTGACCAGCCCTGCTCCTGGACATTTCTTGCAAAGTTCCTACAAAGTTTAGTTTCAACCATTGTCCACCACATGGGCTCCATCTAAATAATTCTCTTCAGAAGTCTTTGATTAGCTGCATCAGACGCGTGAGATTTGGGCTGGGGGTTGATATCTCCAGGAAGAGTGTTGGTGACCAAGGCCCTTGAGGTTTACATACATTAGGGTGACCATATGTCCTATTTTTCGGACCTAAAGATCGTGTCTAGCCTGGATTTTGAAAATGCCTAAAATGTCAGAGATTAGTCTTTGCCTTCATTTTGACATTTGCTTTCCACAGTTTGCCCCTGTGCTGCCCTCCTGCCCCCAGTGTTCTCTTTTTTTTGAAAACCAAAATATGGTCACCCTAACATACATTTGTTTCATAAAGATAAGACACAGTTAAATAAATCATCCTTGTCAGATTTATTTAGAACAATAACAAGAATAGTTTTATGATGATTACCACAATGAATTTAATTAAAAAGAACATAACAAAAATATAAAATAAAAAAAAAGTTTAACACTTATGGTTCATCTTTCAGTCTAGACTCAATGTTTGTGCGTGACCTCTGTTCCATCTGCTTTCTTTAGGGTTGAGGTGTCTTCCCCTCTGACCTCTGAAGTCCCCCCTGACTCAGAAATAGCTCATCCTTATAACAAATCCCTTATTAATATTGCTACCATACTCCATTAAGTACAATACCATACCATAACATTCAAAGCTACATTGATGTCACTTTCACCAATAATGAAAATGGTAGAATAAGCTAAGGCTCAGGATCATCTCCTGAGACACTCTGTTCTGCAAAAGGTAGCATATCATTCCCTGGATCATACCTAGCCAGAGTGACAAAGGTCAAACAGTGATGAAAAGAATGGAAAGTTACCTCTCGTACTGTAGTAGAGTATTACATAACAATCGTCAACCAAAGGGAACTAAAGATACAGTTCATTATCAGTAAATCACACACCAGCAAAACTATTCGAGAGAAAGTCAGATTCTACATTTCTCTAGCTGGCTGTCTCAGTCTGACCCCCATCCTGTATGGTTTGGGTGTGAGTGTGATTCCATACACAGGAGTGAAGTCTGGTTCTCCTGCATCTTCAGGCCAGAAGAACTGAAACCGGCGCAGCAGAGTGACCAAGATGAGGAAGAGCTCCATTCGAGCCAGACCTTCACCAAGACACATACGAGGCCCTGCACATGAAAAATACATCAGCAACTCTTTTGTGTCAACCAGTGTCATCTATTCATTAGGGCATGGTTTCTGTACTAATCTGAGACTATTACACGCTTTTCAATTGTCAGCATCATTTAGCCCAAGGCAAAGCTTCAAGGAATTCCTCAACCAAAAAAATGCTGAAATGAATAACAAATAATAGGCCAAGATCTATCGGCAAAGTATTCTATTTGTTTTTGTCAAGAAAAGTGATGTGAACGATTTTGTGGTAGTCCAAGACTCTCACCAGCAGAAAACGGCATGAAGGCCTCTGGCTTCTCAAACTGTCCCTCATCATTCAGGAAGTTAGCTGGATTGAACTCATGAGGAAACTTCCACTGGCCTTCCTCACTCAGCACTGAGGAGAGGTTGGGGATGATGAGAGTACCCTGCACCACAGGGAAAGACAAAAACACAAACGAGTAAAAAAAGAAATGAGTGACATTGCATGGAAACAAAGTATCTTCTGTATCCTCACCTTTGGGATGCTGTAACCCATCAGTTCAGTATCTCTGCTGGTGCAGTGAAACACACTCAGAGGGACAGTATTGGCCCTGCGCTGAGATTCGTGGATTACAGCCTGTGTGTACGGCATGTTGTGTCTGTCCTCAAAAGATGCATGAGCTTTACCCTCCAGAACCTCATCAATCTCTTTCTGACATCTCTCTAGAAGGACCAAACAGAAGGCATATGGTACCATTACTGAGTCTGTTAACAAATCTATTAACAAAACTGTTGCAAACAGTACAAAAGACTTAAAATGGAGTGCAATACATATTTTCAGACCCTGAATATCTGGATGTGTTGTAAGGTAGAGGAACGCTGTAAGGAGAGTGTTGGAGGTGGTATCAGTCCCAGCAAAGTGCAGATCCAGAACATACATCAAAAGCTGAGTCTCAGCAAAGGAAGAGCCATCAGCTGTCTGTAGAAAACCAGATGTCACAGATTTGCATACACAAATAGTACATCTCCAAAAACTTTGTTTCAACCATGCCACAGTATCCTACTTCTATGGCTTGTAACAATAGTGGAACCCTTTTTGGTGCTATACAGAACACCTTTCAAAAAGGATTTTATATAGAACTATCTACAGCACATTCTCCATCAAACTGAAGAACCCTTTCATGATGCAACAAACTCTTTATTCATGCAAAGCGTTCTTTGAGTGTTGGTTCTGTATATAACCATTTTCTTTACTGAAGACACTTTACACTTGAAGAGCCATACGTTTTAATAGTGTGCATACAGTATATACGCACCTTGTCAAGCTCATCCAGATAGCAGTCAACAAAGTTTCTTGGCTCTCCTGGCACTCTTGTTGTCTTGTGCTTGTTGATCAACTTTGCTGCCATTTGCTTCAGTTTCTGAACGTTATCGAGAGCCTTCTTAAAGGGAAGGGGCAGGTTTCTCACCATAGGAAGTGTATCATAGATCTGCAGGACAATGACCAAAAAAGATTTGTCATATACAAATCATACACATTATATGTGTATATTGGGTATACATTAATTTTTATAAAATAAAGACCCTGTCCATCAGTAACAAGTAAACATCTACGCCAGAGTTAATAAAACAGTTTCAAACCATTCCCCAGGTTCCGTTGGCGATTTTTGCATTTTCAGTGAAGAGATGAATAAACTTCTTGAGGGTGTCGTCCTCGTAGTCAAAGCGAGTACCAAATAAAACCAGGTAGATGATGTTTGATGCAGCATCGTGGAACAAAGTCTGAGGATTCATGGAGCGTCCTACAACATAGACAAAGCACAGAAATTGTAATGATTAACAGTAACACTAATCTGCAAACACTGTTCAGAGATTGTTTCATTATGTATTCAGTCAGAAATTATATGTGTCCATGCATGATTCTGCCACCTGGACTCTGACATCTAAAGCTGTTTTCACATATGAACTCCGGAAAATGTCCGGAGAATCAGGTCCAGATGTTACCGAAGTTGCCCTTTCACTCATGTAGGGTACAGCCAGAGATTTTCCATGTCAGATTCATTCTCACTACAGGTCATGTTCCAGGTTTACAGTACGTATGGCGGTCGAGGCTACCGACTCATCTGTGATGATTTTTGCATCGATATTACTACTACATGTATTTGAATGTATCCGCAGTATCAAAGTGTGAAGTGTGGAGAGGAATATACAGGCAAGCAGAAAAGACAAAATACAAGAGGGCTGTCAGGATAAAGTCTGGTTAATGTCCAATACAACTGATTCGGAAATTTGTGTTCACACATACTACAGCTCCTCCGGGTAATGTCTGGAGAAGTTCTGGGTCACTGTGCATGTCTGAAAGGGGCATTAGAGACCATAATTCTTGGGCAGTTGCAGTGCAGGGCAAGTGATCACTGGCTGATTTTAGTTGCTAAGGTATTATTGACAGTAAAAATACTGGAAGTAACATGATAACATTACCAGCACTTTTTTCTAGGCGTGAAACAATGTGCTTAGTCTCTCCCAGAATCCTGTCCTCCATTGACTGCTTCCCCAGGCCAAAGTTCCTCAGGGTCATGAGGGCAAAGCGTCGATGCTCCTTCCATCCAGGACCATAATCAGCCATGATAACTCCTGTCATATGTACATACATTTTCAAGATTAGAGTTGAATGCACTCACTTCTTTCACCTTCAGCTAATGTATGGCTAAGTAATGTTTGGAACTGATTACATTAGGAAATCAATAGCCATTACATAACTGCAGTTTAAAAGGTACAGGAGAAAGGAGTTTATCTCAATCTAATGACTTTTTAAAGTAGACTTCACCTTTCCCTTCTGTTGCATGGCTGACCAGGAGGTTTTGTGGGCGTCCTGAAAAGTCTGCAGCCTTGGTCACTAAAGCTTCCTTTATAGCCTTAAAACCAGTAAGGACGACAGCAGGTGTTCCTCCGATATAGAGACTGTAAATGTTTCCATAGCACTCAGCCAACTGAAGGCATAAAACACATCAAGCAGAAAAGTTGCCATTTACCAAACAAGACCAAAAAACATTGGAATGTGGTTGTAGAAAACAGATTCTGTTCTAACATGAAGGTATACTAAAATCTGGTCTTCAAATTGGTGTTAAAAACATGCTACTCTACCCTCTCAAAGTCTTTTAGAGGATTGGTGATGTTCAGCTGAAACAGGTTCCCGAATATGGGCACAGGCCGGGGTCCAGGAGGAAAGTTCTTGGGCCTCTGGATCCGGATGAAGAGGAAGAGGAGACAGATGAAAATCCAAGTCAGGACCAAGGAGCCCAACATGACTGCTGTCCTGCGTCACTTCGCTCTGTTCTACAGGTGGAAATTTAGCTGATCATGTTTGCTGCTGAGAGGCCTCCCACTCAGTGACGCGTCTTAGTCCTGTTGGCAGCCTGCCAGCATAAAGTTACCAAACACTAATGCATGAATGATAACGTTACATATGAACATAGTGAGTGTTATCTCTATCCAGGGGCGGCCTTTGCACTTGGAAAAAGTAGGCAGTTGCCTAGGGACCCCATAGGCCAAGGGCCCCAATGAAAATACAAATTAGAATAGATCAAGAAATATTTACATACTAATATTTTATATTCTTTCCAACAATATCTATAGATAAAGGTGATGTAAGAACTTTTTAAAATTTTACTTTATCATTTATTCAACAAAAAGATGCCAATTCCTACTGAGGAAAAGGTTAGGACATTCAATGCCCTAATAGCTGGTGCTTCCATCTTTGGCTGATATAACCTCAATTAGTTTCCTACAACCATCTAACAGTCTCTGACATTGACCGGGGATTTCCCACTCCTCCATGCAGAATTGTTTCAGCTGTGTGATGTTTGAGGGGTTTCTTGCATGCAGAGCCTATTTCAAATCACCCCACAGCATCTCAATAGGGATTAAGATCCAGGCTTTGACTTCATTACAGAACTCTTAATTTCTTCCTTTTGAGCCTTGGTAGATTTACTAGAATGTTTTGGGTCATTGTCATGTTGCATGGTCCACCTCTGCTTCAGCTTCAGTTTTTGGACAGATAGTCTCACATTTCCACAAGCAGCCTCTGATACAATAAAGAATTCATAGTGGAGTCAATGATGGAGAGCTGGCCAGGCCCCAGACTTTGACAAACCATGACGTTCAAACCTCCATGTTTAACAGTTGGTATGAGGATTTTTGTGCTTAAATGCTGTGTTTGGGTTGCACCAACTGTTACTGTTCTGTTACTGGGCCCAAATAATTCATCTGTCCAAAGCACGTTGTTTCAGAAGTCCTGATCTTTGTCTGGGTGTTTTCTGGCAAACTTTAGTTTTATCCTGATGTTTTTTATAGCTAGGATTTCCTCCTTGCACAGCTCCCATGAAAATCAAATTTGTGCAATTTGTGTCAAGAGCTACCTGTAGGTCCCATGATGACATTTTAGGATTGTTGGAGACTTCTTTATGCATTTTGCGGTCTGCTCCTGCCCTGAACTTTCTAAGATGGCCTGACCTGGCCATGTTGGCAGTTGTTTTAAATGTTTTCCACTCGTAAATTATTTTCCAGACAGTGGAACGGCTGATTTCTAATTGTTTTGAGGTCTTTTTAAATCCCTTCCCAGACTCATATGCATCTACAACTTTCTTTCTGAAGGCCTTAGAGGGCTCTTTGTACCTCTCCATGGTGATACAACTCACTTCAACAATCAAGAGCAAACTAAACTAAGCATCTGAGGTCTAAATAAGATCCACCAAAATCCTCTCTAATGCTGCTCTAATCATTTGCAGCAAATGTGGTGCACCTGATTCTAATTTTAGACATTTGCATTTCTACTAATTACTTTTTACAAATTATTTTTTAAAGACATTTCTTCAGTTTTATCTGTTTAATTATTTTACCCATCTCTCAATATTGTTAAAATGAAGATCAAATGTCCGTATGTTCAAATATGTTAAAAAAGACATTTCGTTTTTATAGCGTATAACTTTTTCACAACTGTACGCACATTTTTTGATACAGCCATTTCTGATTGTAACAATTATTTTCAGTTGTTTCAATTTAGCCCCACCCCCTGGTCATGGACTATGCCATGTTGTTATGTGATGAGTCAACTGCGTAAAACGAGTGTGAACAAGGTAAATAAGAGATAATCTACATTATGGACACTATTACAGTGATTTTCTGGGTGTTGAGAGCGAAAATATAATAGTAATCCAAGTGCAGCAGAAAAGCATAAAAAGGGAGGCAATCAAAAAGTTTGTTGCTACATTCTTAAAAGTGCAGTTTGTTTTTTCAGTCAGGACAGAGAGCTGCACAGGCTCAGCACTTTGTACGTAATGCTAGCATCAATGTCAGTATAGATATCTTCATTGTTGGGGTAGTTATTCAAAAAAAGTAATCCATTACTTAGGTCTGCTCCATACAAATTAGCCTTATCTGCATGTTGTCCAATGTAAAGAAAAAAAAACATTAGATCATTTAGAAATTTTACATCAACTTTTGGCATAGGCTTTTTGAGTTATCTCAACTTAGTTTAGTCAAAAGTTCTCCTAAGTCACATTTTTAATGACTGTGGTTGCCTTCTTGTCACTTAAAATTGGCATTTCTTGGTTTTTATGTTTCACCTTATTACCAACTAATCAGTGTCAATTCCCATCAGTAGGCCACCTCCCTATCATACAGTGCCCCCAGCCAAGGAGAGTACAGTACAGTTACCAATCTGCGATCACACAATTTGTCGTCATTTCCACTGCCAAGTGATCCGCACTCTATCTGAGTACCCGTGTTCAGTTTGATTACCCTTCTCACTGAGGTACCAAGCGTACCATACTGTGCGGGAAAGTTTGGGTGGATTTAATAATGGTGCAAACCACTGATTGGTCAGTTGTCGCCATCGCACCATGCTGCTCTGTACTGTCTAGTGAAAAATACCACCAGACTCCCAACCACAGAGCGCTGTAGCATTACCAGGATTAAAACTAATGATCTCTTGTGTCCTGATAATTAGGCAGGTAGACAGTTGTGCCACTTTGTATTTGTATTTAAGCTGGTAAGTGTTCTCTATCTAAGCACACAAGGACTAAATAAGCACAGGTCACAGTTATTGACATTTTCATTCCTGGGTGTCTGAAAGGAACTGAAAGTGATGGCAGAGTCAACATTAAAGCAACATCTAGTCAGAGAACATCAATCCAACTTTGTTAGCTAGCCTGTCTGCTTTAGCAGCTTCCAATTATACACCACTCACTGATCACTGAAAGTTACCTCTTTAGAGGCTTAGCTTATCAAGCCTAGGACAAGTATGAGTGAAGATTAACATTTAAGAACACATTGTTTTTAGAATTTTTTCTGAGACGAAATGTTATTTTTGAAGAATAACAATCCTCATATGTTTCTCTGAAGTCTGAACCCTACTGAAAAAGACAGCTGGGTCTTCTCAAGCTGGTTAAGCTGGTTAAACTGGTAGACCAGCTTAGCTTAGCTGGAGTTTGATGTTTTGGCTGGTGTGCCAGCATGACTAATTTGACCAAGTGGGTCAACCAGCAGCAGCCTAGCTTGGTCATGCTATGCACATTGGTCTTTGCACAAAAGAAGAAGGCAAAAAATCTTGCTTTAATTAAAATGTGGTCATTTTATTTGCGGCAGCTCTATTGCTGTGCGAAACATAGTTATATGTAAAACAAGGCCACTGGAGTTACTTTAAAATGATCTGTGTAATCTGGTCTAAAATGGCACCAATTATGACTCAGTGAAACTACTCTATTTTGCTCAGGCTGGCTGTCTCAGTCTGACTCCCATCCTGTATGGTTTGGGTGTGAGTGTGATTCCATATACAGGAGTGAAGTCTGGTTCTCCTGCATCTTCAGGCCAGAAGAACTGAAACCGGCGCAGCAGAGTGACCAAGATGAGGAAGAGCTCCATTCGAGCCAGACCTTCACCAAGACACATACGAGGCCCTGCACATGAAGAATACATCAGCAACTCTTTTGTGGTGGTACAGTTGTCATATATACATTAGGGCATGGTTTCCAAAGCTTCTGAAGAATAAAAACTTTCAGTTTAATCCGTATTAACATAGTTTAGCTCAAGATGAAGCTTAAAAGATATCCCTCAATCAAAAATGCTGTCATAAATGAAAGCTAATAGGGACCACTAGGCAAAACTTACACAATGTAAGTAGATCTCTTATAGCTTTCAAAAAATTAAGAAGTACTTTATTAACTGGTGTCATGAAAATCATATGTGAATTATTTTGTAGTGTTCTTTCTCATGCTCCCAAACTCTCACCAGCAGAAAAAGGTATGAAGGCCTCCGGCTTCTCAAACCGTCCCTGCTCATTCAGGAAGTTAGCTGGATTGAACTCATGAGGAAACTTCCACTGGCCTTCCTCACTCAGCACTGAGGAGAGGTTGGGGATGATGAGAGTACCCTGGATCAAAAAGCAGAATGAACAGAAACGAACAAAGATAGAAAGCAGGAAAGAATCTGGAAAAATCTGAGCATAGCGTGAGTGGAACCTTTGGGATGCTGTAGCCCATCAGTTCAGTATCTCTGCTGGTGCAGTGGAACAAACTTAAAGGGACAGTATTGGCGATACGCTGACACTCGTGGATCACAGCCTGCGTGTACGGCATCTTGTGTCTGTCCTCAAAAGAGGCGTGAGCGTTACCCTCCAGAACCTCATCAATCTCCTGCTGGCATCTCTCTAGAAACACAAGGAGGATATAAGTTCTGGCTTATTGAGCAGTCCAAGATTTAGAGTAATGGTTCGGCAGTTTGGCAAAAAAGTAATTTTACACAATTTTAGCCTGACACGAAATGTAGTTGATCAGCTAAGACATGTTTGTTGTCTGAAGTTTGCTTCTTTTGTGTTGTCAAATAATTTCAATAATCCAAAATGTTCTTTGAGTGTTCATGGTTCTATACAGGACCAGTTTCTTTCCTAAATTACCATTAAAGCACCATCTTTTTTAAGAGCATAGCTAACAAATAATGCAAGCTTTTACTGCACCAGTTAGCATCATGCAAATGTCTAAAGCATCACACAGTTGCCTCAAATTGACTTCCTAATCAACCTAAAATAGATTAGCTTTTGTAGTTTCTCATATTGTAAAAACACTAAAAGGTACATTGCATAACATAATTCACAACTGTGGCAGCCATCTTGATGCCTGATTTGTTTGAAAAAACTCTTTAAAAAGATGGTCAAGAGTTCTTTAGTAAAGAAAATGGATCTACATACTCAAAGAATCATTTGCATGCTTAATGAAAAGGGTTCTATATAGGACCAAAAAGGCTCTGGCTATTGTTACGATGTCAAGCTTGTAACAGTAGAAGAACCCTTTAAACATGCAAATGGTTCTTTCAGTGTCCATGGTTCTGTATAGAGTCATTGTCCTTACTGAAGAATCCTTGAAGAACCATCTTTTTGTAGTTTTTGTACTGTGAGTGTACTTATCCATTTTAGAGTATCAGAAACTAAATTGGAAAGAAATAGCATTACTGAGTCAAGAGAAAAAATAAAAACTCAAGGCAGTTTGAGGTAAGACAAAGCATACTGAGACACTGCACAGAGAGACATGTTTCTCAACTGGAGACAATGTATACTGAGATATTGTTGAATTATCACGGGAGGAGTGAATAGCTGTCCTGCCTTAATATTATCGAACACTGTTGGAGAGATCACAGCCACAGGTCAGTAGCAAATTTGCACTGCACTACATGTGTCCAGATACTTTTGGTAGACAGTGTATAATGCAGTGGATGTTTCAGAGATCAGACCTTGGACATCTGGATACGTTGTGAGGTAGAGGAACACTGTAAGGAGAGTGCTGGACGTGGTTTCTGTCCCGGCAAAGTGCAGCTCCAGAACATACATCAAAAGCTGAGACTCGGTAAAAGAGGAATCATCATCTCCTCTCTGCTGAAAACAAGATGCATCCATACATACAAAGTGGCCTAAAACATAGCAAGATGGCAGAAGTAATACACTGACATGAGTTCTTTCAAGCATCCTAAAATCAGCCCACTTACACACCTTATCAATCTCATCCAGGTAGCAGTCGACAAAGTCTCTCGGCTCTTCTGGTACTCTTGTTGTCTTGTGCTCGTTGACCATCTTTGCTACCATCTGTTTCATTATTCTGACAATTGTAAAAGACCTCTTAAAGGGAAGGGGCAGGTTTCTCACCACAGGAAGTGTATCATAGATCTGCAGGACAATGAAACATGTTGGTTGTCATATTATTAAATGGACTAATAAACTGCTAGTATTATGAAAGACGTACTATGTGTACTATTAATGAATGATATTGCTCTACAGCACTGTGCAAAATTCAGAGACCACGGTTTCATTTATTTATTTTCTAAACAATATTTTATTGGAAAAAAATGTATTCTATGGCGAGATAATGACCCCAAGCACACCGCTGAGAACGTTCAGCTGGAGTTCTCACAACAATGGACCTCGTTTACCAGTTTAAGTTTTTTCTTAAATGTGTTCTTGAGAAAGGTCATAAGAAACAATCTACATCAGATACATGACGTGTTCTTAAACTGCTGAATTGGTCACACCTTTGTGCTCTTGAGTGTGTGTAGATTCAGTTTTTACCTAAGAACAAAGAAAACATTGGTGAATGTCAGAATCTTCATGAAAACTGCACAGGTGAGTTTTAAGAAGAAATTTCTTCTTAAGAACAGTTGGTGAATGAGGCCCAGTGAACTAGCCAGACCTCAACAGTGTTTGGGATTACTTAGATCGTGAGAAGCAGCAAATGCAACCAACTTCTAAGACTGAACTCTGGAGGTGTGGAAGAATATCACTGCAGATTTCTGAAAAACTGAAAGCAAGTCTCCGGAAAAGAATGAAAGCTGTAATGAAGGTAAATGGTGGTCTCTGACTTTTCCACAGCACTGTGTCCATAATGCAAATATTTATGATGTCCTACCATTCCCCAGGGTCCATTGGCGATCTTTGCACTTTCAGTAAATAGAGGGATGAACTGCTTGAGTCTCTCGTCCCCATAGTCATAACGCACGCCAAATAAAACTAGGTAGATTATATTTGATGCAGCATCATGAAATAAGGTCTGAGGATCCATGGGACCACCTAGACGGAGAAGATACCTGTTAACTGGTAATGATATACTACTGTACAAATATTTGTTTTTTAGGTTGGTAGATACTGATCTATTATAATACTTTAATTGTATCAGAAATTAAATTTGTCCATACGGACAATTTTTTCTTTCAGATGCTTTCAGGAAACTGGCAGATCAAATCATGTAACACCTTTTAAATTTTGCTCATAAGACAGACAATAAAATTATTGAAGTATAACGACAGTAATACCAGCACTTTTCTCCAAAAGTGCAACAAGATGCTCAGTCTCTCCCAGAATCCTGTCCTCCATTGACTGCTTCCCCATGCCAAAGTTCCTCAGGGTCATAAGGGAAAAGCGCCGATGCTCCCTCCATACAGGATCATAATCAAGAAATACAATACCTGCCACATTCAGTACATTGAATTATTTACCATTCTCTTATCTTTATATCAATATATAAATATCAATATGTCAATATATATATCAGACCATGCCTTCAACATGTGGTGGTAGCTAACTGAGCGAGGCAGTGGGGGTGAAGGACTCTAAGACTCTGGGCTGGAGTTCTGGGCAGCTTCTGCATGTAGCTCGAGGGTGTAGCTGTAGTAGGACTGATGCAGAACTGAGGAACAGGGAGGGGATGGGGTGGCGGTGGGGATTGCGAACACTTTGTCACGAGAACAGAAGGTGAGGATGTGAATTTACAGGGCGTTATTTCGGAAGAAGGATGGGTTTCAGGCATGTTCCTCCCCCCTAAACTTCAGTTATAACATAACTACCTCTAAATATAGTCTTAAAATAGCACTAGGAAACAAATACTCAATGAGTAAATCTGCTCAGATTGCCCAGATTTAATTCTCATTATTTTTCAGATAAACTTTGATAGACTTCTGTCACTGATTACTGTTTGCTTCTATTTAGAGTTTAGACTCACATCATCAGATCATTTCTTTATTCATTTTTCTAATAACTTTCTTTAATTTTTACTGTCCAGCCCAGGATGAGTTCCCATTTGAGGTTTAGTTCCTTGACTTGTGGCACTTTAGTTGCTCAGCTGGGGCTTGGACTGTATTTCTTCAGCGCTTCTTTGTGGGAATGTCTGTTATAAAAAGTGTTATAATACAGTACAGTTCAAAGTACTCTTCATTTATTTAATTTGCAGCTAAAATAGTCATTATTATTCCACATCTAAATCCTGGCAACCGTATGGACTGTATTTCTCCAGAGTGTCATTTCTGCTGTTTGTGTCTTTTGACTGTATCTATCCATCCTCTTCCTCTTTTGCCTTCAACTGTTCCAAGCATTGGGCCTCATTCACCAACTTTTCTTAAGAAGACATTTCTTCTTAAAACCCAATTATGCAGTTTTCATGAAGATTCTGACATGTGCTAATATTTTGGGGTTTGTTCTTAGGTAAGAACAGAATCTACACACACTCAAGAGCACAAAGATGTGAACAATTCTGTGGTTTAAGAACACCATGAATCTGACATACAAATGTAAGAAAAAAAGGAGGATATTGGTGAATGAGGGCCTTTTCCAATGAATGTTGATCCTTCTTATAACATGTCCAAAATAAGAGCTTCAGTTTGGTTATCTGGGCTTTGAGTGAGAGAGGAGGCTTGATTTAGTCAACAATCCATTTGTTTTCTTTGTTGTACAAGGTACTCTTAAAAGTCTTCACCAGCACCAGTTAAAAGGCATCAATATTTTTCCTGTCTAACTTTCTGTTCAGCTTCCCCATCCATAATAAACTACCGAAAAGACCACAGCCTGGACAATTCTGATCTTTATTTATAGAGATTAATCCTTACATTTGAAGCTCTTTTAAAGCTCCTTCATTTTTGTTCTGCCAAATGCCAATCTGTGTCATTTCGTTGGCTGTTGGATCCATTGTTGTTAGTAATGGATCCATGAAGACAAAAGCTGTCCACAACTTCCACATCTTCACAGTGTTAAAGTTAGCAGCTTTTTCAGTTGCCATAACCTTTGCTTCATTCATATTGAGCTGAAGTCTTCTTTCACTCTGTTCTTTAGCTTTCCTTATAAGGGCCTTCAGATCTTCCTGATTTTCCAGCATGAGTGTCATGTTGTGTTATTAATGTGTCTTCCGGCTGTCTTGTATCCTTGATTATCTTCCTCCATTCCTTCTTCTCTTATTACACGTTCAGGTTGAACATGTATGTGATAGTATGCAGCCTTGTCTAGCTCCTTTACTGATGTGGAACCAGTCTGTTTGTCCATTTTCTGTCATGACTGTGGTTTGTTGGTCATTGCAGAGCTTCCTCATTGCAACAATGAGATACTCATTTTCCTGAGCACACTGTAGTCAATGAAACACATTTACTTTTATCTTGAAATCCTTGGCTTTTTTCGATTGTCCAGTGTACATCAGCAATGATATCTCTTGTTCCTCTGCCTTTGGTCAGTCTGACTTTGTCTTCTAGCAAAGAATGTTCTTCTGCGTAGCTGACATCAACAAGAAAGTGTCTTGGCAATTGTGGAGACCTCCTGTGTATTCCTACCATGTTTGTTTGCCTTTTTATTCGTTTGTCTGTTATGACTTATTTGTTGACCTCTCAGCTTACCCACTCGAGGCTGAAATTCATTTTTGATCTCATGTACCCTCTGGAAAAATTCTTGTTTTTCCATGTTTGTTTTCATTTTCAATATCTTTACCAATGTTGTTGTAATGCTGGTCCCTGTCCTTCCTGACAGCTCGTTGAAATTCATGGATTAGTTCTCTTAAAAGTTCTTTATCCTTCTTGATTTTGGCTTCTCTTCTTTTTTGCAATTTCCACTGTATCATCTGCTTTAATTTCTATCACCTTTTCATTTCCAAGTATTCCTTTCAGCATCAGGACAAAAAGCAAGAAACGTATCTATTTGTGACTTTACCTTTCCTTTCTGCTGTGTGGCTGACCAGGAGGTTTTGTGGTCGTCCCGAGAAATCTGCAGCTTTGATCACCAGAGCTTCCTTTACAGCCTTCAAACCAGTAAGGACCACTGCTGGTGTTCCTCCAATGTACAGGCTGTAAATGTTCCCATAGCGCTGAGCCAACTGAAGACAAATAACACACCAAGCAGAAAAAGTATACATTCTAAATATGAAACTAAACCTGTCAATCAATTACTCCTGCACAGATTTGAACAAAGCAATGCACCCAACTGAAATCAACTGGTGCTGTGGTACTGTACCCTCTCAAAGTCTTTCAAAGGGTTTACAATGTTCAGCTGAAACAGGTTCCCGAATATGGGCACTGGCCGGGGTCCAGGAGGAAAGTTCTTGGGCCTCTGGATCCTGATGAAGAGGAAGACGAGGCAGACAAAAATACAAACAAGAATGAAAAAGCCCAGCATGGTGACTGTTGTACTGCTGCACTAGAACGTTTCTGCTACTCAGACTCCTCCCCTCTGGAGCCCCACTCTCATGTAAGCTTTAAATTCAATCAGTTTTGCTAACTGTGGCTAATTTTCTGGTTAGTGATGCTCTCACCAGGAAGATGACCTCAAAATGATGGTGAAAAATGACCTAGGCCATTTTCAGTAGAGCTGTTAAACAGTGGATAAAGATATAGGGTTGACATGGCATGTGTTATACAGTGAATGAGCACGGATTTAAGCTATCTGTGGGACTGTGTGGCCAAACATAACAACCTGGTCCTGCTGTTAGCACCAGTATCTCGTCTTATAATGAGAGTGATTTCAGTTCCCACTAACTACCACACAAAAGTTGGGTACTTTGAACAGATTTACTAAGCCAGAAAAGCATAAAGACTGATTATTCCTGAGTAGGACTGAATAATGAGGTTACACAACCGGATTAGAGCCCTCAAAGTGAAGGCTGGCAACAGAACAGAGTCCTGTGGGGAATGCAGGACAGATCTACAGCTGCACATTCAAGACAGAAATCATTATGAGAGCCATATTTATGACATATTTAATCATCAATGGTCTACTCATTTAAGAAACCTGCTGAATTATCTTCCTGCAACACACAGCACATTCCCAAAATGCAGGCAATAAAAAACGATGCATGCAAATCCCCCTGTGTTGGAGTCTCTTTTATTGAATGCACACAGCAAGGAACAGCAGAGTGCACAACTTTTGTTTCACTTTGTTTTGCTGCCTGCCACTATCAACCTTCATAAAATATGATGGGTTTAGAGGCCCATGAAAACTGGATAGTGACACATTGCCCCCCAAAATGATTCTGGGCCTACTGCACAGCATAACACCCTGAGACCCAAATACAGCTTTGCTAGATTTTGAAAGCTTTTAACCATTGTGTGGTGTTGGGGTCTGTGGGACCCATTTTCAATATTTACAGAAAAACAAATGATGCGATTTATTATTATTTCACCCCCAGGTTCCTTGGCCTTTGTTCATTTTCTGTGAAGAACATATAAAAAAAAACACATTTTCAGTGTCTTCACACTGTTCACCCCCCACACATTTATATTACACATGTGGTGTTGGGTGAACCCGCGGGGAATAAAAGTGTGGAGGTGCTGTGTCCTTCACTCTGTTCTCCTCCTACATGGCCTGCTGTTAGTGTGTGTGTGTGTGTGTGTTTGTATATGTGTTTGTGTGTGTGAGGGTGGAAAACACGGTCAGGCTGCTGACTGGCTACAGCTGCTAAAGGAGAACCCTACGATGGCCACGTGATATTTTAAACATCTGGTATTTTTACATAAATTGTTATGGCTGTATTGATTTTAAAAACTGAGTAACACCACACAAGGATTAATGACACTAGTTGCTCAATATTCTATATACAGACTGTTGATAAATTAAAGGGAAACTATCATAAAGTGTCTCAATAAGGTTCTGGGCCATGAGCCACCAGAGCAGCCTGAATGCTCCTTAGCATGGATTGTACAGGTCTCTGAAACGGTACTGTATTCTCCCAAAAGATCCTGCCTTATTTGTTGTTTTGATGATGGTGGTGAATAGCTCTGTCTAACACGACAGTCCAAAGTCTCCCATAGATGTTCAACATTTTGAGGTCTAGTGATTGTTAAAGCCACAGCATAACAGAACCACAGGCCAAGCCAAGTATTCAGCCCTGTTCTCTTGGTATTTGTCACACATGCACTTGTGGAGAACATGGTGAAGGATGACTCCTCTGACCAGATCACTTTTTCCCCACATCTCTGTGCTGATGGTTTTTATACCACTGAGCTCTCAATTGGTCAGTCATCTTTGTAAGGAGAGGTTTATGCGCTTCAGTCCTACTATAATATACTTAATTGTCAGGACAGTATCAAGAAGAGTTGACCATTATTTTTTACATTAGATGTTTGAGATGGATGAGCGACACAGGATGGACTTTAATTATGCTTATCTCTTGGCGATGGTGAACAGCTCTGCGAGATGTATGGAAAATTCTTTGATCTCTTTTGGAAGCAGTCCAGCCATTGCTTTGTATGGAACTGGTGCAATGTGGAAGGCATTAGTTACTTAGACAGTGGAATTGGAAGGCCACATGGTCTCCTTTTGCTCCACCTCACCAAGGAAAAGGTTGCATGAACATAAAGTTTACACTGCATAATTTTAAATTACTAGTTATTCAGATTGTTTGGTATAAATAAATGTCCACCCTGGCCAATGTGCGATTTCAAAAACACTGCACTGCTGACTCATTATCTACTACTCCAACACTTTATCACACCAAACAAATGACATCAAGATTGCCTAACTCCAATCCTGGATGGCCTGATTCCAGCACAGCTTGGTGATTTCCCTGCTTCAGCACACCTACTAAATCTGGTAATTAATTGCTGAGGTCAATCGAGTTTGTCTCAGTAGGGAAATCACCCTGGTGCTGGATTTTGGCCATGTAGAATCAAAGTTTGCCAAAGCTGATATCAGTGCAGGGTGAAGTGTGCAATCATTGAGCAGAGCAAGATAACAGGATAAAGTATTGGCTGGTGCTCTGTCACAACACATAAACATGGAATTTGCTCCAGTTTCTTACTCACATTTACGGTTTTGTCAGCTGTCCAGGTGCTGAACTTGAATGTCCGACCAAAGATTCACATCAATGCCAGAACTCAGGTGGCCATGCCATAAACACAGGCTATTAAGCATGAGTCTCAGCTTTGCTGTACAACAAAGACAAAAGGAAATTCTCACAAATGTTCAAACCAGCCTACTTTCTAAGTGAACAAGGACATGTTGACAAATCCGAGGCCTTCACACCTTTCTCTGATAGAGCTTGGAGAGAAACGATGTGATTCTCTAAACTCTTTAGGGGAGATCATCTCTTCATTTTTAGGGGAGATCACACCCAACACCCAAATAATATCCAGCTAGCAGTGGTCCTGTGGTGATTCATTTTCATTCATTGACAGTGTAGACGGGATGGTAGCACACAAATTGTGGAGCTACAGTCAGAAATGGTAACATACAAAGTGCACCTACAGTACAAAAGTCAGAAAACATTCCTTTAGATTATTTAATTTCCAGTCAAAACAGTCGAAAGTTCATTTTCAGTGAACAACGAACAACATCTCAACAACTAATTTAAAAATCATTTGGTTTATTATTTAATTCACCCTCTCTTTTTTGCACCCTACTGCCACTTTCACTCTTCCAAACCAATTCAATGTAGCTGTGCCTTCCTGACCTAAGTTGTTCCCAAAGGATTCGCTGACATTATGTTCCCCTTCATAGAGACACTAACATTAACACAAACTCACCTCAGCTGCCGACGTCTTTCTCATGTGCATCTAAAAAGGCTACAGGAGATTTCTTAGGAGACTAGATATAATCCACTCACACAAAAATGAGAAAGTGGGAAAGAAAAGAAAGAAAGAAAAGAAAGAAAAAAGGGAAGATAAGGCAGTTTCCAAATGATTTAGAGAAAATGAAGCCCTTAACAACTATACAAGACCCTGATAGACACCAAAACTGTCCCCATCAGATAAACAGCACTTAAAGCTTTCATCTTTGAGAGAGAGGAGAAAATCAAGCTGCTTCAGATCTGAAAACATCCACAGGTGTTTCTGTCCATCCTTCCACTGTGAGAAGACAACTCAGCACTCTGGGTCTGAAAGGATGTGTAGCTGTTAAGAAGCTCTTACTGAGAAAGGAGACAGACACGTCAAACAAAGAAGCCGCTAGTGTTGCCAGAACAACAGACCACCCCAAAGTTCAGACCTGTGCAGAAAATGCAACTTCTAAGGCTGAACTTCGGATGTGTGGAAAAATATCCCTGCAGATTTCTTTGAAAACTGAAAGTGAGTCAACTGAAAAGAATGAATAATAAAGCTGTACTAAAGATAAATATAAACATTAAATACTGAAAAAGTTGATATTATATTTAGTTGTTATGGATTCTGTGTATTGTTTTTTTTATGTTTTCCGCTTTTTCTTGATGTTGAAAAATGAATAACTTGTCCTTAATGGCCCTTTTGACTGGAATTAAATAAATGAAAAGGGGGTCTCTGAGTTTTGCACAGTATGGTAAAAGGTAAGTGTATTCAATACATTAGTAACTCACTGTATACACAGCAACACAGGTCTGTTCTTCTAACATGTTCCCTGGTTCACATTCAGGGCCTTGTATGTGTCCTGGTGCAGGTCACTCTTGGTGACCGTGTTCAGATTCAAGCCCTCTGATCACTGAGCCAGCACAAACCTGCTTATGTAACATTTAAAGGGCCCATATTCTTCATTTTTCTGATATTTTATTTCATTTCCTGAGGTCCAATTGTGATGTTTTTAAGGCTTTGTCAGACCAAACAGCCGTAATTTGTCTGTATATCTAAATATATACTGGTATATGTAAATGAGCTCTGTTCTGATTGGCTGCTCTGTGTTGTGCCTCACTCAAAAGGCTGAATAGGTTGATGTATGTAAATGTGTTGGCTTTTGTGACATCATGAAAGCAAGGAAATCAAAACTTTGTAGCTTAGTTTTCAGCTATGGACGTATTACATCAAACTCTTTCATTTGATTATATGGGATTATAAATAGAAAGTCCTGTACACCCCTCCCGTGACCTCTGTTTGGAACATCATGGTTATTTATCTTTAGATCCAGATGAAATGTCACTGTGAAGGTCAGCGATAAGGTCTGAGACAGCAGGTAATCTTTAACAGAATGATTTTGTTATCAGTATTTTTTTATCAGTGCAGGGTCTCATTTACTGATGTAAGAGTCTAGTCTCAGCCATCACAACAAAACATACTGCACCTTTTAAAAAGGTGTCAAAAAGGCTTCTTTGTAGCAAAGCCATAAAAACTGCTTTTCGTTCATTAAAGAACCTTCCAGTGAATGAAAACAACCAGTTTTGTAAATGTAATATCTGGGCATGAAGAAGCTTTTTAAAGCTTAAAGGGCTCATATTATGGAAAACTGCACTTTCCTCACTTTTAAAAGAAAAGTTTGATGTAGTATGTAAATATTGTTAAAGCCTGTTTTGACATTATTTGTTTTTATGACATCACAAATACCAACTCACTGACATACATCAGTTTAGCCCCGCCCCTTTATACTGAAGTTATAAGGCGTGTTTCAGCCTGAACTGCTTTTTTTATGAGACACAATACAGGGCTGCCAGTTTGGTCTTGTGGTGAAAGCGAAGTTGTTGCACAGAAATGTTTGATTCTACAGTATAAAGAGAGGTTAGAAAATGACACGTAATAAATGAATTATACATGAAACCACACAAAAGTTATAAGGGGAAAAATAAAACATAAAATGTAGAATTTGGGCTCTGTAAAGTCAAGAAACATCAAGAAAGTAAGCCAAAAACCATTTAGAACCATTTAATGGGAATCGGTTTTGCTTATTAATGGGAATTGGATTCATGGTTACTATTAGAGACCACTGGTTTCCTGTAGAACTTTAGATCTCATATAGGAAACCTTCAAGTGCATCTGGATCGTCTCAGAACACCTGTTAAACCACTAGAATTCTTGTGAAAAACACAGAAGACAATAAGTGACCATTGGACACCACCAGGTGTCCAATAGTCAAATTGTCCAAAACAGAAAGTTTTACTAATTTCTATGAATTTTTCAGCAGGGTTCTTACTGAGCCCCTAAAGTGCCATTGTTAAAGAAAATTGAAATGACATGCGTTCCCTTGCAATATTTTTGCATTCTCTTGCAATGTTCACTTGCAGTGCTTTTGCGTTTGGTTGCAAAATTTTTGCATCACCTCCCAAAAGTTTTGTGTTCTCTTGCAGAAGTCATTTCATTACATTACATATCCAAGGTAAAGGAAAATTATTGCAAGAGAACATAAAATATTTGTGAGAGAACTTAAAATTATTGCGAGGGAGCACAAAACGTGTAGCCCAGCTGAAAAAGGATCATTAGAAACCATTATGAATAAAACCTAACGGTTTTGCTTTCTAATGGGAATTGGCTCAAAGGTTTCTAATAGAGACCACTAGTTTCCTGTAGAACAGATTTAGATCCTATTAGGAAATCATCAAATGAATTTAGAATCAGCCATTGGTCACCTGTTAAACCATTCGGCTCCTTTCCATTGTGATATCAACCCTTTAAAAAAAATCCAAAACCCATTACAAAACCATCAGGAACTAACAGAAACACTTAATGGTTTATATGTTTTTTTCAGCAGGGAGGAACGCAGAATTAATGCGAGGGAAGGCAGTGTATTTTTTTTTAACCACGACCTCTTAGAAGTTCCGTAGATTTGTTTCTCCAGCCTGGGGTCTTTTATTTTGACGTGAGATGAACAGAAACGTCAGAAACACGCGCCTTGGAAAACTCACATGGAGTGGCTGTAGAGACACTGAGACGCAGTAAACACAGTAAACTGAGCTGAATTACTATGAAAACAGCATAAAGAAAAACAGTAACAACGAACCAGCGGAGCACAGTGTTCGTCCGTGATCAGCTGAAGTGAAGACATCTACAGAAATGGCCACCGACGCAAAGAGACCGAAGGTAAACAGGGCAAACCGGCATCAGAGTTTGTGGAACATGAAGTTGATTTCATGGATTGAAGAATTTCTGTACTGAACATTTACATTTACGACTCTTATCCAGAGCGACTTACAGAAGTGCTTTGTTGTCTAATCAGAAAACAGGCTGTATTTACCCTTAACAAGCACCAATAGTTCAGAGCCCCTTTCAGCTGAGAGAAGCTACTGTCATACAGCTAAAAGAGTCAGACACACACAGAGAAAACGACACTTCATACGAGCAAACACAAGACATTTGTGCAAGACCAGTGTTTATCAAACCGCTGTGCAGGCTTCGTTAAAGTTAATGCTGCTCTCCAATGTGTTTCAGAGGGAGGGTGAAAGCACACGTGGCAGTGAGGATGAGCCTCTGCACAACTTCTTACTGTGGTGTGAGAAAGTCAACCTGAAGCTGAGCGACAAGGCAAGTTCAACCATACATCAGTGTCTTTAACATACAGACACAAATGCATCTGTGTGGTTTGATTGTATTTGTAAGTTTTAGTCTTGATGGTTTGTTTGTTTTTGGAAGGTTTTATTCTTGTTTTAGTCTGACAGGTAGTTAGATAGATGTACAGCACCGTTCACAAGTTTGAATTTTTTTTTATACGGTGTAGATTGACAGTTTTTGAGTTTAGGAACATACATAAGAATTTTTTCCAAGTAATTTTGGACCCTTTCTGTTCGTCCATTCATCATACAATTTTGACACAACATAAAGGGCAACTGGTCTTTTCAAATTAGGTCAGTATATAACAAATGACAAAAATGGAGATTTTTAGTAATTTCGATTTTCTAGTAATTTCTTGTCATGAAAGCATTCTGAACAGTTCTTTGATCAGATCAGTCATATTTGAAAAGCAGTGACCAAATATGAGGCATTCTGAGTATAACTTTTATTATAAGTTCATTCTCAATGCTGTACAGCTTTCTCAATGATTATGGAATCATCTACGGCTCCTTTCATCATCAAAATTGTTGAAAAAATGTATTTTTTACAGCTTCCTGCAAATAATTAGAAATCTGTAGAATATTAGTATCATATTAGAATCATTTTATACATGTACCTTGAACAACAAAACTGGTTTCGTATAATTGAAATCAGTGATCCCAAATTTTTGAGTAGTAGTGTACTTTATTCATCATCAAAGGAAAATTTGGGTGAAACAGTAGCTGAAGGACACAGGATGTTATTTACACAGAATAAACAGACACAGTTACATACAGTTATATACAAAATTTGGGCACTGGGCTGTTCAAACTCCTGTGTACTGAATACTGCATATATTTATATTTGCACAGTGATGAGTTTTATAAGTGCTACTTGACTTCACCTTGATCTGCTTCTCCAGGTCTACTTAAGTAAAGAAGGGACTGTAGCTGAGTACGGCATGCTGGCTAAAGATGACATAGAGCAGGGCCACATCCTCTTCTCCATCCCCAGAACTGCCCTCCTGCATCAAGGCACTTCCAAAACCAAGAAGGTCCTTGAAGAAGGTCAGCAAGCAGATTAACTAGTTGAATTATGGTTGACTGAGATGGGTTTCCTGAGTTCTGAATCTGTTTTGCAGGAAAGGGGTGTTTGGAGAGCTCCTCAGGCTGGGTCCCGCTGCTCTTGGCACTGATGTATGAGTACACCTGTGCAGAGTCACACTGGAAGCCTTACCTGTCCCTCTGGCCTGACTTCAGGAAGCTGGACCACCCCATGTTTTGGTAAGGGGCTTTAAATTGTCTTTAGGTGTTATGCCTATACTTTGCAGCAAAGCAGCCTTTTTTTAAATTAAAAAAGGGGATAATAAAGGTAGGGATGCACCCATAAAGGAATTGTGGCTGATATCTGCTATTTTTCATGTACATATGTGCTGATGCTGATATATAAACATCTATAAAATGTAGAAATTGAGACTTCATCCATCTGTATTAGCATTACTGAGGAATATTCATTACTGAAAGGTTACAGTCTAAAAAGTGATGTGTTGAACTGCAACACACCTATCTGTGTTACTTGATTTAACACATTTTGTGTTGAAAGTAACACAAAAATGTGTTGTCCTTAACAGAACACGTTGATGTGCATAGTTAAGGACAAATGTTTTAATTTTAACACACCTACTTTAAAAAGTATACAAAGTGCAGTAAAATGAATACAATGCAGATATTTTACCACAGTAACCCAGTGTCACCTAAACATTCTGCTCTTCCATCGTACAAAAAATACATATATCGGTTTGAAATATTGGTCAGAACCTAAACCTCTGTCCAACGCTGGCAGTTATTTTGTAAGCAACTCTGTCAATACTGATATGATTCCGATATCATTTTGCATTCCTAAAAAAAAAAAGGTATTCTGTTCTGTTCTATTCTCTATTCTATTCTGTTCTTTAATGTGTTATTAAGGTCTAATTTTTACATGTGTACCATTGCAATGTTGATCCTACACTTAGTTTGGTTGTTTAAGCTGCAGTACATAAGATTTTTTGTTAAAATTAAAAGAAGTAGCAATACTGAATCAGGAGAAAAAAAACTAAAATATGGTGTCTCTGTGCTGTTTTGAGGGCTTTGAGTGCCCTCACAATCATCAGATTCATCTGCTCGGGGAAGGGAAAGCAAAACTGTTGCAACAAAATGTTACTCTTTTCGACCAGAGAGGTCTCCAAATCCCCAAAGCTGACATAGATTAGCTTTAAGTCACAACCTGAAAACAGTGGGTGTTGTCACAAAGCAGCTTTACAGAAATCCGGGCTCAAGCCGCAAGTGAGCAAGCCAAGGGTGGTGGCGGCAAGAAAGCATAGGAGCATGAGGAAGAAACCTTGAGAGGAACCGAGACTCAAAAGGGGAACCCATCCTCCTCTGGTCATCATGGGATAGCTAAACAATAATACAAAAAGAGCAATAAGAATAAGGATTTCACAATTAATATACAAAAGCGATTAGTGAATAACGAAAAGAAATGAGGTTGTCATTGGATAGATGTATTTAGATTAGCCAATAAAACTGATGACTACTGTTAGAAGCCTATCAGAGCGAGGAAGAGAATCAAGTCCTTGAAAATCAATAATAAGTTATTACTGTATATAAAATAAGTGATTAATGTAACTACTAGTGATTCCAAACATTTGAACGGTAGTGTATTGCTGCAGCTGAAACATATCTAATAAATCTGTGTATGACATGTGATGTAGGTCGAAGGAGGAAAGAGAGAGGCTTTTGAAGGGGACAGGTATCCCTGAGGCAGTGGACACAGACCTGACCAACATCCAAAAGGAGTATAATGATACAGTTCTACCCTTCATGCGCTCACATCCAGAGCTGTGGGACCCTGAGCGCCACTCTGTGGAGCTGTATCAGAGTCTGGTAGCTTTCGTCATGGCCTACAGGTGAGGGAGCTCCGCACGTCTGTGGTGTGGAATAGATGAGGGGCCATATAGGTCACACTGGAACATCCTTCAGTGAATGTTATTGTACAGGATTTAACGGTTGGATCAGAAAACAAATGTTTTATATTAGAACTAAAAAGAGAACAGTTCTCCAGCAGTGATTAAATGTCAATTGTCCTAGAAGGACAGGCTACTTATTACTTACTCAGTGGCTTCGTCACTCGTCATTTTGTGCGTCAGTTTTATACCAGTATCACTGTAAACACTAGAGGAATCTGATCCTGGACCTGAATTCCTATCCTGAGACATTTTATGAATACAGGACCATTTTTTCTACATGAATATATATGCATATTTTTCATCCCTTCCTTTCCTTTCAGTTTCCAGGAGCCTGTTGAGGAAGAGGATGAGGATGGGGATGAGGATGAAGTGCACAACCCTCCTATGATGGTGCCAATGGCTGACATGCTCAACCATGTGTGCAACCACAATGCCAATCTAGAGTACACACCTGTAAGGCTTACTAACACAAGCATACTCCCTGTAATGATCCAAACAAAAAAGTTTGTTTGAGCTGTTATTATTATTCCCTTTTCCCCACTTCAAGGACTGTCTGAAGATGGTAGCAGTGCGGCCGATCAGGAAGGGTGAGGAGATCTTTAACACCTACGGTCAGATGGCGAACTGGCAACTTCTGCACATGTACGGCTTCACGGAACCCTTTCCCACCAACAGCAACGACACGGCAGACATACAGATGTCCACTGTGTACAGAGCAGCTGTGCAAGGTGCCATATCAACATGTTTTTAACAAATTTTAGTGCTAAATGCAAATTAGTCCTTTAGAAAGAGAGTAAAACGGTTTGACTTGACATGCTCCTCAGCTATTTAAACTGGCTTATAGCTAAATGAGAATATCTGCCTAGTTTAGTGTTTCTGCTCTGTTTGTTTTTCTGTGACGATCCCAGTTTTTGCTGCCTCCTGTAGAAACTCAGAGTGAAGCAGAACAGCGCCTCCTGGTGGAGAAATGGAAAATGCTGTGTGAAATGGAGACGGTTGGGGAGAGAGGAGTCTTTGTTTTCGGCAAGAATGGGTCACTCACAGACACGGAACTATACACAACCCTGAAGGTACCAGATTGAACATAATTGTCCAGAAACAGCCAAAGAAAGCCTAGTGTGGGGTGCTCAGTTCTGGTCCTGGAGGGCCGGCGTCCAGCACAGTTTGGTAGTTGCCCTATTCAAACATGGCCATTAACAGATGAGTGTAATCAGGTGTGTTTGAGCAGGTAAATCACCAAATTGTGCTGGACGCCGGCCCTCCAGGACTGGAGTTGTGCTCCCCTGGCCTAAAACCATCTTAAAGGGGAATTCCACAGATTTTTCAAAATTGCTGTATAATTAAATTGAGTTGAGATGTAAACAAATTCACTGCTAATGGTCTGATGTGAAGTGGTTCATTGTAGAGAAACTTACAGACTCAGATTTCTTTACAGTGGTGGTGATAGGAACCAGGGGTCATGATGTCTACAACACAGATATAGCCATTTTATTTACTATGTGAAATGACCAGTAAACATACGTATGTCCTTTGAATTTTCATATTTAATGTTGCTAATGGTAAAATATTGTTAAATCTGAACTGTTAGCTCATATAATCTGACTATTTTGTGTCTCTCCACCATGAATAAAACTATCATAAAACGTTTCAGAAATCTGGCAGCTTATTTGTAACTATTTCATGTAATAATTTGTGATGTAGCTTTTAGAGCCATTAAACTCTTCAGACAACTGGTTCCTATCCCCACCACTGGGAACAATTCTGATTTATCAAGTTTCTCTTTAATGGAGCATTTCGTATCAAACCACTCTGAATTACTTTGTTGATACCTTCATTTAATTGTGCAGACTTTTTGAAAAAAAATGGTGGAATTGCCCTTTAATTCATACCGTAACGTGGAGCCCTCGTGTCCTGTCTGTGTAAAGTTTTTGTTCTGCTCTAGATAATGCAGAGTGAAAACTCAAAGCTGTGTTGGAGGACTTCACTGAAAACCTCTGTAGCTTTCATAAGCTAGTTTTAAAGGCAGTCGTGCAGATCCAGCATTACTTTATTCTAATTGGTGTAATTGTCGTATTGTGATGTTCTGTTTTTAGGTCCTGTGCATGAGCAAAGAGGAGTTTAAAGAATTCCAGGCAAATGAAGGCTGGGAAGAAGATGACGGTGATGATGAAGATTCGAAAATGGCTCAGGCACTAAGCTTTGAGGGGCTGCCAGCTCTGGCTCCAGAGTGGAAGCGACTGTTACATGTGGCTGCAAGCCTCACAATGGACCAGTACTCAGAGGACATGGACTCAGACCATAGGCTGCTGGAGGAACCAAGAGCTCTGACCAAACTCAGCCCCAGAGAGAGAAAAGCTCTGCATGTACGGCTCAGCCAGAAGAGCATCCTCCACCGCCTGCAGCAGCTCACCCAGCACAGTACAGCTTAGTATACCTTAGCCAGAACAGTTTCCAACACCCAACCCGAGACTCAATACAGTCTATTCTCAGAAACGTCTGTGAACTGAATTGCTTTCACAGTGAAGTCCACCTTTCTCCCCCCCCAAATACTATATGACTCAATTGTCATTTAGATAGGAATTGGTGCACTGTGGAGAAACTTACCAACTCCAGTTTCTATATAGTGGTGGTGACTGGAACCAGGAGTTGCAATGTCTTTAATGCAAATATAACAATTTTATTTACTTTTCAAAACTACTTGTTGAACCTGTGTCTCTTCTGAGTTTTTTTCTACATGGTGTTGGCAAATTTGAGAAAGAAGAGAGAAAAAAAAAAAAAAAGTGTTCTTTGGGTATTATTTTGCCCTAGAATGCCCTGCATGTACCTCTTGGCCATGAACAAAATAAGTAAATACAATTTTTGTAATTTCCTATAATAATTTTGTATTATAGCAGTTCCCATCACCACCCCAGTGAACAATTCTCAGCAAGTGGCTTTCACATCAAATGACACTGAATGACCTCAATGATTTAAAAAATCTATGCGTAATTCAGTCAATGGACATCCCCCATAAAAGACATTGTAATAACTTCTCAATGGCAAATACGACATGAAAACACATGAGAAATGTGTGCATGGTACAATACTGCAACATTGAAAGATACTCAATACACAAATGTACCAACTTATTTCAGTTCACATGTCCCTGTTGTCTTTGAACTGCTGTGCACACCATCACATCACTTCTACACAAGCCCAATTAATCAGTATATGGTAGATTAAGTATGGTGTAGATAAGAGTCCTCCACAGTAAGATCTAGGCTCAAGTCATGTACTGCATTCAGTGGTACTTGGCACATGCGCTGACAATTCCCCATTTGTGTGTGCATTTAAAAGTTCATGGTAGTACTTGGTTTCCAATTACTTGGATCATGTCTGGCGGTGATAGAACTGTCTGAAATGGAGAATTGTGTTTTGCAGCTTCCCAACTATGACAGTATTGGTCTGAAATGCAGTGAAAGCTGCCTGTAATTAGGATCAATTTACAGCAAAGCCACATCATATGATCTATAATTCTACACTAACAAAAAATAAATCTTGGTGCAGCACAATGTGACACCACCCACTACAGTAATGATCAGGTTTCTACAGCGAGTCTCAGGCTTCAGGTACATCATCCTGGTGGTTGACATCACAGAACAGACCAAAAATCAATAAACACTCTGTACCCCACTCTGCAGTTCAAGTGTTTAATGCGGTAACTACAGAATGCATACATACAGGAAATAAGTAGCAAGAACTAAAGGCAACTAGAAAGTACTACAAAATACAACACGCGGACCAATACATTTACAAAACATTCAAAATCCTTACAAAATGGGCTGTATTGGTCCTCCTTTTTGTTCCGCAATTTGGATCTTTGTACAAACTTTAAGATTCAAATTACCATCAAATTCTGAATATTTCCACAATTTTACAAGTGCCAGGGAGAACCTCCTACCCACTGTCAAAACGGTGCAAACCAGCAACCCCAAAGCACCACTGCACTCTAGGACAAAAATCTGTCCGTGCCTATCCCCTCTCCACACCAACAGCTCTCCCCTTAAAACAAAATCTGGAAAAAAATAAGACAGCTTCCTTTAAGTCACTAAGCTTCCAAACAAAAAAGATCAGTCTTGAAGGCAAGAAAAAAAAATAAAATAAAAACCTAAATTCATGGTGGTGGAAGAGGGGGAGCCAAAACAGGCAGATGAGAGTGTATGCTTATCCATATGTGCACCAGATACCATGAAGGTGTTAAAGCATGTGATCATGCTTCTGTGTCAGATTTGAGCTTTGGATAGCAAGGGGAAGGGGAAAGGTTATGCAAAAACTGCTCTTAAAACGTCCCTTTTCTTAATATTTACACAAGCTTTGTTTTTAGACTGTTTAACAGCATGCCTTCCCCTCGCAAAATAATATCCCTAAACTCTTTAGTCTGGGCGAGAGGCAGTCCCGGTATAAGGTAGTCCAGTGCTGGCTGAGATGAGATGATCCGATGGGAGCAGGGCATCAGTGGAGGGCTACAGGGGAGATGGGAGGCGTTCTCTCTCTGGGCTCAGGAGGGACGATTCCCGCAGCCTAACTGGCACCCGTGCCTTCCATCACCTGCTGGGCCTGCTTCTGCCCCATGCAGCACTGAGCCACTGACTGGAACAGCCTGGATTAAACAGAGCAAGAACCATGGTAGTTTCAAGAAACGTAGCAAAGCTCAGCCTTTATTATTTATAATGTAAGGAACAAGATTTTGCCACTGGTGAAACTGAGAAAATACTCACTTCTCGATCTCTGGGGCACAGTGAACAAAGTCATGGCTCCAGAACTTAAAGGCTGGGTTCTTGATCAGCTCAATAAAGGTGATGAGGAGTCCCCAGGGATGTGGCCTGTTTACAATTAGCCTCTCCAGCAATACCCTGTACCAAACAACATGCAAATGAGACCCATACAAAAGGCAAAACTTCCAAAAAGTTTAGTCATGTTTCTCTGTAGTTCTGGTATGTCAGTTTTAAGTTTTTCACTTTGAGGAACCAGCTAGATCATTTGCGACTTGTATTTTATTCATGAATGCTTTGTCTAGAATAAAACATTCTGCCTGGACAGAGCTAGAGGGGGTAAAAAGTACCTGGTGATCTGCTCCTGAATGGCCTCTGCATTGGCTTCAGCAAATAGGTAGAGCATGGTGCAGCTGAAGTAGTGCGTGTGGCTGTTCGGATAACGCAGCTGATTGGCTATCGCATTCAGAAACAGATAACGCCCTGAAAGTAAAAGCACAGGAAAAAAGACAGATGAGTACTGGACAAGAAACAACTGGAAAGAAGCCACAGAACAACTCCAGCCACAGTCTATTCTCAAAACAGTGCTCATAATCAGGTCTACTTTACTTTATCTGTGCATTCACAGGCTACAGTAACCAGGCTGAGTGGCACAAATGCATTTTTTTGCCTTAATGTGTGACAGATCTGATGTTTTCAGAGTCGAGTAGGGACGCAAGTCTGATCTTTTAAAATCATACCTAAACAATTTTCATGTGGTCCTAGATTGGACACATCTGATTCACGGCCATGCCACCTTAATGAGAATTTTTCCAAATAGGAACGTGTGTGGCAGCAGTACCTAACGAAGTGGGTGCCAGTAAACATAGCAAAAGCAATGCATTTGATCTTTATTTGCCAGAGTCAGAACTGTTTAGAGCAAACTGTCTTTAAGACAATCATTTGTTCTTTTTCTGCTAGTTGTCATTTTTGCTACGTGGTTCATTCACATTCATTCACCGAATTTATCGCATGCATGTGGGATGTTTCAGAGCGCAGGTTTGTTCATATAGATCCTGAATGTGTACCATAAAGTCAAAATCAGATGTGAGCCAAATTTGGAAATTTGAATTTGGCTATGGCTATAACTGCATGTATCTAAAAATGCTATAGACCCTTCACAACCTGTTTGTGTTCTGGGCAGGGACTACCATTTATGAAATGTATGTGAATCTTTGTCCTCACCCTCAGTGTCCAGGTCCACAGCGAGGTTCTGGAAGATGTCCATATGTGCCGAATGTGTAATGGTGCTCATGGAGGGTGTGCTGCCCTTGTTGTGGATATGGGCGATGGCCTGTGTGCCCACATACAGCACCAGGGCATTGATCAGCTGGATGTTGTAGCGATTACCCGGCTCATTGGACACCTGATGTAACGAAAAACAATGAACAAAGACCAAAACAGTCCACTTTAGCTGTGAAGTTATTACATGAGTACTTTGAGATCCCATACCTGCAGGTTGCTGCGCAATTCGGAGAGGAAAGTAACGGGAGATCGGGTCTTCAGGTATGAGTCCAGATCCTTTTTGAACTGGGAGGGCATCACACCAGTGAAGTTCGTAAGGATGCGCGGGGCGATGTTAATTTCACTTAGCATGTCCACCTGGGGAAAGTGGTAGACCCAAAAGCATCAGCATACATTAACATTTAAGACCTTGTCAAGATGGTCAACTGGAATACTGCAGAATAAACCTTATTCACCATAGTTCTGAGAAGTGAATGTGCTGAGCTACCTTGAGGTTGGGAGTGAAGGGGTCTGGAAGCCTCATGTTGCGGGGGAAGGCACTCAGGATCAGGTTCCTCAGCTGGATGCAGTTTGGTGGTATCACATCACAAAAGCCGTAGTGATAGTCACACAGGAACTCTGGGAAGTCGTGGAGCAGTACCAGAAGAACTCGCAGGGTGCCCTAAAATAAAACCAGCAGACAGTTAAGTTACTCACTTAAAAAAAAAAATAAAATAAAAAAATAAGATGTGGTTTAGCAGCCAAAAGGCAAAGAAATAAGTCAAGGTCTCAAGTTTTTTGAGCAATACTTCATGGAATGGACTAATGGAGCAAATGAGTGGATACCTTATAGAGGATTTGCATAGGTTTGTTAAGCTCAACATTCCTCAGGAAAGGTGCCAGGTACTTGAACAGATCAATCAGCAGCTGGGCATACATGGGCCAACCCTGCAGTGTGCAAAAAAACCAAAAACAAACCAACCAAACCTCATTAGGATGCCGTGAAATCTATTCTGATGCCAGGAACTCTATTGCCTTTTTCCTGCATGCTCATCAAGCACCTACCTTCTGCTGTGGTGTGTGCGCCAGCATCCTGGCAATAAAGATTCGATGGGAGATCAGCTCCAGCCAGGCATAGACAAAGCCAGGTGCTTTAGTAGGCCTCAGGATGTGGAAGGTGTTACTTCAATGACAAACACAGACATTAACAGAACTGCCTTTGTATGACTTCACACTATTTTGCAGATACCAATTTAGTCCTGACAGTTTTCTAAGGTATGTGGAGTTGTCCCTGGGATTGGACTGTTTCTAGTCATGTAGAAACAAATGCAGAGCCTTAATTTAGTGAAAAGAAAACCCAAACTAAACCTTTATGCAAGTAATCCCAACTAGTACTGCCTTGTAGGAAAGTGCTAAGCGGCATGAAGACCTTTAGTTATAGTTAACATCAATGTATGATTAAAATACATTGCAACACCAGACAGAGGTGTGCCTTACCAGAAGGCAGTGAGGGTCTGGAAGTTGATGGTCTCCAGCACATGTTCAGGAGCATTGAGCTCTAGCAGCAGCATAATGAAAATGCGATGGTATGGCAACTGCTGGAACTCTGTCTGCCGCACGTCATGGTCCTGGATCAGCACGCCTACCACAATGCCCAACACCTACATAATTTCAAAAAGTTATTCAGGGGCAGCCATGACACCATACTACAGGGTTTGCACTTTTGAAAAATCACATTTTATAGATGCAATGACTCAAACGCAAATCAATACACAAAGTATTTGTTTCTGACCTTATTGAGAAGGTTGATCTTGGTGACTGTGTTGGTGGCCTCTCCGGAGTGTTTGACGAGCAGGGCGATGAGGCGAACAAAAGCGTCCAGGTTGTGGTAGCACTTGGCACGGATGATGGCAGAGCTGGCCGCTGGGTTGTGCTGCTGCTCAGCCTGTGCGCGGTAGCTGATCTCCACACACATCTCCGTACACAGCCGGAAGAAACGGGTGATTAGGTCGTCAGTCTTGAGAATGCCCTGCTGATGCATCTGCAGACAAGGACAAGTGTAAGAACAAAGGCATGAACCAGTGCATGGATAAGAGCATTGTACAGCACACCAACATGGTAAAAGGAGACAGACGTGTAAAGGACACTAGCCTGAATTTGTATATTTTGGTTGAAACACCTTACCACCCAAAACAATCCATAAACCAAGCTATTAATAATACTGTTGATCAAACTAGTCTGACTGAAGTGACAATCTTTTGTCATTTATTACTAGAATAAGGGGCATCCTTAGTTCCAAGGTCAGCGCTGGCAAATCAAGTTGTTGTCGTCCATGTCAAATAGCTTTGTATTTACTTCAAAATACAGCTCGAACATCAGTGAAGTTGCTCTAACCTGGCCCACAAAGGCAGAGAAGGCCTTAGTGCTGTCCCTGCCTGCAGCAGCAGAGTGGTACAGGTTGACCCACTCTCTTAGTAGATACTCTGCTTTCTCACGTAGGCCTGGTGGATCATCATACTCGGACGCCTGAGAGATCCCAGAGTGCATCATAAAGTTGGGTCCACCATGGTGCCTGTCAATCATGGCCTCGTAGTTGGAGCGGACCACATCCATCAGTTGGGGCAGGCTGGAAAGAATAAGCATATTTCAAAAAAATCAACGAAAACTCAAAACAAAGCCAACGAGAGACGATACTTATGGGTCTAGCTTCTAGATGTGCCAAACTCTTTGTTCCTGGATGAGAACTTATTAAATTCTTATTTTCAGTTCAAAACGAACCTACCACTAACATTGTCATTCAGGCCCTACAACAAGCATTGCACATTTCTCAACCCAAAAGACAATAGTTTTGGGCACCCTAGAATGACCCAGTTACAGAGTGTAAGTACACTAACCCTTCAGGTGCATTGGCTCTGGAGTGTGCACAGGTCCTCATGAGGGTCTCAATAGTGTGAAACAAGTCTGCTTCAGTGATGTGACTCACGCTGCGCTCATCCACCAGCAGCAACTTCACCAGCTGCATAGCAAACGCCACTGCCATGTAGTGCAGCCCATTCTCCATTGACTGGGGTGAATAAGGAACATTAAATCACCTACTGCAGTAGTACTTGATAAAGCGCTGTTTAAAAGTTTTGGACAAAGCAATCATTTCAGACAGGTCACTATGGAACTTAGCCACATATAACAGGAACACAAATCTATACATTTCCCTACCTGGGCCAGGTGCAGGTCATACTGCTGCATGTTGACTAGGTGGTTTCTGATCAAAAGCTCCACTGCCTCCACATTGTACTTATACTCATCACGACACTCCATCAGGCACCTGTAACATTTTCAGCAGCAAATTGCAAATGAGGTGGTGTAAACGGTTATTTTGCTACTTGTGTTTTTAAGAACGTGTGTGCAGCTGGCACTGACCTGGTGATCTGTTTGTTGCACCACTGTGGCCCATAGGCACGGCTGTCCTGCAGTGCTTTCAGCACCAATAAGTGGCACTCTCTATAGCTCAGCAGCAAGTCAGCATCTGCACCACTGGTAGCATCCAGCAGGCCCTCAACAGCCTGGAGAGAGGGGTAAACACAAAATGGAATAATCTCAATCACAAGTATTACAAACTGTAGTGCAAGAAAACTACATGCAAAACCAGAACAGAATGCTTGCAAGTTTAATGTAAAACAAACAAAAACAAAAATGCCAAACATTACAAGAAGCTGAACGTCAAAAGAGTGCTCAAATTTCCAGAAATCTGGGTTAATCAACCATATTAACTACTGCACTAGAACTGTTATGCGGACTGGTTCCTCACCTTCTGCAGCAAACCCAAAGCGGTGATTCCATCACGGGAATTGCGAGCCATTACTACAGCCTCCAGGAGGCTGCGCAGGGCCTGTGCTTGCGGGTTCATGGCCAGGGCTGGTGGGATGGCATGCAAATGCTGCTCAAGATCAGAGATGCACTTATCATAGATGTGAGCCATGTCATCTGTGGGCCATGCTTGCTGCTGTAGATGCACAAAAAGAGAAGTGTGAATTAACATGTAAATAAAATATTTTCCAATATCACTTTCAAGGGTCTGACAACTTGCAAACAGAGCCTCATGAAGTAGCGTGACTGCTTATTTGGAGCATACCTTCATAGGCTGAGCAAGGAACCCAGTGGGCTGAGACAGGTCATTGCTGGGCAGGAATCCTGGAACATTACGGGCAAACTCCTCATAAACAGCCAGCTGTTTAGGGTCCACACCACCCACCTACACGAGAAGGAACAAGGTTAGACCATTCATATATCCTTTCACAGACACCTTCCCAGTGGGAAACCCTGAAAGGTATCTGCTCACAACAAAGTAAAATGCCAGGCTCCGCTATATAGGGAACACACCTTAAGGCGGATCTGCTCCGGCATGCGTTCTGCTTGGTAGGTAAGCACCATGGGGTCACAGTAGCGCCGGCCCTCCTGACGAGCATGCTTCCTCAGCTCAAACTCCTACAGCAAACACACAGGACCACAAGTGACTTCACTCCACATTGCACACTTATCTTCACCTTCCAAATAATGCAACATTTTACAGTCATGGTAACATTTATGGTAACAAAGTCAGCAAAGCTGGTCCCAGCAGCAGGCGGTACTTACAGTGGCAAGTCTCTTGTCCATTTCAGGCCCAGCTTTCTCAACAGCTGTCTTCTGGATGAAGCAACAGGCTAGTTCACAGTTGTCCTGAGCAATGCGGGCAGCTGCCTCCTCCATCATCTCCCTCTGCTGGGCTGTGGGAGCCTGTGGAACAGACAATTCAAAACTTCATGAGCACTTGACCAGGAGCACAGATACTGGATCAGTTCTTTAATATTTTGAATTTGAAAAGCATGTTAGTTCAAGCACTCATTTTGGGACACTTAATAACTAAGCCCCAACAAGTGAGGATGCAAGTCATTACCTTACCTAACTGTACTGCAACCCAAATTGTCACGTGACCATAATTCTCTAATTCTAATGAGAAAGTGAAAGGGGTCTGTTTGCTTGTACGGACGTACCCGGAGGGCAGCAGCAAAGCTGTTCTTCAGATTGGTGGCGATACTCATCAGTAGTGGCTCTCTGCAGGTGATCATGGCCATGCCAGCAGTCAGGTTGCGCATCATATGGTGAGCAGCAACGCGCATGTGTGACTCCTCCGAGTCCAGAGCAAAGTCTTTTCTGACAATCTGCTCACACGTGGTCATGGCAATCTTGATGGATCGGTCCACCACAGGGTGCACAAGCTCTTGGACAGCACGCTCAATTGCCTGCCTTACACACTGTTTTAGCTGGGGATGTGCCTGCAGCAGGGGAATCTGTTTGGGATGAGGATTGAGGAAATTAATAAGTGGATGAATAAATATTAAATTAATAAACAAACAAACAAACAAAACAACAAACCCATTTTAAGTAACAGTTATTTTTTAATTACTGATGCTTCTTAACCATACTGAAACTTCAACATAACAGACGAAAATGTTAGCTTACATGACAAATGGTGAACTCAAAAACCTATCCAAAAATTATGGACATTGTCTTTAATAAGCAATCCTGTAACTAAAATAATCTCAAATTTCCGCTAAAAAAGTCACACTGCCAATAAGCAACAAGGCGAAAAATTGCTTACGTTGGCATTGATGTTTATATGGGGGGCAAGACCTGCCAGAGCATACACGTTGATATCGTGGTAGCTGAATTGTGGGGTAGGTGGCCCTGTGGTTGCGGTGGTTGCTGTGGCAGCAGGAGCAGAAGGCGCGGCTGCAAATGGAAGACATACACCTGTGGGTTTAAACTATTAGGATTAAAACCTGAGAAAGGCAAACCAAGTATACAAGGTTGGGAGCAGCAGGAGAACATTCTAAAAAAAACAAATTAACAAGCTAACTGTTGGTGACACAAACCAGAAAGGACAAAATATTCCACAAAATATAAAACACCTGTAGGGCTGACCTGAATAACAAACTAACAAGTCTTTTGAGTCACGTTGGTATTCTTTTTATTCAAGTCCTATTTAATTTTCAGATACTTCTGAAAATGCAAAATACTTGGACATGGCTTTTCACATCAAACTATACAAACTCAACAACACTTTTGCCATGTTCATGTCGCAACAAAACACGTCTTCAAGTGAAAGACACCACTCCACAAAATCAGTAAACGCTGACACGGAGTCTGCAACTTTCCATTTTGTGAGTGAGTTTCACCTCCTCATTCAGCACCTGAAACTATGAGAGCATTCACATTTCTCTCAGAGGTGTGTAACTCCATTCAAGTTGCTTTTGGAGATGCTATAAAAAAAATAAAAAAATCTGAAGAAGCAGAACAAATTATTCCTGACTTTAAAATCTGCAGCTGCTGGTGCACAGCTGATCTGTCATCTTGCTTGTCACCATGCCAACACCAGAGACAAGTGATCAGTCAGCAAGTTCATCTCACTGAAGAAAATTAGCAAAATTGAAGAGGGTGATTACTGCATCTTTACTGTTTAATGAAAAAAAATTCACATCTAACTTTTGTATCATTGCTGTAATCTAGGTATGAAAAAAAAATCTAGTCAAGACTCATCTGCCTCATTCTCTGACAGAACATTACAGCACATCTGTTTGCATCTTTGGAACATCCATCATAAAAAGAGAGACATAACCGAATAACTGAGTAAACTGAATATATTTATAAAAAAAACCATGCTATTCAGGCCAGCTCTACAAACCACATTATCCAATGAAGAGAAATCAACACCAAGCCTTTCACAGTAAGAAAGCTTGATAAGTTTGCGCCACGTACCTGTAGTGACTATTGGCAGCATCTCTTCTGGAGGCTTAGTCTCTTTCTTTGGTGCAGACAGTTGCTCATCCAGATTCTTCAGTTTCTCTTTGTCCTTCAGCAGGTTACCTGGCTTCAGGTCATTAATGTCCAGAGACAGGTTCTTACACAGCACCTCAATCTCAAACTTCAGATTTAGCTGTAGATCCAAAGGGAGCAGGAAAGTTTGCTTTTAGCTTGGGGCTGAAAGAAGATACACAGTACACCAAAAAATGAAGATAAGCTAACCTTTAGATCATGCTCCTGGTGAAGCTCGGCCAGTACATTCATAATGGCCATGGTCCAGGGATTCTGTGGCCTGAAGACCTGCACAATACCATAAAAATAAAACTGTGACCAAAACACAGCGTTCACCATACCACAACAAAACAGTCCCACAGAAACAAAGAACTCTGACTTAAACATTTCCATGCCAAAATGTATTGTGGAGACTTCTATTGCCCTTTTAAGAAGGAGAGAGTATATTAGGAGAATATTTGATTATTACCACACTGCGCAGACTGGACTCCAGGACTTTGGCCACAAAGGGGACCACATATAGCAGCTCTTGTTGGCCTTTCACATAAGCTTCCAGTAACAGAGACTTCAACTCCAAATCCTGCACAACATTAACACAAGTCAAGATCAAGATTCAACTAAATGCACTGTGTTTGTACATCACTGGTGTAAAGCCAGTCTTCAAACAAGTCTAGACACTCCTGGTGTAGATTTTTCTGTTCTATACATTACTATGACTAAACTTCACAGAATCTGTAACACACGATTTGAAAATAAAATCACTTACAGTATAGAGGATGGGTTTGTTTTTAGCCAGGGTGATCATGCCAAGCCAGTGGCCCAAGTTCTTCAGCAGGGATCGATCAGAAAAATTAGCAGCTGCCTTGTCAGAGGTCAGGAGAACCTAAAAAGAAGAGGAGAAAAAAAGAAAAATTTCAGCTGTTTAAGCCTTACAATCTTAAAAAAAAAAAAAAACCCTCTCCAAAAAACAAATCTAAATTACTACAATTCTAACTTACCTTAATGTTCCGGTAGGTCTCATTTAGAACCATTTTGACAAACTCTGGATTTTTGAGTGTGTCAAGGAAGTTGGAGTAGAGGCTGTGAAAGTTTGGCTCAATGCTGACACGTTTCATCACCAGGTATTGAGACACCCAGGGCATAAATTCCTCCTTCACCGTCTCCTTCAGCTCTTCAACCTTACATACGCAGACACACAGACGTTACACTGAGTAGCCAATTTCCCTTTCAGCAATTTACAGAGTATGAAATAAAATACTGAAGAGCACCGTTTCATTTCATGCTGGTTATTTGTACCTTTTGAGACATGTTAGATTGGGACAGGTTGTTGAAAATGAAAGCTATCTTCTCCTGCACATTCTCCGGAGGCTCCACAATCCTTTCAGTTTGGTCTGTCGCCACCAGCAGAGTGTCTATGTTTGTGGTGTTGATCGAGGGCTGTAGATCACAAGTGAAAACAAAAATGTTACATAAAATCCTTATGAAAAGCAGTGCATCTCCCATCACCATATGTCTGACGTGGGATCCAGGACACCTCAAAGCCACCAGTGTGCTTCACTGATTGTGCTGCGAATTACAAACCCACAGGGAGAGGGGAAGAAAAGAACGAAACAAACCCACCCCGCACACTAAGACCTGAACTAAGAGCCTGATCCATGCATTTATTCTAGCATGCACACATTCTGATAGAGTCTACTCACTGGCACATCCTTCTTAAAACCTACTGCAGTGGGCCTGGAGATGGTGGAGGTTTTGGCGACTGTGGTGGTAGTGGTCGTGGTGGTCACCAGGGTGCTGGCCTGGCCAGGTTGAGGGGCTTTGGGTGGCTGAGACTGGGCTTGGGCCTGGGCCAGAGCGAGGCTGCCCGGTGTGGTGATTGAGCCCTGCATTTTCACTGGAGGGTCACGCGACTGCTGGCCATACTCGATATACTGTATACACACAAATACAAGACTTATTTACCCAAGAGACTCACTTTTACTGCATGATGTTTTTAAGTCAACTTCAGTTTGAGTTACATGCAAATGAAAGCGCGAGTTACTGTCAAATACAAAAAACACTTTACCTCTTGCAAATGGTGGGGGAACTGCAAAAAATGGGCTATGGATGCCAAGTGCTGGCAATACTGTGGATAATCCTTCAATCTGCAAAAGAAGAGAATAAAAGTGAACCTTAAAATAACCTTAAAAGGAAGACAAATCCGATCATTTTATTTTAGATCATTTAAATTTTAGGAGGACGTTCATGAGCACCTAAAATAAATGCAGGACTCTTTATTCCTACAATTTAGACTACTCAGAACATTATTTACAAAAAAACAAAAAATAAATAAACAAAAAATGTATTATTTACATAAACAAAACATACTTACCTATTCTTAAACCGATCCAGTGCAGCAATCCCAAAGTAATACATCTTGGAGCCATAGGGTTTGCGTAATGCCTCCAGGACATATCGCAAAGCAAGGCCGAGGGCCATGTAGGTGACCAGGCCCTTCTCTATGATGCCGCCAAACAAGCAGGCGGTTATGTGGAGCTCTTTGTCTGGGTACTGGGGAAAGAACCTGTATTCTTCAAACAGGTTGCGCAGCATGCAGTTAAACACCTCCCGCTCCCGCTTGATGTTAGAGTCCTTAAACCTCTGCAGCATCTCCAGCACCTGAGTGAGAAAAAGATACAGCCATCCGTCACACTTCTGCAAGTGCCTTTTAACCGATAATCTGGAAATTGTCAAAGACTATGCCATCCTTAAAGAACAGCACTTTTAGAGTACAGACAAATCCAGCCTTGATCCACTGCACAGGGGTAACCGTGTGCTCACTCACCTCATCCACGGACATGGTAGGGTGAGGGGGATGGTTATAAATGCGCTGGAAATAGCTGTTGGCCTCGTCGTCGATCTCCTTACTAAAGTGCTGGTTTGCCTCAGGCCACACATGAGAGAGGTCAGCTAACAGAAACATGGGGGTAGAACAACTTACTACACTGATACAAGATATGCTGCTCTAAAAAAATAATTGAATATAATAAAATAATGCAAGGGTTTGAGAGATGGATGCAGATAAGCATCTGATTCTTGGCAAATCTCATTTTTCAGTTCTCAGTTTTAACATTTCAGACATTGTCAAATACAATAGAAGTGAACTTTAACTTAAAACCAGTTGCCAAGGAAAACTGCAGTAATGTAGACTGATGTTTTCCCTCTTTAGACTTCAATCAGAAAATGTGGCAAAAAGGAAGATTTATGTCCAGATTTCAGATAAACATTTTACAAAATATTGCAAACAGAACTATAACCTAGCAAATGCATGCGTGAAAGCCAAATAAAAATGTACACATTCTGCAGTGTCCCCATTTTGGCGGCAGTTCGAATTTAGAGGAAATACAGCTGAGGCTCCAGGCTCTCAGTCCCACTACCACACACATACACACAAACACACAGGTCTTCAACCTACAGTGCTGGAAGGTGGGTGGGTTGAGCCCTGGCGTGCTCATCTTCCTCGGGCCAAAAGGGTCGTTGTTCACTGCTGGCATGCCCAGACCTGAACCAATCCCACTCAAGCTGCCTGAACCCAATGGACCTGTCAGAATAGATTACAGTCAGGAAGTAAAATCAAACGATGCCTTCTAAAACACAGTAAACTGCATATCAGAAAAGAGACTACCTAAAAATATCAAAATCAATCAATAAATAAATAAATAAAAACACAACATAAGTTAAGAGCAAAGAGTTTTTTTCAGGTGCCTTAGTTAATAATGTAATGTCAAAATATAAGGTCTGTTCAAACAATAAGATTATTAGATTCATTATCACCTGGGAGTTGAGAGGAGAGGCCGCTAATGCCCCCAAAGGCTGTGCTGGGGTTGGGGTTGGTCAGAGGGGGAAAGGCCTTAGCAGGAGACTGGGGATTGCTGAAGGCTGAACCCAGCGGCGTGGGGAAACCTTGCATGTTCTGTGTGTGGGAGGCGGCTGAGCTACCTAGATTCAGCGAGCCCATCGCAGTGAGTGGGTCAACCTGAACCACACAAGAGGAAGAGCAGACATCCCAATCATTAAAAGTCCTTTTTAAAACACTATGCTGTACAGCAATATTGTACAGCCATGCTGGAAATTCACTACTGCCCAGTCCTACCGGAGAGATGGCATCCAGGCTGCTGGTGCTAGGAGCTCGACCCTTTGGCATTACCCCTGGTGGAGGCTGACGGGCCTTGTTCATCACATTGCTACAGTTGGCCACCATGGTCAAGATTGTCTCAGATAGCTCTTGAGACACACTCCTATTTGAATAAAAGTACAGTTATTACCCACAGAACACAAGATATATTTAGAAAAAAATTAAAATCCATTCACTGTGAAAAACTACTTTTTTTTAAAAATATCAATGTCTTCACATTCATTCATGACACTCCTGTAGATCCTTGAATGCAATCCTTCATAAAATATTTGGTAACAATAATTCAAAAGATAATGCTGGATGTGATTGGCAATTTTGCACAGAGCATTAAGCAATATGCCATAATTCTTACCCTGCGCAAGACTGCAGACAGGCTAGCATCGTGGCCAGCGTTTCAGGTGGCAGTTGTGCACTTTTGGGCTGGTCTTTCTCCGGGGCCAGCCCTCCCATGATGGTGGGACAGCGCCTCTTCAAGAAAGTCACACATGCCTGTATGAAGGGCTCCTAATAAGAAACATGGCAATTTTTAGCCTCATACTGACTTGACACCACCAAATATTCTTAAGAGAAACATGTGCACTAACATTTACCCCATGTTCTCTGATTTTATCAGTCAGCCATTTGTCTAGTTTGAGGTATTCGCGGCGAGAGGCAAGTGCAGCAAGGTCAATTACAAAGGCAAATGGAGTACCGTTTAGCAGCATCGATAGAGACTGAAACAGAGGGAAAAAATAAAGTTAGTACACAAGCCACTACAGATATTCAGGTTTGTTTATGAGAAACCACTGAAGGGCAAAGAACAGAGCGTGGCTGCACCTTCAAGTCCTGAGCCACGTCCAGGATGCGTGAGAGCTTGGCCTGGTCATATTGCTCCCCCCTCATGTACCACTCTGCCATTGAATGCATGATGAGCTGGCGAATAGAGGGTGACTGGCCCTAAAACACAGCAGCAGCAAAAGATGGCTTTTTAGTCTTGGTGAATTATACAAATCCTTCGCAAGCCTAACCTTATTTCCCCTCAAACAATGGAGGGACAAATCAAAAACAGAGAATGTCTTTATCAAAAGCGCTCATACCTGCCCATGCCAGGCATAATGCAGGATGATGGCAGAGTTGGGGTGATTGCCCAGGAAGATGGGCATAAGGGTAGAGATGAGCTCATGGCGCAGCGTGTGCCAGGATGTACTGATCTGCAGCAGCGCCAACACAAGCATGTCTGGGCAGTGCTTTATGGGGAAGCTGAAGAGCTGCTTGACCTGCTCATACTGGCCCACCTCAGACAGCCGCAGCAGACTCTCCACCAGGTCCAGGCTTTTCCTGCAAAACACCACAGAGCAGAATACCATGAATCCATAGACATACTGAATATCTACTGGAACAGCACTGACTTCACTAGTAATCTTAAAAAGGTGAGAAAAAGCTAAAAGTCTGTTTATTTCAACACTTCATACAGAAATAACAGTACAATACTATGAAATGCCGGTACAGACCATGTAGCTATCTCCCTGTTGTCATCTTCAGGTGGAGCTTTGAGGATGTCGATGGCAACTGTGTGACAGGGGTAATCGGCAAAGCAGAACACCTCTGGGCTCAATAAGGACTGCTGGATGAAAGAGAGCTGAAAGAAACAGAAAACAATGAACAAAAAGTTAACAATGAATAAAGACTACAAGTACAACTGAAAGGGGAAATCCACAGATTTAACATTTTCAGCATAATTATCATCAAGATGTGAGCAAAGTCAAGCAAGTTTGATGATGAAATGCACGATTTAGCATCAGAACTGTTCACAACAGTGATCAGAACTAGACATCAGAAGCATTTAATCCCTCTAAAAGCTACCTCACAGAAAGTGATTTATCTAATCACATCAAAATACTCTTAATTACTAAGAGTAGTAAATCTAAGCTGCTACGTCAGCTAAACAACTTGGGAACATAAGTGACGCAGCAATTTTCTACCTGGCCCTCAGCATGCTTCCAAGGCCTGTAGATGAGATCCACAGGGAAGACTTCCATACCCAGTCCCCTCTGAATCCCATAAACCACCATCTGCAGCCCCTTGCTGTCCCGGATCATGAAGCCTGGGTGGTCTAGCTCGTAGGTGACCTCTTTGAAATTCAAATTGGGGTTCTGACAGGGAACAAGTTCACCAATTAAAAACAACAGGTTGGAAAGTCTGAATGGTTAACATGGCAGAAGAAAAGACTTTTCAGCAATGAACAAAAGCACATGATGCAACTAATATCCAATAGTTAAAAATTATTACGCATCAAATAGCAACAAAAAGGACTTACGAGTTCCTTTACAACATCAATCAGAACTTCTACATTCCAGGTGTGGGGCTGAGAGCCATCACTTTTGTCTTTCCCATCACTCCAGATGCCACTTCCCGGAGCAGAGATAGACTACAGCAAGACCAAGCAAATCAACTTAACCATATTCAACACAGGTTATTCAAACCCACAGTACAGGTAATGGTTAAAACAGCTTGTGATGAGATTTTTGCAGTACCTGTAGAGGGATTCCATCTGAAAGCCCAGAGTGAGTGCGAGCCATCATGCCCAGCACTCTGGCCACTTGGCTTGCAGTCACCTCACGCACTCCATACTGTAGGATTATGTTCCTACATTCATCAACGCTGAACAAACATAGGCAATAATCACAATGTCAGTGATACTGCACAGAATTAAAAACATAGCTGAAATAGGATCATCAATTACTTAATAAAACTAACATGACGTTCTCAATGAATAGGCAGTAATCAGCAGACAATTTACATAAGAGTATTTCAAACTCTCCTACAGATCTTTCTTACAGCAATAAAGAACCAGATTCATTTTGGTTATACATCTATGCATTTAGAAATAGGTCTTTAAATAGGCTTCCAAATTGATCTTTTTTCCCCCTCAATATAGTATTCTGAAATCTTTAAAAAGCTATGCATGATTTACTGTTCAGCCATGTACATGATCAGCTCCCCCCTACTACTGATTACATGATTCAGCCCATGAATCAATTACTAATGGTGATGGCCCCAAATAGAAGGTTACATAGATATAAAAACCTTGCACAAAAGCCATAGCCAACTTCTTGCATAAACTCCGCAAGAGAACTCTCCATCATGGTCTTGGCTAACTCTCCAGAGTCTGGCAGGATCCTGTCCATGAGAATGTCCCGTTTCTCAGGGTACAGCAGTGGTGCGAGCACCACAGGACAGCGCTCCTGCGGGAAATCTGCACAGGACAAGCACAAATGTTACTTTGCCATCATTTGCGGCACAGCCTGTTCATTAAAGCCCAATGTCGCAAAAGTATGGCAATGCCATCACCCTAACTACTGTTCAAACCAATGATTAAGTGAACTTAAATACGCAAGCAGAAAAGCTTCAATGCCTCCATGTTATTAGTCACAAAACTTTTGAGGACTCAGTTCTCCTCACTGTTGTGTCTTGTGTACCTCTGCACAGTGTTTTGAGGAAAGCGTCTATCTGCTCTTGCCCGACTCCGCTGGAGCCCTTCTGCCCAAACAGGAGGTGTGAGAGCAGTAGGTGCAGAGCCTCTATGGCAATGTCCTGGAAGCCACCTTCCTGGCTGCCTCCGAGGTCCGCGTCTACGTATGAGCGAAGGAGGTCTGGAAGCTTCTGTTTCACAAACTGCGCAGCTGCCAGAAAACAGAGGAGAGATTAAAATTTAGCTTCAGTTACTTTCTCCCCAACTACTGGGAGCTTACCACAAATGTCACATGAACCCAGGAGACAGAGACAAAAAGAAAGACAAAAAAAATTGTTTACATCTGCTGCCAAGAATTAAACCCCCCCAAATGTCCCAGTCGTGAACGGTTAAATTATCAATTTTATTGTGTAGCTCTCTGGATGCCACTGTGCTTCCTATCACTATATGAAAGACGAAGGAGGCTTTTGATGCATATTCCTCATCATGTGTTTTGTTTAAATGGTAGTGTGAGACAAAGTAAACAATCAGGTCATGTTCTTTACATATCAGATAAACAGTATTCAGACAGTGTTAACAGAAAATAACAAACTGGCAGAAATATCCACCTTTTTGCATCAGCCTCAAAAGGTTTGTTTAAAAAAAAAAAAGAGAATTAAAAATTTAATTCCTGCCCAAGCACTTATTTGACTAAAATTAGAACATTGCCATCAGTCCAACGCCTACATTTATTACAGCTATATAATAATAATGGCAGCAATAACAATAACAATAGTAATAACAATAACAATAACTACAATACCAGTGCAATACTGAAAATGCTATAGGTAGAACGGTAAGGAACACTTACCAAACCCTCGCAGGTCTGAGTTACTGGAGTTCAGAAGAGCAAGGCCAAAAATAACCTAGTCCAACAGAGAGTGGGTTATCTGACAAGCTCAAAGTCAGACCTGAGTTATGAAAGGAGTTACATATTACAGTACTTCCTAAGTATTTCTGCTGATAAGGCAGTCATTCTACTCACCTCCTGGACCTTGCTTAGCTTGAGAACTTTACTCAGTTGAGGAAACAAGTGCGGTGATGGCTTCAAACTCTGTAAGAAATGTACAAGGAGAGGGAGAGAAACAATGGAAAAGACAGAAAAATAATATGAACACAAAAAGAGGACGACGGTTGGTGATTGTGGTCTTTGACGTGACGACCAAATTAAAATCAACACATAAGATAACAGAACTAGCCTGAAGGCAAACAGTGCAGTCAGAACACACATACCTTCTGATAGTGCAGAGGATTGTCAATGGCGTAGCAGAGAGTTGAAATAAAATTTGGCTTCGTAATAAGAGACACACACTCCTGGATCAGAAACTGTGTCTTAGGCAAATAGGTGAACAAAAGACAAACAACGTATTAAAATTCACAATAGATTTTTTAAAAAAATATTAAATGTACAATTATATAATGAAACCACTAATGATGCTCCAACTAATACCTCAACAACATGTAATTTTGAACATTTACAACAAAACATGTCCTTAACAGGCTCTGGACATTATGGTAGCCCTTTCATAATGACAGTCCAATACACATTAACAATGTTCAATCTGGCTCATTTTAACAAGATTTTTGTGGATCTACATTCCCTGATTGCTGTATTATTAGTATGTTTGGCACTCTAGCAGTATGACTGCCAGTTTAGGCTTGGTTTCAATAAGCACAATGAAATTAAGCACTCAGGGCTGCGACCAACTTGCTCTTCGTCTTGGGAAATTCCAATTTATGGTGATGTCACTTCATGTGCTAGTAAAAAACAGCCTACCATTTTCCATATCCATCTCTTAAAATCAGCCATAAACAAGAGATATGGGTACATGAAAAATAATCAACCAACAGAATAAAAATAAAATACCTGGTGGAAATCTTTGCCACTGCTTTTACCATCGCCACTGAAATCCACATGGGAAAAGAGACAGCGTAATAGATGCCTGTCTGCTTCAGGGCCGTGACGATTCACAATCTGAGAAAGAGAGAGTGCCAATCAAGCAAAAGTGACCCTCGCAGTTTTAACAGTTATTGCATCTGTGAATGAAATACTGCTATGACGGAAACAAATTAATCCATAAGTGAGACTGACATGCACCGAGAAGGGAACTGTGGGGTGACGTTGATAGCAGATATTTTCCATGCACGTATAACGGCAATAACAAACATTTAATAGGGAACTTCACCATTTTTGTTTTACAGTTTTTTGCATAATTAAAATCACCAAGGAATAAACCAAGCCATTCAGAATAATCTGATATGAAATGCTCCTTTACCAAATCAGAACTGTTCGCAGTAGTGGAGACAGGAATCAGATGTCTGAAGAGTTTAACGTGTCTAAAGGTGCCGTCATAGAACAGTATTACATGAAATGGATATGAATACGCTGCCTGATGCCTGAGACAATGGGCCTCATTCACCAACTACTCTTAACTTTCTTCTCAAACCCCACTTAAAGTTTTCAAAGACTCAGACATTCACTAATGTTTTCTTAATTGGGTTTTGTTCTTAGGTAAGAACAGATTCTACGCTCACTCAAGAGCAAAAAGGTGCGACCAATTCTGCGCTTTAAGAACACGTCATGAATCTGACGCAGACTCTCTCTTAGTACCTTTCTCAAGAACAAACGTAAGAAAAAAATTTGATATTGGTGAATGAGGCCCATCGTTTTACGTCAGTTTTGATAACGTTCTGGCTTAAATTGTCTACAGGAGTGTTTACATCTCAAAAACTTATTTATGTAGAATTATGTAGAAGTTATGAAAAAATTGGTGGAATTTCCCTTTAAAAACAAGAATTAAGTAAGACCGACTATCTTTACTTGAATTCACATTGCAGAGAAATGCAACATTTCTGTAGGGTCACAAACACAGTAAAATGAATAAAACACAGCAACACCTAAACATGTTTTTCTGGAGTATAATAAATATCAAATCAGTTTAAAATGTCAGTCAGTCAAATCTGAAGTTGTGTCCTATGCCGATAATGTTTTTAAACCAATATGATTCCGATATCATCGTACATCCCTTGTAAGACTATGTGTCTTCAATATATCTTTAAAGTCCTAAAAACCTGCCACAAAGCCACGTCTGCTCTATGGAACGTTTTAATTCATTCTGGATTCCTACCAAGATATTGATCGCTGACATTTACAAATTATTTTGAGGAACACGCAAGCATGACCTCACAATTAGACAACATGTCTTAAAATTTTCAATAAAAAATATGAACTCACATGCTGTATTTCTTGCTGGCTGGCTCTGTAGTTTTTCTTAGTTAAATTGTCCACCAGGTAGCTGATTTGAGACAAAGCCAGCGAGAGCGAGTCAAGATTCATTGCTGGTTGGGGCGGAAGCAGGCGGCCGAGCCCGGCGCAAAATCACCATTATTCCCCTTTAGTCACTTCAGTGATAGGTTACTTCTGCTCCCCCCCCTCCCCAGGTGTGAAAATGTCCGTGCGTCCAACAAGCGGCTTCTGTCTGTGGGTCCTGATTCAATGTACGGTCCTTCAGTGCAACTTCAAGATTGACATCTAAGCAAATTTGGGGGAAAAAGGAAGAAGAAAGAAATTAATACAAATATGCAATACAAGAACATGAATAAAACAATCATTTGATGGCACAGTTATAAGGTGAAACTTATTAAACCAACTTCCTTTGGAAAGAAACGATAAATATCGTTTAGTGCTTTGGTTCCCAACTACCTAAACCACAAGTGAGGTGGCAGCGGCACTATAGTGAAAGAAAAACTTAACGGTGCAGCAGCTGCATATCCGGAAGCCATATTAATTCCCCAGTTATGCCGCGCTCTTTAGTGTAGAAAACAACTTCACGATGTGAGGAGAAAAATGAATGTAATATTAGTGCAATCTAACCGAAAGCGGTTCAGTTATAGCATTTGAATGTGGCTGCTTGGAAACATGGAGTTGAGTCCAGCGTCCAATAACAGTGCAAATAATCCACAAAACTGAACTGCTTTACTAATCTTTTACAGACTAGCGTTACAGCGGTCCTACACAGACTCCCAGACCATCTTACCAACCAAAACGTTTACAAAGACGACTCTGATCGACCGTTATTTCCAATACAAATCAAAACAATCGAAGCCCGATACGTCGGTGGCCAGCGAGGCATCCGAAACCCTGCTTTGCCATGTAACCTCCAACACGAACATGTGTCAAGTTGGCAGCCTTTACCTAAACGAGCATTATCAATCCACTGTCCAAAATATGTCCATATCTTCAGAAGATGTAACAGTTAAACATTTAGCTTGTATGGAAATCAGCTCAAGTACACTGGCCAGGTTAATGTTAGCTTGCTCTGGCATGGCATTAGCAGGCTAACACTGACGTTAGCACTTCAACAAAACATCGAGTTTGACACGAAACTGGGAGATTAGGTGATTAACGGACTGTCGACATATTTAACATTTCCGCAAATGTTTAAGAGCCAGACGACAACCTAAGCTAGAGTCAGCTAACCTACCTACCTAACGTTGACCTACCTATGTGCACTGTACTACTGTAGCCAATCAATTCTCTCACCAGTTTGACAAGAGGGTAGCATGAAAGAACCTAGTTAACGGCTAGCTAGTCAGATTTGTCTGACAAATATTTGAATAGTCAGTAAACAAGGTAAGACACTACCAAATAAGGTTAGTCAACATTTCATACATTAGACACGGCAATACAAAACAGTAAACGGGGTGCCGTGCACATCTATCAGGTAAGAAGTTGGTAGCGGCTAACACGCTAACGTAACTAACAGCTGTATCATCGTAAAAAATAAAATATGACTGACTCGTCTACGGTGGAATATACACGAGCCGAGTCCAGCGTATTCCCAACACTGCTCCTGGACTTCTTCCGCAATGCACTAGCTAGGTTAATACGCCAATTTCAACCCCACGAAAGGCTCGGTAATGATCTGATAAGCTGCATCTGCTGTTCCACAAAAGGAAAACACCAATATGCGCAAAGCCAGTTCGATTCAGGCCTAGGACTGAGAAACTGATCGAGTCACCCAGCAACTATTCACCGGTCTTGGGTTAACGTTAGCTGGCTTAGACGACTAAACGTCTGGCTGGCTGGCTGGCTAGCTCGGCCAACCTGGCTAAAATTCATGTTAGCTAGCAGACCCACAAACTCAGACAAACCCATTGTTTCCAGACGTAGCTAGCCAACGCGACTGCTCACTCGCTAACCAGCAGCATTAGCTTGCCTTCTCATTTCCAGTTGGCTAGCTAGCGTTGAGTGACTGGGGTCTGCAGCTAAAGGAGCTCCAGTAGTTAATAGAGGCCCCTACTTACTATATACACTGCACAGATCCATGTTCTCCTTGCTCCGACGCGCCTAATTCGGCTCAAGAATGGTTTAATAATTCGGTCATGTGTGTGCTGGAGAAACGAAAACACAACTGCACTGCAGGTAAGCTAGCTAGGGCCTCCAGTAACGTTACTGGAGCTGAAGCTAAAACATTAGCAAGTCTCCTAGCTAGCTAGCTACTGCATGTCCAGAGTGGGCTACACATAACGTTATTTTAGACATAAAAATATCAACACGGGACTGTTCAGTTCTCAAATTAGGCTCAAAACAAACGACCATCTTCAAAGCTCGTCTGGAGTTCAGGACCTATCTTTAGCTAGCTAAACAACGAGACTGAAGTTGGCTTCCTATCCGCCAGCTTATTCGAATTTTCCCGTTCCACCTTAAATGGTGCAGCAGTTAACTATCTACATTCTGACGCCATAGTGTAACTGCTGCAACATTTAAGGTGGAACGAAAATTCGAGTAAGAACCTCATAGCTAAACAGCTAGCCAAGCTAAGCTACCGTGAAACATACGTTAGCTAAGCTAGCTGTAGCTAAACCAGAACACTGAAAATAAAATGACGGCTTTAGCAGAGTTTCATGCTCCTGAACTGGAACACACGCGTCCCGTAAATCACAGCGTTAATTAGGAGTTTAGAACTGAAACTGGCTAAATAAGGAAGGTGTGATTTTTAAGTGGGAGACCTGCTAAGGGAAGCTAAGTCAATGTGCTTCTGCTGCAGTGCGCTCAGTCCCGGGGAGTTTGGTGAGTGCTGGCCCGCTTGCTGCGGCCTGTTCAGCGGCTTTAGCATAGCTGGCTAACCGGGCTCGAGCTACGCGTTAACGGTCGATTAGCGCACAGCTAACCGATCAGCGCCGTCCGACAACACAGCGATAAGCAAACGTACGAGGCCGAAGCAGAATCGCGAACGTTACCTCTGCTCGCACAAACTACGCGCTGGTGATCACGTTTTATTCTCTGTCTCTTACGTTTCTCGTCTCGATCACTCCGGCTGAAAGGTCGCTTCTCCTCTCCGGTCCCGTTCGGTTTTTAGAAAATAAAATGGCGACGATCATGGCTCGCGCGCACCCAGCGGCGCTGCTCTTCTTATTAGCGACGTCCGGAGCCGTTAAAGAATCGGTTCGCGTGAACAGGTTCTTTTGAATGGAACCGATTCATAAGTCCCAACTGAATAAAACGTGGTTTTATTTTGTTTTGTTGTTTGTTTGTTTGTTTTTTTTGGTGTAGCATCTGCATATGAGTATTTTTTTGTGTTTAGGTATATAAATTAAAATATCTAAAGCATCTAAAGCAGACTACAAAAGAACTGCTACCTAAAATAAATTTTGATAAACAGAAATACATTTCAACAAGCCCCTGAGTTTCTCTAGAACATAGAGGATATAAAAGAGTCATGTACTTCCACTTTGCTAAATAACTGCAGCACTGCTGTAAGCTGTTCTTCAAAAAAGGGGGTACTAGTTGGACTGTGGCATTGACACCTGCTCTAAAACGCAGTGTCATAATTTCTGTGATTAAACCATTTAATCATGTATTTGACGGGGACAATATATATATAAACATTGTTATGTAAAATGCAGCACATCATGTACATAGGGCTTTTGGTATATTGAAAATATAAAAATACAGAACTAATTTCCATACAAATGACATAGATTACATATATGTCTTTTCTAAAACCATAAAATGCAATTTACAAATTAGCATTTTGTATTTCAAGTTCTTCTGTGACCATTTCTGCCCATTCCTGCATTCTGTCCTCTTTTGGACGTTCTGATTTTATCTTTATATTTCAGGCCTCTTTCTGCGTCCTCCTTCGAGTCTTTCGAGTCCGACTCATTCAGTTAGTTGAAGTAACGACTCACTGGCTGAATTGAACGTGGAGGAGGACACGAGACTAAAGTTTACTGTACTGTTTCTTGCGGACATCAGGCTCCCCGTTTCTGTATCTGGAGGAGATGAAAATAAAACTGTCTTGATTTCTTGATTTGTGATTCAACGATTCGTTGAATCGGACGTGCGGCTAATTGAATCAGACAGTTCGAAAGAATCGGTTTGGTAAACCGAATCAAACTGAAACACCACTCGTTCTCATGCTCGTGCCCGTGCCCGACGCGCGCAACACGACAGCCTATCAAATGACGCGCAAACAGGAGAGAAACATTTTCATAATTTCTAGCGCGTTATTAAAATAGACGCACTGTTTAGGCGAACTGTATGTACGTGTAGAATTGGCTTAAACATAATTTGAAACTCTTAAATGGCTACAGCCAGCAATACAATCAACACCTATTCTTAATATTTCCTAATTCCTTCAAGTTAACGCTTTCTTAATATGATAAAATGATTATTGGTATTAATATTATAATAAATACACATAGGCCTCAACCAGCCAATAGGTATGTGTAAATAAATAAATAAATAAATAAATAAATAGAATTAATCGGAGGCATACTGAAGGAGATATTACAACTGGCACAAACTAACTTACAGCTTAAAAAATAACAGTTGATTTTATACCTTTATCGTTCAATTTGATCACTTACACTTTAAAATTGACATTATTTGCATTAATATACTTAATTTCACTGTCCTAAAGGCCTCTAAAATGTCTTTTTCCTACAGTCGTATGCAGAAGTTTGAACACTCCTTGTCAAATTCCACATTTAGTTGATTTTCTAAGTGAAAATAAGTAACAAATCCTCTACATCATTGTTTATTTGCTGAAATCAACAACAAAGAATTTGACCTGGGGTATTCAAAACTTGCATACGACTGTATAAATATCATTTTAAAAACTGAACTGCAAAAGGTGATTTTACTTTAGGTTGATTTTGACAGAAACTGGCCAGAAAACTAAGGCAATCTGAGCTGTGAAGAATATGTCTACCTTTTCAGTGTAATTTGTTTTACACCTGTTGTGTTTTGGCCAGTTAGGAAAACACAAACTTATTATTGCTTCACTCCTCAACCTGATGAAACAGATCTGACACTGCAATTCCTTACAGATTATATCAGGTGACTATTCACATGAACAAAACTCTTGTTTCTGGTATCAGTACTGTCACATTCTGCATATTACACAACAGTTTAGTACTGAAAACTTTCCAAGCAACTAAAATGACCATTTTAACAAGTTTGGTTGGAAATTATAGATGCCAAGCACAGTGGAAAACAGATTAAATAATACAAATGGCACACAATGTATTTACTCATAAATCTTTTAATATATACAGGCCACATTGTACAACTGAAATTTCCTATTCAAAGATCGCTGCAATTTATTACAGTGTAATAAGAAATAGCTGACACAAAATTAGATAAACCAAAAACATTCAAAATTCAGAGCATCCAAACTAGAAAAGTACACACTATGACCAACGACACTTCCGTCCTGCGTAAAACTGACCAGAAGAAAGAAAAATAAAACGGAGAATGCCAAATAAATACTGTACAAGTAATAGTACTGCATGATACAAACCCTGCCTGCAGGCCAGTAACGGTACTGAGATATTATGAAGTTTGCAGAGAGGTTTATGAACATGGAACAGAGTAGTGTATGGAACACAGCTATGCAGGGCTTGGTTAGTGCAGCATTTCTGTGGGGAAGAAAATGATACACGCCATCTGACCATCAAATAAAATGGAATTTAATGCTTTTCACCAACAGTATAATAATATGCACTTTGGCCAGAGTACTTGTCACACAAAATAGCACCATAATAAATGAGGCTATGTTAATAAGCACATAATTCAGACAAAGTTAAAGCCCCAGTCAAATTTGCTGTAAATAGTTCTGGATAGTCCTAGAGCCTATTTCCATCTCCTTGTGATGGAGGTTTCAAATCTGCTGCTCCTGGAGATGCAGTGTAGTTCCAGAACTAAACAGACCTGATCCAGCTAATCAGGTTCTTCAGGAGGATTAGAGGAAGGCATGTTTAGGGTTATAAAAGCTAGATGTGTCTCAAAAGGAGTGCAAAGGCAGCAGCCGAGGTCGGAGAGTATTACTAATGCTGGTATCTTATGCTTAAAAACTTTAAATTCAAATTTAGACTACAAACTCTGATGCAGCGGCATCTCAGTTGCAGCTATTTCCGGATGATTTTGTGCTGTGTGTGAAGGATTGTGGCTGAAACAAGGTCTCTAAGAACATGGCAGGCCTTTCATTTCTCACAAAAAGGGGCACTTCTCGGCCACAATCGAAGGATCATACTTAACAAAAGAGGCTTTAGTGACAAATGGCCAAAAAGTGCCGTCTTCATCAGCTGCATCCTTGGCTTTTGGACATGTCTATAATCTGCAGAGGTGAGAATCTGCAGGAACCGGGTTGGGAAACCCTTTCTTTGTACAAAATTTCTTTGTTAGTGCAAGCAAGCTGACATTTAGGAAAACAAAAAAAGACTGGACCTCACTGGGGAACCTCCATTCAAACATGATAAAACAAAGTCAGAATGTCAAAACTTGCCCTGAACAATTCGTACAGTTGCCCTTCCAGATTTGACTAAAAGCCTTTTTCCAAGTCCTTACAAACAATAAATATCAAAAGTTGTCTGTTAAAACAGTCGCATGAGCCCTGAGCGTTTATCATCGTACCTCATTAAGCTGTGAAGTAAGTTCGCTTTGACATGAAAAGTGTCTGGAAGCCTGGGGGAAGTGTTTTATTGCCTGAAGAAGATACTGTTTTTAAGTTTCCTGAAAAAGCTTGTGAGAAAACACTAACCTGAACTACCCTTAGAAACCATTGAGTAATATCAAGACGAATTCTGAGAGTGGGAAGACTGTATCCTGTATCATAAATTTAACCTGAACACCTGAAAAGAATTACAACAATGTTGGCTCATTTTGCTGCTGGTGACATTTACAGGGCTGAGCGTGGATCCCTGAGGGACACCACAACCTAAAAGAATAGACTTGAACTTTAAGATGAAAATGATAATGTTATTTGGCATTCAAAGGGGACCAAATCCTTGAGCTCTGGCCTGATAATTACCTGAGGTTGTTCAGACTAAACAGAACCAGAGCAAATTCTGTCAAAACACACATGCACTCACACAGGGCCTACTGTGTCACGATATGTGAAGCCATAGCTATAATTCAAACAAAACCCATACATATTGTACACACTGTTGGTACAGCTGCAAAACCTCTTTCTACATGGATTAAGACATGTCTTAGAAAAATAAATACTCTTTCAATTCTTTGTAAAAACATGAGGAAATAGCCAAATACAATTCAACACAAAAGTCAACCCCCCCCCATCATTACAATACCAATCCTTGAAGAAAAAAAAGGTCATTATTATTTTACAATATTCAGCACCAATTCAAACAGTGTTTCAATTCTTTCTAGCTTGTTGAGGCAGCAAAGCTTATATGGCATTTGTGGTAAAAACTTAATTGCTGTGAATAAATCCTCACAATGACAATGAGAGCATGTATAAAAACAGTTGACACGGTCAATTTAGCAGCAATGTTAACATTCCTCGAAAGGACATTAACATTCTTTTCGATTCTGCGATAAACTGGGCTTACATGAAGCTAGCTTTACTGAGTCTCAAAATGCCACTGTAATGGAACCATATAAGCACCTACTATTTAAATTTACTCTGCAATCCATCTTTTAATATTGTAATACAAACGTATTGTAAAAAGTGGATGAACCCATAGTTTATGGGATCCTAATTGTGATGCAATATGTCAAATAATGCTCCTCTTTTTGGACAGTGTGTTCGCACTGTGAAACAAGCAAACCCATTAAACAACAAGAGCACCATAAGAAAAAACAAGAACATATAAAACATATAAAATAAAATATTTGTTCACTCAAACATAATAAATATACAATTTAACAAGCATTATGAATAGAAAAAAAATTTAAAAGCACCAAAAATGTAACCAAAAAAAAAAGGAATAAATTAAGAGAAAAATGTCTTCTTATTTAGCTCCCCGTGTGTAAACTCCACAGAACGACACTTATTTATTGATATGCACTTTGACCACCAGGGGGCGCCTCCTGACTGTTCACAGATTCCATGCACGAAACGCAAAATGTGTTTGCAAAAGGGATCCATGGGTGTAAAATGCTAACAAAAATACTTTTTTTAAATTCGTCTAAAAAAAGTGAGAACGAGATCCATCCATGCCCCTGATCTGAGGGCGAAGGGTCAGGCAGCTTGAAAAGGAAAAAAAGTTCTCCTGGAGGCTTCATTCCTGAAGGAGATGAGGGTGAAGGAATTAATTTGAGGGAATTAATGATGTAGAAAGAGAAATGAGGAAAAATGAGGGCTACTCTCCTTCCTCCCCTCTGAGATTGGCCTTGTGCACAGCAAGTGCACATACGAGTCTAGCACCATTTTAGCGAATCAATTCATCACTCGTGCGCCGTTTAAGTGGCACAGTTTTCACACGAAACACTCAAAAAGTCATTGAAAGCATGAGGCAGGAATGTGGCATGATTGATGTAGGTGAACCTTCAATCCCTCCAATGGGAAAGATGGCAAGAAACCTTAAATGTAGAACACTATGGTCAAACTAAATCCAAGATCCATCTCTTCCTCAGTTTTCCTGTGTCTTCTGAACACGTTCAGTGAGAAATACTGGATTCCAAATGAACGAAGCTTTTTTCTTCATAGGCAACATCCACAAGCTCTGCATGATGAAATGAAGTGAACTTTAATGTTCTCTGCTGCCAGCTGATGACTGTATGTGATGGTAGGTCAATGCTGTGCTTTTGATGGATTCAGTGTGTAGAACTGTGCTCTTTAAATACCCTGTCTGTCCAGAACGCACATGGCATGCGCGCACTTGCTGAGGATGCTGCCACTTTCAGTACTACACAAAGAAAGGTTTATGTCTGTTGAGCTTGAGAATCTTCCCCAGTCTTTGCTTCGCTGTGGCCATGCCTTTCTTAGGACGCTTACCTGTGAAAGAAGAGAGAGTGAAAGTGAAGAAATGACACACAATAAAAACACTGAACACACTTCTTTTTTTACCCAAACCTCATTAGCTAGGTTTCCATCCATGTATTTTAAAGCACATTATAACATAATGAATAATAAAAAGGGACTTGACGGAAATGGCAAATATGGAATAACATCATCAAAATTTGGATAAAAAATTTGAATGCGTGCTTGAGGTGGATACATTTTTCACAGGTTAAAAAAAAAGAAATTTACGATGGGAACACGTGCCAAATAATATAGAAGTGAATAAATTAGTCATATTTGTCCATTTCTTGAGCTGTTATCTGTTATTGTGTTAGTGTGTTTTATCTTTTCGCTCTTACGAAGAAAAATAAGCCAAAACTTTAAACAAAACCATTACAATAAGTTGCTCAACATTACAGATTTCTCTATAAACATGGTCCATATTCGCATAATTGTTTGCAATATTTCAGTTATTTGCTTGAATTTAATTCAAAAGTTGGATGAAAAACTGGCAACTGTCATAAGGAACCCTCATATTCTCCTCTCCTTTTTTAACATGACATTTGAGAACACCAACTGTCCTTTATGTATGTGTGAACACATGATTTATGGACCAAGAGAAACTTCTATGTTAAAGTTTTTTTTCTTATATGAAGTAACCATTTCAGCAGGTACTCCAGTGATTAACTGAAAAAAAAAGAAAAACAAAAAACATCAGTTTAGTACCTTTGGTGGCCTGGTTGCTGATTGGTGGGGGGTTGGGGGCAGGCCGTTTAGAGGGGTGCAGGGGTGGGGAGAGTGAGGTCTCGCAGTACTGATACCCCGATGGGGGGCTGTCCTCACGCCTTGGAGAGTGAGTGTGGCTGCCCCAGGCTTCACTGCTGCTGCAGCTGCCCTGACTGTCCAGCAGGCTCTGACTCTCCCTGCGCTGCTGCTTCAGCACCCGCCGCTCCTCCTGCTCCACAAATACAGACAGACAGACAGCAGAGAGAATGATCCATCTGAGCAGCAGAATTGTTCTAGCATGAGTGGATACTTAAGGGTGGGCTGTTTGAAATAGCTAATGTTACAGATAGGTAGCAAAAATCACATCTGTATTTGCCTCTGTTGGCTATGCTAGCAGCCAGGACTTCTTTATTGCTCTGTAGGGATTCCCAATGTTTGAATGTTGTAATTGCTTAATGCATGCTGCGTATTGTAGTGAGAGAATATTAGACAAAACTACTAAAAGGATACAAAATTGTGAATTCTGTCACTCTGATGAGACTGAAGGATACAATGATGCACTACAGAATATTACATAACATGAAATAGCATGTATGTACGTCTATATACACCTCTCACCTCAATGCAAAACGATTTAAAGCTCTATATCTAGTATTCATTTGTATAGTCCTGAATTTACCTGGCTGCTGATTGTGGAGTTGCTGTCTGAATCAAGGTTCTCCTCTCCTGATATAGGCTCCTTCCCACCTTAGAATCACAAAAAAAAAGCCAGAACACAAACAGTTTGTATAGTACATGCGGACTTCAGTGAAGAGAGATGGTGGAGATTGTATTGGCCAACTAGGAGATTAACTAATTTGCCTGTGACCTTTAACACAATAAAACATAAGCACTCTGACAGTTCTATCAAACTCTTACTGTACTCAGGGGAAGGATGAGTGGTACAGGACCACCAGGACTCCTGGGAGTTGGCACCCTCCTCTGATGAGTGAGGGTACAGCAGCCCTGCCATAGACAGCATGCCCTGAATAGCATCCTCTTCTGTACTGGGTGAGGTAGAAGGGTCTCTGAATACACAATCGAGAACACATCTTAATACAGTGAAACAGTTCTGATGTCCGATTATAAACGTTCTCATCGCATTCTGAATTCAGGAATTCATGTGAGAGCGCATCATCTGTGAATAAACAAGACACGGAATCTAATCTGACCTTTTCAGAGGTTTGTCATGATGTTCGAGTCGTTGGCTGATGTGGTCAGAATCTGTCAAGCTGCTAGAGTTACACTTGGTCATATTTTTGGACAGGGCATTCTCCTTTCTCATCACTTCCTCCTCCTCCTCTTCCTCCCTTGATGAGCTCTCTGAGTCTTCTCCAGATGACAGCTGCTTTTTCTTTGGGGCACAAACAGAGAAACATACAAGTTGGCCTAATGATAGCAGAGGAAGACTGATAACCTGAGCAGCATCAAAGCTTGTTCAACAGTCGGACCTGAACTGCGGGAAAGAAAAACCACAACATAAAAACCTTTCAATCCATTTTTAAAGCCAGATAATCCCCCTTTAGCTTGACAGTGCTTCTTCACTGCAATACAGAAATGCATTCACCAGTAGTGTTTTGTATTGTGTGAACATTTCATGACGAATGGAACAATAAAAAGGATCCAATATGTATTTATTTTTTCTCCTAGAAAGTTAGGAGATATGAGGTTGTCATTCCAGGACAACAAAGGTGACAGCCAGCATAGCTTACCCATTTAATACAACGGTCTTCAGATTCAGAGTCGGATGACGCATCCGATTCGTTGTTCCTAAGATCCAAGCTCTCTCGCTTAAACATCTCTGAAAACCACAGAAAAACAAGCACATTATCTCCACACTAAATGCCATCACAGCTCAGACAGCTTACTCGCTATTCTCGTTTTTATTATATAAGATTAAGAAGCAGTTGTGGTTGAGGTGAAAGGAGTCCAAATAAAAACACATAAATGAACAATTCTTTCAGCAACAACTCACCTTTAAGGGTGTTCTTCTCCTGTTCTGCTATACATCTTTCTTTCTCCTGCTCCTCATCCTTCACCTCCATCTTCATCTTCATTGCATACCTCTTCTGCTCACCTGCACCTTCTTTTTCTGGTGGGTTCTTGTCCTGGACCTGCCACCTCTCATCTCTGCATGGACAGTGCAAAGGTATTAAGGACAAACAAAGAACAAAAAGCACTGAATGATGAGTATAAACCTAGTATGCTGTTCATTCATTGGCAGTGCATTTGATCATTTTGACTCAGTCCTGTCATTTTGAAAGTCATTACATAAAAGACAGCAAAAAACATTTAAGCAGCAACGTCCTCTATAAATGGTCTTTCCTACAATAACATGATGAACTTCTCCCAACACTTTTTTAAATGTTAAAATTAACCTGAAATGAAAATCGACCTTTTTTTCATGTTTCTGGTCATATTAAGCATAAGTCATCATTTAGGGGCGGTCAAAATGACAATATTTTATCTTTATTGTGATAAATTACATCACAATATGCTTTTCTGAGCATACCATGGCTATCATCAGTACTTAACGAACACTAACCAACTGAATACTCCATTACAAAGGGCATAATTAGTCCTGTTTAACTGTGGAATTATTTCAGGGCAGTATGTTCAGTGTTAAAAGAGCCCGTATCATTTTGATGTAAACACTGTAAAAGTTCCAAAAGGTACCATGTACTCCTCAGTTCATACAGGCCATATATGGAAACTAAGCAGCAAAAACAGCCTGTTTTGAATTTATTGTTTTGTGATGTCATGAAAACCAGTATATTTTACATAATATCTGACTTTTCAGTGCATAGCAGTTTAGCTCTGCCCTTTGACACTTAAGTTATAAGCAGTGTTTGCTCAAGACCACTTGGTTGAATAAGGCACAGTACAGGGCAGTCAACCAGAACAGAGGTCATTTACGAATATACGTCTTTTTTTTTAAAAGTATTTTTTAATGCACCACAAAATCTTTTGGTCTGTTCTAAACCTATGAAACCTTATAAAAACAAAACACAGACACTTAGTGTACCCATGGATCATAAAAATGTCTGAGTAGTGCAATACTATGTTTCTAAACTTTTGCCCACCCTTACATCATATCATGTAAATAAATAAATAAATAAAAATTTCTTGTTTTTCCCCATAATCTACCCCCTAAAACAACTTCTGATCTTTAATCATACACCAGAAGGTGGAAAATAATATTAACCAATAACATCCTGTTTCACCTCCCACTCCAATCACCCCCACCTATCATCGAGAAAAACATGCAGCAAGCTCAGGGATCCTCCCCAACACCGCAAATACCTCATAGCACAGAATGTATTCTGATTTCACACTGACTATCACTGTAGGCCTACTGAGTAACATATATGTATGGCAGGTTGTGAAATCTCTCTTACTTGATAATGCGGCCATTGCACAGCACCAGATGCAAATGGTTGTCCAGGCTTCTCTCGGCTGCAGCAGCTGAGGCTGTGGACAGTTTGTTGAACTTCACCTTTGGGCTGAAGGATGAGTCCTAAACAGAAAAGACATTACAGCACATAATTAGTTTGCTGAACACAAGCAGAACCGCACCTTTCTGCATACTGTTGGGCTGACTCCTTGGACAAAATGAATGAAAATAGTTGTAGACATTGGTGACACATGCCTCTTCAAAGGGGTCCATCTCCAGCCTCTTCAGAACCTCTTGGGTATGCTGTTCAAAGATGTCCAGGTTGGATGGAGCCTTAGGTGCATGGGAGTGATGATGGTGGTGGTGATGCCGAAGCTTTCTGGCGTTCCTGGGGGCCTGGAGCCCCCTCTCATGCGATGACCTCGTAGATAGACATGCCAAGCTTCCCTGAGTTTTCATTGGCTTGCTTCCGCCACTCCCACTCTGCTCCTCCTATAGGGTGTAGATTTTTGTTAGCATACCATTTCATATCGACTACATGAGATGTTCCCAATCTTGCCCTTGGGATGTACCTCTCCTTGCAGCAACATCCCTAAGCCAGACAATCATGACCTAAAAAGCATTGATTATTGGCTAAGAGTCCCTAAGGACTGCACTGGTCAAAAGATCTTATGGCATGACACAGCACTGTACAGTTACGTATCCGATCCCAGAACTATCTGTATCCTGGTCAAGTGCCTGTGTCTGCTTTCCACTGCATACCACAACTGTTAAGGTAGCCAGAGTTCTTATTAGCTTGTGTGGTCATGGTCACATGATTTTACATGCTAATCTAGCTTTGACAGTAAACAACAGCGGGAACTATGAAGGCGCTTCAGTCTCGGAATTACCTTTTTCTCTGTGACTGGTTTTATGTGAGTCAAAGACTGCGATTCTGGCTAGCTAATGTCTTTTTTTCCTTTTCTAAAGGGGGTCATCTCACTCATCTGACTGTGTGATGATTCTGTGAGAGCTGCGTTTGTCCAATTGATAGTTTATAGCATTACTAGCTTCACCTATATGCTTCAGTTATGTACGATTGGTACACCAGCGAGAAGGACCACTAAATTCAACGCACATACTCAGGTGTTCTTGAACAACTGATTTACAAAGACTGCAGCTTATGATGCAAATGTACTAACTCAACCCATTTATGGAGCTGTCAACAAGCTTGAGACAAAACAAGGAAAATTCAGCAATGAGGAGACAGCAATGTTAAAGTTCTCTGTCTAAAAACATTCGCAAGAGTGTAGCTGTTCTCTGGCTAAAGAAAACAGAGTGTGTAAAACATGGATCATGTGTGCATAAAGCATATATATGCTTTAAATACAGAATATTTCATTTCATCCTGTCTCACTTATTTACACCTGATGCTGAAATGGTTTTATTATGTTTTTATTTTCTTCAGCATATTTGAGGCTTATGTCTTCGTTTAGCTGCTGTGTCTGCTGCCATTATTAACGTAAGCCTCCGAAGAACACGTCTTTTGAGATCCTACCACAAATTTTTGTTTCATAATGCCCCAAATGTTTTCAAGGGGTGACAGATCTGGACTGCAGGCAGGCCAGTGTAGCACCTGGACTCTTTTACTATGGAGCCATGCGGTTGTAATACATGCAGAATGGGGTTTGACATTGTCTTGCCATTGTCTTTTCTTGACATCATCTGGATGGCAGCATATGTTGCTCCAAAACTTGTTTATATCGTTCATTATTAATGGTTCCTTCACAAATGTGCAAGTCACCCATACCATGTGCATTAATGCACCCCATACCATCACAGCTTTTTTGAAACGTGTTGCTGCCATCAAATTTAAAATGGGCATATATTTTTCAAAAAAACAATACAATTTCTCACTTTCAACATATATTGTGAGTTGTACTATTTTCAATTAAATATAGGGTATAAATCATTTACAAATCAATGCATTCTGTTCTTATTTACATTTTGCCAAATGTCCCAACTTTTTTGGAAACTGGGTTGTATATTGGGAGGAATAAGTTATTGGTTACATGAATAATATCTTCACCCACTTTTTGTGTGGCCCTCCCTCAAATGCGTATATCAAACATGAAAACTCATGAGCAGTGAAAAAGGTAACAAGTTCAGAAACCAATTACAGATTTATCTCCTGGCAGCAGACCTCACCTCCCTACCGAAAAATGAAAACTCTATCTATACAATTCAAGTGAATGGTGCGTTCATGTTTCAAAAAAGCCAATTTGGCCACAAGTTTGTATGTATGATTTACATAAGGAAGACACTAAAAGTGCATTTTGCAGTGCACATGGCCAATAAAAAGCCAATTTGCAGCTGAAGCTGGAGCAAAAGCCATAATACACCGGGCCCTCTGTATTAAACTCATTAAGGCCTTACTAATTAACAAATAAGTTGAATAATTTATGCTGAATGAGGCAGAATGGCTAAACTCTCCCTCCAGGACTGGAGTCTGATACCGCAGATCTAAACGATTTCTACATTTCTACATCCGATGTCCATTACTGAGATTCCAGAAAGTACCTCTAAATGGCGAATTTCCTTAGTGAGCTCCTTAATGAGATGGTTGGGTCTGATATGGTCAGGGACCTCACTGGCTGGTTCGGTGACCTGGACAGGAAAAGGACACAAGAGAGGACAATGACAAGTCTGTTCCTGCCCTGCTCATATAACATCAGGTATCAGCCCTGCCCTGCTGCATTTATAACTGAGATCATCTCAGGGAGGCTACGCTATGAGCTCAAAGGAGCAAATAAAAGGGGAAAATGCAAATTAACAAAGCTTTTAGAAGTGGGTGAAAATGCAGAGACAGCGCTGTACCTCTCTCCTTAGCCAGTTCTTCAGTGCAGTGATTAAAGCTTTCACTCCCTTTATCAGGTATTCTGGAGGCAGACAGTTATCTTCTCGCAGTTCTGATGAAGAGAAGTAAAATAGGTTAGATGGTTCAGGCTGGGTTACACAGCCTAGTCTGTGAATAAGTGGACAATGACAATTTTTCATTGTCATTGGAACAATGACTGTGAGGTTAAAATGCATTAAGTCAGATGTCCATAAGTTATGGGTGCGGGATATGAGCTGGGAGGGATTACGAACACAAAGCGTTGTGTTTCTCTGTGGTTTCCCTATAAATGTACTCTATACAGGAATGTATGTATTTATGTATGTATATATAGATGTATATGTATACTAGATGTACTCTAGGATTCTCTAATATAAGTTAACATTCTGCACTTCATAACCACATTGTCATTGTTTCATTTCAAATATTTTCATGTAGAATGTTTTTTTTAGCTGCATGTAACTGATATCTCTACAAGCTTGGTCCTACATTACATCAGGTTTGCTCTAATGTTACATACCTTTGAGGGTCTCCAGCAGGTTCTTGGCCACATACCAGCATATAGCCTCAAAATATGGGAACTTAAAAAGGTCAGGAGTCTTTAGCCTCCGTTCCATCTCATAACACCTGGTCAAAAAGTAGAAAATGTCCATACAATTAATATATGTGTATACAGACACACACACACACACACACACACACACGGTAATATTCTTAAATTTTGTATTTAAATTGTGTATGTATACACACACAAACAGATTTACGCTCTTAAAGTGCGCAACTGGTTCAAAATTGTGCTCCACTTGGATCATGTGCTAGCAAACAAGTTTGTAAATGTTATTTTCAGCTTTAGACTTGAACCTTAAAGCTGCAGTGCCTCCTTACCTGAGCTGCATGCCGATGTTAAGGTTATGGAGGAAGTTCCCTCCAAATGCCATGCAATCCTGAGAGGTCAGAACTGCATGGATCCATCCTGTGAAAAGAGACAGACCATGTCAACAGCTGACAGACATGACGCACAATGGGCTGAGATTGTTACCCGCTCCTGCTGGGATCTGAATTCAAATTCTGACACATCCATGGCCAGCAGTCTAAAAGAACAGGGAGAACCTAGTCCTTCCCTCGCCTCCACCTACAGCAGTTGCTAACCACTTCTGGGTGTCTGCTGGCTCATTCACACAGTAGTGGGCAGTCAGCCTTCTCATCCGACAACATTGCGTGAGCAGTAATTTGAAAGATGTGGTTGGCTTCACGTCTTAGAGGAAGCGCATTCTTGTGGTGCTGTGTGAGAGGGAATTGGCAATGGCTAACAAAAAAGTCTCCAAATCATGGGGGGGAAGAAACAGCTGACCAACAGATGCTCACATCCACACACTCTCCAAAAACCCCAAAACAGCTGGGCTGCTGGCTTAACTGCAGCTGTTTATGCTTTTCTAGCTGTAAGCCATTCATATCCTGCAAGAAGCTAAACTAGTCTTGAAACTGATACCTGTCCCTTCTGAAACCAACACACAGAAAAGCTATTGATTCCATAAAGAAAGGACATACTTTATCCAATTGAACACTAAACTTGAACATTATATTTGAGCATTATGCGCAAGGATTTCAAAGCAGACCTGCACAGTTTAAAGAGCCCTTATAGTCTAAAAACTAATTTTCCTCAATTTGTTTTTAATAAAAGTATTTGTTGTAGTGTGTAAACACTGTCAAAATTTCAAAACATACAGTATACTCCTCAGTCTATACAGTCCATATATGGAAACAAAGCTGCATAAACAGCATGTTTTGAGTTCACTGCTTTTGTGATGTCACAAAAACCAATAGATATTCGCCTATTTAGCATACAGCATTTTAGCCTTGCCCACATACACTGATGTTATAAGGAGTATTTCCGCCTGATTTTTTAAATCAGGCACATTACAGAGCAGCCAATCAGAACAGAGATCATTTACACACTTCAGTCTGAAAGACACAGTAACAAAAACAGCTTGTTTAATTCTACAAGTAATAAAGACAGGTTGGAAAATGGTTATGCAAAAACTAATTATGACTGATTTGGTACATAAGATCACATAAATGGCATAAGTGGAACTTAAGAGAGGGAAAAAATAAAATAAGAAGAATGTAGGATATGAGCCCTTTAAATGCTCAGTTCATTCAATACCTTGGCTTGTTTGGCCCAGTATATTAATGTAGCTTATTTAAATGATGCACCTGCTAAAATGGTTCACACTGGAGCTCAGACTGCTGTATGTGTTCACAGGGGAAAGTGTTTGCCGGAGCAGCGTGTGTTCTCTCCCACAGAGTCAGAATCCAGAGAGGAGGGGAAAAAAACAAAAAAAAAAAATAAATCAAACTGAGCCTTCCTGTGGAGCCATCAAAGCCAGCTGCTCTGCTTTAAGTGGAAAAGCAGAGGGTTCCTTAGGCCAGCGGCTCAGGCTCTGGTCACCCATCTTTCTTTAATTCTGAACATTTCATGTGTAGATTATTGGTCCAGGTTAATGCAGAATGTCCAAGTTTGTCAAGCATGACTAAGGAGGTTAGTTCAGCTCTTACCACATCATCTCTGTCTAATCATTCTCTACCCAGCTGGCCATAATGACTAGTGTGCAGCCATACTGAATGGTGTGGTCAGAACAAGCATAGCTGAAATGAGATAAACGTCTCACCTGTGGGGATGAAAAGGGTAGTTCCCTGCCGGACAACACACTTGTAGCACTTGTCCACTTTCTCCCCAAAGAACACCTCACTCTGGTTTGGAGACGAGCTCCACTCCTCATACAGTGCAAGGTTGGTTGGAGTTGGCTTAATCAAGTAAAAAATCTTCTCCCCCTACGAGTGACACACACATAACCGCAATAAAGACAGATATGAGTTAGGGCTGCACAAAATAGAAAAAAACATTTTGCTTGTCTTGCGATATGTTACAACTGTGATGCCTTGCAATACATTAAAAACACGTTAATCTAATGTTAAACACAGGTTTGACCAAAAGCATTGCTAGATCATGAGAACCCACACACATAAGCATCAAACTGAGGTGTAAAACTGAGGTTGTTCAGGTCAAGTACATTTTGAGAATTTCTGTAATATTACTGCATCACAAATTAACCAGTGAGCTATTGTGCAGCGCTAACATTGAAGTCCCAGGGAACCTAAATCCTCATGTGATTTCTTCACGTTTATCTTGTGGGCACACAATATACATGTATGTGAATAACTTTTCAATGTCCAATAAATGTTCCACGTTTTCTCCATTAGTGGATAATGGCTTTCCCTGTGGTTCGCTGGAGTCCCAGAGCCTTAGCAATGGCTTCATAAACCTTTCCAAACTGGTAGATTTTAATTACTTTGTTTCACATCTGTATTTAAATCTCTTTAGAAGAGCCTCATGTGCTGCTTTTTGAAACCAAGTCCGCTTCACACTGCCAGACAGGTTCTATTTAAATGATGTTCAGATTGAACAAGTCTGGCAGTAATTACGCCTGGGTGTGGCTAGTGAAACTGAACCCAATAGTCAACTGCATTTGGTTAACTGGTTGATTTAGTAGCTAAGGAGGCAATTACTTTTTCACATAGTGGCAGGTAGGGCTGAACAGCATTTTTACTGCAATAAATAAAATTACCATCATCTAAAAACAACATTTTGTGTTTACTTGGGTTATCTTTGTCTAACATTAAATGTAGTTTGATGAAACATTTGAGTGTGACATGCAAAAATAGAAGAAACTGGAAAGGGCTGAGTACTTTTTCACAGCACTCTCTGTAGTTTTAACAAAACTGTGTTTCCCTACAGTCTCTGTTTTGAGTCAGAGAAACTAAAGAAAGATAACCACCAAGCAAAAACTAACCTAACAAGCGAAAACTCTGTCACTGTTCAACACTAGCATTGCCTGGATGCACATTCAGCAGAAAACTGAACAAGAACCTTACAGTCATTAAGATGGTGGCAAAAAATGCCAAATAACATATTTCATGAGTCATGGACACAGTGGGGTCTACAACAACACCTGTATAGCCTGTTTCTGCTCCAGTGGTGCAGCAGGCTGAAAGCGTTGGACCGAGGGCTGTCAATCGCAGGTGCTTGGAAAGCACTTTGAATATCAGGGCCAGAGAGCTCTTAGATAGGCATGATAACTTATGTTTAATACTACAAAGTTATGGCAAGTCTTATTCTATATAATATGCATACAACCCCTCTAACATGGTTTGACCCAGGGTGAGCCAATAGCAGGAAGACATCAGGTTTTCATACTGCTGTTTTCACAAGGGACACAATTTTCAACCTAGAGGGAGACAAACTCAAAGCAGCAAGGTTGATCAGTGCCCTCCCGCTCCGGGGTGAGACGCTCATCCCCCAGGCATGTAAATGTGTGCTCAAGCGAGTAATTACTACTGCTTTGAGGCAGAAGCTTCTGTGAGAATGTAAACAAACATAATGGCACTTCATAAACCAGCTGTTAGGTGACAAAACAAGGATAAACCTCTCCTATGAGACTAGAGAAAAAGTAATGATTAGTACTGAATCTCTGAGATGTCTCTGTCTTGGCTAAAAGAGCACTGTTGAAAAAATAGGTTCAACCAAAGATGATATCAAGCCTGAGATATGAAAAACATATGCAGAGCAAGGTCACTGTGAAACCACGGAAAGGCTAAATTCAGACTGACTTGTTCTGAAACCGCCCAGTGTGAAAATTGCCTTGTTGAGGTAGTTTGTTTTTTCCTCTCACTCAATTGCCAAGAATTATATTTTAGTTAGTTACTTTTATCAAATAAATGAAAGGGAAAGATAAACCAAAAATAGAATTTCCTTCTCCTTAAATGTAGTAGGCATGTTTGCCATGTAGACAAGAAGTAACGGAGAGTCACGACCACCATTTAGCGCTGTGCTAACTGCATGCCTAAATCATAAGTGTTGCCTCAAACTGCTAGCTTTCAGTTGGTAGTTACGATGTCAACAGCAATTCACAATTTGATTCAGATATGTGCCATTCAAGAGGAACTTACAGAATTGTTCACAGTGGTGGTGATAGGAACCAAATGTCTACAATTTTAATGAGTTTAATATGTTTAAAAGCTCCAAAATTATTTTATGAGATGGTTTCCGAATATACTGCCTGATGCCAAAGACATTGTTTTATCATCATTTTTGGCCTAAAATGTATTTACATAAATCAACTCGTAGTGTAGAGGTCCATGTAGGGCATAAGGCAAAATAGTACCAAGAGAAAATGTCATTTTAATTAATTATATATAAAAACTCACACTGTTCATTTGCTATAATAAATAAAACAGCTTTTTGTGTTGCACATGATGTGCCCTCTGGCTCCTTTCACCACCACTGTTAAGAAAAATTATAAGCAAAAAAGATTACATTTCTCTACAATGCATCATTTCAGTCCAAAGCACTGTAACTTTGCTTACACCTCAACAATATAGTTATGCAAAATTTTTGTAAAATTAGTGGAAGTCCCTTTTAAGTAATCTCATATAGATTTGTTTATCTGGTTTATGACACTGCATAACATACTGCTGTCTACAGAAATGGACAAAAGTATGGAAGAAAATAAGGCTGCTTTAATCTACACTACACAGCATTTACCAATTGCAAAAATAAAAAAAAATAAATAAATATGCAAACCTTCAGACCAAACTAAACACACACAGCTAATTATCAGAGGTGTAAAAATATACTCAGACCACAATTCGATTCAATTCCCAATTCTGGGTTCACAAAATGATAGCCATAATAATATCAGCAACATTTGAGTGCAGTAAAATGATGACTGTCTATGTTGGGTTGTTTACTGGTGTTGGATTATTTGCAAACCATGCAGTTACATTTCACGGCATAACACAGAGAATGCCTGTTGTCCAATATAAATTGCACATATTTCTGCATCACGATATCACAGTGTATTACTCTCATACTGATCATACACTACAAGGCCATATGTATGTGGACAGCTGACAGTCACACCTCATTTGAGATGGTTGGACATCCCATTCCAAAACCATGGGCATTAATTTGGAGACCTATTCTACTGTCGGTGTTGGTCTAAAGAGATTGCATGGCTATGTGCTTGATTTTACACACCTGGTAGCAATGGGTGTAACTGAAACACCTGAATAATTAGGAGGGGTGTCAACAAATATTTGGCCATATGGTGTATTTGGTGTAAGGAAGAAAACTGTGTAGATTTTTTTTGTCCAACTATTCCTTTAAAGCAGACGTCCTGCAATGAAACTTACCCACAGCACGTGATACCACACTGATGTGCCCCCAAAGTCAATGTGGAAGTCAGTGTAGCTGTCCTTGACACCCATCAGACAGTACTTCTGCACGAAGGGTTTGGGGAAATACGAGTCATCAGGCCAGTAGTTCTCCACCCAAGACATCTTCTGTGCAATGTCTGGCACCACTACCAGCTCTGACATCCTAGAACACATAAGTGGAGTCAAAATCAAAGATCATACACCAAGCAGGTATAAAGTGCAGGTTTGTGCTTCTGAGCATGTGAGCGGGTCTGCCTCTGAGGAACAGCCATACTGCAGCACTGCATCTCCTCTGAACTCAGCTAGAGCTCAGGATCCCCTGCTGTTAGCTAGTACAAGAATTCCCACTCCCTGTGTGAGTGAGTGCATAAATCTGCTGTACTCCTCTATAGGAGCTACAATTTTACATAGAGCTGAGATACAGAACTGCTCATGTAATGATTTAATTTCTTTTAAATGGAAAATTTATAATGGCACATAGTAAAACTTACTTGGTGTCAGAAAACTCAAGGCTAATGACGTTGAGAACTTTCGGCCGCTGAGGACTGTAGTAATACTTGACGAACTCTTTCAGTTTCATCTTGCTGTCTGCTTGGCGGGCCACATCGATGACATCAATCACTTTATCGCCACCTATGGATTCAAACACGATCTCAACTTTCTGGACAAGTGGGACAAATTGTGAAATTACTCCGAAAATTGTCATGCAATAAGTAAGAGAACCGCAGTGCAATGCTATTAAATACAACCTGCATTATGAATCACTTTCAGGATTATTGAAAAATACAGCAACATTTGACAACGCCAACTATCATTTACATAGCATGACATATGTACTAATACAAATGGTGCAAAATTACTTTAATGAAATTTTAAGTTAAAAATGTCTTTCTCCTGTAAAATAGGGTTTGTTAAAACAGTGTCAAAATACAGCTCACGCATGCTTTTTCAAACAACTGACTATGCAACTGTCATTATTTTTTTAAACATATACACATACAGATACAGTACTGCGCAAAAGTCAGAGACCTCCCTTCATTTAATTAACTTCGTCAAAATGGCCAAAAATTAAAAGTTACATTTTTTAGCATCATAAAAATGGCAGAAAACATATTTAACAGAAACTTCTTTAGAAGCCACCACAAAATGTATTTTTAGTTTTTTTTTCAGCATTAAATTTGTTCACCCTTTGCCCCAGTAGCTTTCAGTTTTCAAAGAAATCTGCAGGCGTATTTTTCTCCACCTCGAAAGGTCAGTCTTAGAAGTTGGTTACGTCTTCAGCTTCTCACTTCGCTCCAGTAATACATTCAGTGATGCTGAAGTGTGGACCTCGGGATGGTCAGTCAATTGCTCTAAAAACACCAGCAGCTTCTTTTTTGAATTTCAGGTTTTCATCTTTTTGGTCTATTTCCTTTTCTTAGTAAAGGCTTCTCAACAGCTGCACATCCTTTCAGACCCATAGCTTTGATTTGTCCTCTCACAGCGGAAAGATGTACAGAAACACCTTTAGTTCTTTTTAGACCTGAAGTTTGAGCTTGATTTTCTACTCTTTCTCAAAGATGAAAGCTTTAAACACTTATTATTTGGGGGAGACTGTTTAGGTGGTCCAGGTAAGTCCTGTTTTTCCCTGTCTCTTTTAATAGTTTTTGAACTCCAGTTTTGGAAACACCTGTTTTTCACTTATTTTAATTTGACTTGCTCCTTCCTGATGCATGTAGATTATCTAACATCTAAACTCCTCAGACATATTTTCTGAAAAATGAACAACTGGACTAGAAAATTACATCAATGAAAATCCCTCACTTAGCTCTGACACACCTGATTCAGCTTATTAGCTGAACATCAAGCCCTGTATGGATTAAATGAGGTGTGAACCAGGAAAAGCCCCAAACCTCAGTGCAGGGATCCCCCGCAACATTACTGCAGCTAAAACGCTTACTGTGCTGATATACCAGACAGCTGGCAGCCAACAAATCAAGCTCGTCACAGGGACCACCACCAAGCGTGGGGCAGGGCAGCTGGTGTATGTGTGTAAGCTCACAGTTCTAGAAAGCAGCTGGCCAGGGCCAGATGTCAGTCAGAGCCAAACTCACCTCTCCTCAAGGCAGTTTTATTATCACTAGTCTGAGATCAAGGGATATGTGCACTAAAGCCTTTTACAAAGCACGAGCACATATCTAAGATCAGGTAAGACCTTTTACATTCCATAAACACTACTATTTAGATGGGTATCCTAGATAAACCCTCTTACTAATAGGGGCTATTATATATTGGCCCTGTATCTCTCCATATATTGTCCATATCCTACAGTATCATCTATTCATCTATTTTTGTTAAAATATCCTTTTTTTCCCCTTGAGGTCCACTTATAACACTTATGTGGTTTTATGTACCAAAAAATACAGAACTCATTTTATATAACAACCTTTTTCCAACCCCTCTTTATGGACAATGGAGACATAGACTATTAACCAAAAACAACAAGAGGGAAAGAGGCCAACATATCCTAAAAGCAAATTATTCTCCAGACACAGAACATAACATTTATTACATATACATCCCTCTATTACTAATAACGTTCAGAAATTAATCCTTCCAGCTGGTGACACTATATTAAAGTTCTGGCACCACAAAAATCCCTTTTATGGTCAACATCTGGCAGAATAAGACTGACATTTTTAAAACATTAACCTCCATAAGCTGGGAGGGACAAAGGCAGTGTTTCATGAAGCAGGTGGAGAATGTGGTTCATCATTTCAGAGTAAATGGAGATGTGGAAAAGGCCTGACGTTCGATCCAGCAAGCTGGACGGCCCCCTCGTGAGCTGCTCGGCACACTGCCCGCTGAGGTAAGTGAATTAGCTGGGCAGCAAGGCTGCGTTTACCATCCAGAGTGCATTAAGGACATGAAGCTGGAGGCTTTTAGCACAAGCCACAGACATAACGTCACTGTGTAAAATTTTACATTCATCACGCAATGATACCAGCGCACCTACATCACCATCTTAAATGTGAAGGTTCACTGTAAACACTGGCATGTAATCCAAGTAAGACCATTATTAAAGTGCCCATATCCTACAATATCCTGTTTTCACCATCCACTTATAGCATTTAATTTATTTTATGTACAAAATAAAAAAACAGAACTCATCTTTACATAACGACCATTTTCCAACCACTCTTTATCCCTTAGAATTAAAGAGGTTGTTTTTGTTATTGTGCCTTTAGGACTAGCATATGTAAATAAGCTCTGTTCTAATTGGCTGACCTGTATTGCGCCTCATTCGAAAAACCACTGAGCTGAAACACTCCTTAGAACTTCAGTAAGTATGGGCAGAGCTAAACAGTTGTAGGCTGAATAGGTGGATGTTGTTGTGTTGGTTCTTGTGAAATGCCAGAAATAATGAACTGATCTCTATTAATAATAGCAGCTCTTAATAGTACATTTCTGTCTTCCTTGGCTGTGTAGTGCTAATATAACAAGATCTAAGTTTGTAATTAAGGTAAATATTTTATTAAGCTCTAGAGTTTTTTCTTGTTGTTTTTAATTATTTGACTTGAAGAATGGTGACCATCCCCCTGAAGGTATAAATGTATATAGTGTATATAATTTTTTTTTATTTTTTTTTTATTGTGGCATTACTTGATCTTCTTTGTCTATTCCAACTTATCAAACATTATCACAATCAACTATTGTGATGCACATCATGTAACATCTATATATACACTGGCACTGCTTGCCATTTTTTTAAATACTGTCAAAAATAATGAATGCAATGATTTTTATTCAATGTTTCACATACTGTGATACAATAAGTTTAGTTAAATGCTTTCCTTTTGGTCAGTTTTTGCTCACAGCAGAACACATGTGACTGGCTACTTGCATAGCCGCAATATTCAGAGAAAAATATAGTGATGTTATCACTCCTGTGAGAAAATCACATCATGCTTTTCTTGGTGTACTGTGGGTAAAACCACTAATTATAGAACACTGACCACTAGCCAATGTTTCACCAAAATTGAAACCCCAAACTTGTTAACCAGTGGTTACGCACTGTCAATTTAAAACCGTAGTAGTTGACCAGATGGCACTAAATGAATGAATGAACGAACGAATGTATTTTTCCTGATGCCCTGTGTCTAATCTAACCACAGAGAGCTAAATATAATGCATACTGCATATCCCAAAAAAACAGCTTTCCTCTACTGTGATGATATATTTTTGCCATATTGGCCAAATCTGAGGTCTATGAACTCTGAGAAGAAGCAGCAGCATGAGATCCTTCCTCTCATTATACAATTCCAACATCCTTTTCCTGCATCTTTCAGTACAGTCGCAGCAGTGTGCGAAAGGAATGCAGTCTAATCAGAAGTTCTATTTATGGCATAACAGTCTAATCAACTTTGACAAATGAATTCTAGAACTGCAGAACTGTCTCACAGGAGACAAATTATAGAAGCACAAAAAAAGGACACAATACTGCAGTGGACTTTAGTATGCCAAACTGGAGAGCCAGGTCAAGATACATTTGAGTTTAATTAGAAAAACTGAAATTCTGGTTCGAACCAAAAACAGGCTGACAACCTTCCACAAGTCCAGCAAGTTTTCACCTGAGCCTGACAAAAATTACTATCCAAATCTGACCTAACCCATTTGAGCTCAAGAACATTCTGTCTGAACCTGACCAGAAACGGCCACGGCCCAAATTACCAAATTAAAACCGATACTTCTAATGATAGTAGCAGTTAAATTACTATGTCTTAGCAATGCTATCAATTTTAGGAGAACATTTTTAATCTTCTTTAATGTGCTGTTCCTCAGCTGTGCAGTGATAGAGTGAGATGTTAGCCTTCACCTGTTTAACCCTACAGCTCTATTTGTTCACACAGAACACTTTACATATAATGTGTTAAACATGAAGTTGTATGCAAAAATTTGGGCTCCTGGTCAAATTCCATGTCTTCTTGATTTTCTTAACACAGTCTTTACAGAGAACACATTACTGCACACTTTAATGTATAATTACAGTTTTTTGGCTAAATTTACAAATATTGGAAAAAATATAAAATGTGGCCTGTGAAAATGCTATGGCACAAAACTATACATGTAAGTATGTTAAACTCAGCAATTAAATAGAAATTGCACACTAAAATTTGCAGGAAAATGTCATATTCAAGTTCCCTGTAGAGGATGTGTCAACTTATTTCAAAAATTTCAAAATCAACAAAATATATAATTTGACCGGGAGAGTTCAAACCTTTGTACATAATCTCATACGCTACCAATCAATTACATTATTTTGGTGTAATTTTCAAAAATGCACTAAATACAAAAATGTGACTGGGTGAACTATTTACAGTAGAATAAGTGCATATTTAATTGAATATTATTATAATCATTTTAATTGGCTATAACATTCCAACATTGATCCAGTTAAATTAATTGTATGTATTAAGATAGCATTTGGCACTTAAACAAAAAATATTTCAGCCAAACAAAGTAAATGTTAACGTCTTTCTGGCTGCATAAAGTGTACTCCTCTGGATTGATTGAAGTGTTGGTCTTGTGGAAGTTTTGTTAATATGAGTGGGTGACTCCTGGATGACAGTTTAAAAACTGTTTCAAGGTAGCCTAATGAAAGTAGAGAGGAAGAATTAAGTAAGAAGAAAAACTAAAGCAGGAGGAAATGCAGTGCAAATGGTAACACACATATAGGGGGCGCTGCAGAACCTCTTCTCTCCATGACAGTGAAAGTGCAACATTAACACGCTTGGTCTGCTAGACCACAGTCTCCACTAAACTGCAGCACAGGTTAGTGTATGTGTGAGTGAGTGTGCAGGCCCTGTCTGCTGTAACCTAAACTTACAGACAAAGCTCTGTCTGGAGCAGACAAATGCGAGCTGCCTGTATCAGGTGGTGAGCATGTAACAGGACACCTTCAGTTACTCCAAAACGAGCTGGAGAGGTGCGGGACCACTTAGCTGCTGTAAGCCACACCGCTTTTATCCACACACTTATTTTATTACAGCTTCATTAATTCTCGCCAAGAGGTTGAACCCATTCAACCCACAGCAGTCACCTGACGCGAGCAACAGGGCTCTCCAGTTACTGCACTGTAGTACAGATCTGCATTCCACAGATGCAGCACTTATCACAATGAATATGTAAACCCACTCTAACGCTAGTAATTACGCATAACGGGAATGAATATTGATGACAGAGCTTTAGGGGTAAGAACAGGATGCGAGCAAGAGCAAAACGACAAGCTGACCTAGTTATACTGCTTGCACTCCCCACCCCTACTTACCAACATATCGTTCCACATCCTTGACTAAGAAATCTGAAGGTGGAAGGCGTAGGCCGAGCCCGTCCAGTTGGGCCACGGCGATGGGGTAGCGGAAGCCGTGTCTCTCCAGATAGCGCTGGGTCACCTGACTTCCATGCATCTGTGTCAGGATCTCATCCGCACTGCACAGCATGAGAAGACAGTATCAATACCAGCCTGATTACCGTTACCAGTTTTAAAAATTTTCCTATTATTACTTTACCTTATTCTATTGATTTTACGCTCATTTCTCAGTTACTACTTTGGTTATTGTTTTACTGTTTCCCAATTTAATGCTGAGAAGCACTTTGAGCATGTATAAAGGTGCTGAAAAGTAGTTTTTATTATTATTATTATTATTATTATTATTATTATTAGCACCCAGGCAAAATACTCACAAGCAGAAAACCTTATAATTCAATTTTATTACAATTTCTTAAGAAAGGATTCAATGAATAATGAAAACCTCTTAACCAATCATACTAAATACAGGAATGTGACTGAATTCTATTCTAATGAACTATTTATACATATAGAACATATGAATATACATATTTCATTTAATATTATTATAATCCATTTTAACTGGTTATAGCATTCCAAAATTTGACCTTTCAGAATTGAAAACTGACTGATTTTTACATCTAAATGACAATTTACAAACAAACATGGTGAGATAAATGTAATAAGATAGCACCTCACTTTTTGTTTCTCCCAAAAACGGTAAAAATCTTTTGTAACATTAACAATCAAAACAGCATGTGGTGTAGTTTTGAGTGTAGTTATGAACCTTCTGATACAGTACTAAGCTGCATTAATTCCTTTAACTCCAGGCTTAGTACTAAATTATTCATCTTAATGTGTGTCATCCTGAAAATAGAATCTCTCTTGCCTTTTTAAAAATAAAGTATTCTGAAGTAATATTTAAACATTGGCTCATTTTGAAACTTTAGCATTCACACCCAGTCCATACAGTTCTTACATGGAAACTAAGCTGCAAAAACCAGCCAGTGTCAAATTCCCTGTTTCTGTGATGTCACAAGAACCAACTAATTTACATATATCCACCTCTTAGGGATAAACAGAGGTTGAAAATGGTTGAGTACGAATGAATTATGACCATTTTTAATACATAAAACCACACAAATGTTATAACTTGACCTCAGAGGAAAAATAAACACAAAGTGTAGGACATGGGCACTTTAGGGATTTAAACTGTACGAAAGGTGCTACAAAAGGTGTTATAAGGTGCAAATAACATAGTTTTGTGTGTTTCACTAGAGAACATCTTTTGGCATCCACAAAGGATTTAGCACACAGGAACCAATCTCTATTTTTCAGAAGAGGGTATAAACTGTGGGTGCTTGTTATGTTGCACCCTGTTTGATGCTGGTGCCCGGTGGCTTCACAGTGAGGGTGTCAGATGGCCACATGTTGGCCCACTAACCTAGCGAAGCTCCTGGTCTGAAGCTTCCGCACAAACATGAACGTGCCAGCCTGCACAGGTTTACTGCCATCATCAGGCTCTGTGTAGTCATGCCTGTGCCAGTTGTTCCGTTTCTTCACTGTAAATTCAGAACATTCAGAACATAAACATGTCAGAACACAGAACGGTGCTGCAGGTCAGGGCGTTGCATCCTTACAAAAAGAAGTTGATGATGCTACATCTCACAGATGTTATCAGTGGAAATGCAGTATGTCACATTTCGAGTAATAAGGGCACTTAGTGGACCAGTTCAAAAAGACCATAAACCCCTAAACTCTTTCAGTCCAACAGGGTCTTTTTCAATCTCCAATTGATTATTACACTGTTTAATTAGCCTAATAATGTCTGCTCCCCAGGGGTGGAAAATCACTGGTGCTTAAATCAAATAGGGCAAATCAATAAAGCATTCTGTAGGAGAAGGGAGGAGAAGATAGACAAGGGGGACAGTGGAGCAGGGAGATGCAGAGAGAAGTGAGAACTTACTCAGGGAGGGTCCATGGGGGATTTCGCAGTTGGGACAGTGATAAACATCAATGTCCACTGCATGGTGCTCCTCAACCTGGACGCAGCTGGAATAGAATGTAAAACAGATGTTAATACGTGTGTAAAAACGCTTCAGTGCTTCAGTTTGAAGCTCTGCCATCCAAGGCATTACCTATGACAATTTTAAAGCCATGTTCATTGTTGATGACTCATATATAAGCATATATCCCCCACAAGACTATAATATTTGCTGTGAGTCACTAGTTTAGCATTGCAACTTATGTAAGGAACTATGTTTTCTGTGAAATCAACACACTTGTGCTGTCAAATATTGCTAAAAAGCAACACCAGTCTTTATCACAGATAGCTCAACAAGAAAGAGGTAGAAACACAAACTGTGACCAAAAAAAACATATGTACTGACCATCTTTTTAAGTCGAAAGATTTCAAGAATGATCAAAAGTGCAAACTTCATGAAGCGATCTCAAATCCAGACTGGAATTCAACCTTTCCTTGGACAGAATTCCCACCACATAAGAAAAGCAGAGCTGAGTTGAGTTAGGGTGTCTGTAATAACTTAGCAAAATATGCTTTCAGCTGCTACAAAAAGTGCTCGCTTGACAACATTACAAAATTTCTCTACCATCTCCCAAAAATGTTAACACTGGAGTGCAACGACTGACAAAACTCAATTTGCTTTGATCTGTGTCTTAATGCTCTAGCTACAGGCTAATATGCTAACCCAGAACTGTACAATGTGACAAAGTTGTCACACATGCTAGGAGACATTAAACCGGTGTGAAGAGATAAAAAGATCATAGTTGCACGAGTGTGTGTGAATCTCTATTCAAGTACTCATGTAAACTGTAGGCTGGTATACACGCTTTTTGTGAGCTGATTATGTGGTGTGTGCAATATTGAACAATGTGTCTCTACTGTATTTGTACAAACTGCAATTCAGGTTGAGTTCTAGCATTTACAGCAGTTGTAGTCTATCAGGTAATACTTACACTAGAGAACGAATCCAGATGTTTGTAAACAAAGGGTCTCACAATTTAAAAAATGTCCAAACCTTGTTTAGTCTAGGGCTGTAAGGTCATATTCAAAGCCAGCAATGATTTAAGAGTTTACAATTTGCCTGCTGAACTGCGTATCTGGATGTGGAGACATCCCCTGCTGTGCCTGCTGTCATTGCCTTCTTTGGCTTCTTTTGCTACAACACTTTAGGTTTGGGTACAGCCCTGCAACTGCAAGCTAACAAGCCAAATCACTACTGAGGTTTGTTCTGCATTCTGGATTGGCAAGGCTGCTGTTTTATTTGTAAGTTAGAAGGGGATTGGCAAGTGAACTGTGGACAGACCGGGCACGCCATGCTGCCCTGATTCATGAGAGCAGTGTCTTCTTTCTGTTTGATACAGGACCTAAAACATCATTGGTTCGCTTTTTCCTTTGCTTTTTCTCTTAAATGCCACAAGGACCACATATATTTTTCAAAAGCTCTGGCACGATGCAGTACCTCCTGACATTAAAAATAACCAAATGTTAGTATCCTTACTACCCTTTAATCATTACACACAGCAAATTCTAGTGGGTTACTCAAATTCTGCAGGCCTACAAATAACCAAGGAACATGCAAACTGCAGAGTGGCTTTCCCCAAAGTTGCATAGGAACTTAAGCACCCATACATTTGCCTGGTCCAAGATTTTTCACTATTTAAAAGCCTTTTATTTTGTTTTGAAGGTAGGAAGCTCACTGTTGAAAGTGTTTCTCATAATTCACTTGAATGTGTGCTTACTTTATGTTTTAGGATTAACTAAAAATGCAGCACTGAAATGAACTGCTACCAGTATAAACTGGTAAAACATTGTTAAACTGTGAAAAACCCATTTAAAAGATGACCTCTTGGCTTATTTGCACATATTGCACACAAATGCTAGGAACATCATGAATGTTTGGCATATCGGATACCAGCTTATATCCCCAAACTTCATGCACCTCAATACAATCCTGATGTGCAGAAAGATATAAAGGATCCGTCTCCCATGACCTGTGAGTGACTTTGGGCCAGGTCAGGCCTGGCTGATTACGGTTACGGCCAGACAGGCCTGTTTCTGTCGGGGCTCCAGATGTGGAGTTATATTTGGGTTTGCTCAAGGGTGAGGAAGTGGGGGGAGTGTGCGTGGGAGGTGGAGGTAGGGGGTATGTGATGCGACAAGGCTTGAGAAACAGTGGCGGTGTTGGAGCAGCAGCAAAGGGGTCCACATCAAAGCTTCGGCCTGGCCCTCCCTCTAGGCAGAGGGAGGTGGGAGTGTGTTTGTGAGAGGGGTTTGAGAAAGGGGGATGGTGGGGAGTGTGTCTTAATGCCTGATGGGGGTGAAAAATGTGCTGACTCGTAAAAAGCCAGAACAGCCTCAACTCTGAAAAGCTGCCATAAAAAGAGACTTACAGTACAGCTTCTTCTAATAACGCCTCTTCTCCTCTTTTGACCTTTGCCTACAGCAGTTGTTCCCATTTCTCACCCTTGAGTACCCTTGCCCTGCATGTTCTGCCCACCTCCCCTTCTCTAATGCTTCCTTCAGGTCATCCAGGCAGTTCCGACATACAACTTCAAACAAGAAACAAGACTGATGCACTAGAACTAATGTTTTTCTGCTTACTTTGGTTCTTCTATCTTTAATGAGAGTGTGCTTATTTTGCTTTACTGGAAAAAAAAAATGAGGAGCAGAGGACCTCCGTGAAGCTGAACCCCCAACTGATCAGATATTTACTACCATTTGTTTGTGCTGATTTGTGCTGTGGGAAACATTGTTTGTGCTGGCACCATTTTTGATAAATTAAACATTACATTTTATGACCTGTGACACTCAGCGCCCTTATCAACGTCTAAATCGGACAAACATGTTGTTAAAATAAAACATCTGTGCTATTCTAATTCTCTAGCTACTAAACAATGAGGTTTGACATGTGATGTCACTCAGCCCCCCTAATTAGCCCAAAGGCTACTGTTACTGAAGCTATCCATTTTGTCTTTTTAGTTTTTACTAACTGATGTGAATCACAATGCAAAATATTTTAAGCCCCTGTCTGTGTTTCCACGAAGCCATTTCACGCATAGACGACTTTCAATTTAACAAGCATGACCACAGGTGAGCAAAAATGATCTACCTCGTGCTGCTACAGAATGTTCTCAGGGCTATCAGGGCCGATTCAGAACACAGACAAACAGTACTGATTAAAAGATAACTTGTTAAAAGACAACAGATTGCAAGATAAATAAACTGACTTTTGTGAATCTTATACCCACGGACAGGGCATTTTCAGACATTTAAAGTACCCGTCTTAATGGTCAATGGAAACTACAGGTGATTGACGATAATATCACTAACAAACTCAAGCCTAAAGTCAAGTGTGCTGCTTGCTAGCCATGCTAATCTTGCAGCTCCAGAGCAAAACTAAAGAAATAAACATGTCTTGGCTGATTTATTGTTGAAATAAAGAAAATCTGAACTTGGGCCGAACGACTGTGGATGTTTTGGAGCAAAGAAAACACTAAAATGTGCAGGGAAGGGGGAGATGAACAACACAGACCTACACTGAATTTCACATGGAAACAGGTTTGTGCTTACTACCTCTGTTTTATTTGCATTGTACTAGAGTGGGTGTGGAAAAAGGGGGCTGCACGTGACAGCGCACAGATAAAATCTGGCTCTGGCGGAGGGATCGGAAGTGATTGAAAAACACCCACATCCACATTCCATTCTTGGTCAACTTACTTCATCATCTCCCAACAACAACCAACTCACTGTGAATTCTGTCAGCCAGCCAAATCTGTCTCCCTCCCGCCCTGCCTCCCTCCCTGGGTGCTCAAAACTAACAAAGAATTAGTGCCCTCATTGTGACGAGGTTAGGAAAAGAACGCTCAGGAAGTGAGTCACAGGGACGGTTATGTCACGCCGCCGGAGCTCCTGACCTAGTGTGGGCCGTGCTGTTTCATGCAGGAGAAAGAGGGGAGGGATCTGGACTCAAACTCTGGTTGAGTAAGCTCTGTGGAACACAGCGATCCACACTGCTAAAAACAGCCTGCAGGAAGAAGAATGTGGGCCAGTGGAGCACAGTGACAGTCATCTATTAGCTCGCTACGCAAGCCACGGAAAGAAGAGGTCATGTAAAGTGTGAGAAAATAAAGACAAGGGGCACATCCTGCCATCAAACAACCAAAATGGCACAGTTAAGGACAAGTGAGACAAACCAAGAAGCTGAATTGGCTAGTAGCCTAGTGGTAGGAGGGGTGATGACCAGGTATATCTATACCACCAGATATACCTATACCAGCATTTGATGGTTGGAGGTTCTAACACCAGGACGAATTGGGTTTATCTTTGTATGTAAGGCACTTGACTAGGCATAATTAAGCAGCAAAATGACAAATTTCCCTTGTAGGATCAATGCATAACAATTCATCAATCTGATGTTGCATCTCAGCCAATAATAACAAGAGATAACTTTGTGCCCTGTTTGTTATGCACTACACTCTTAAAAAAGATGGTTCTTTAAGAGCTGTTTAGTAAAGATAGTGACTCTATATAGATCCATGAACAATCAAGATCCATTTGCATGCTTGAATGGTTATTTGCATGTTGAAATAGTTCTTCAAATTGATGGAGAAGATGTTTTGAAAATGGGTCCACATAACATCCAAAAGCGTTCTTCTATTGTTTTAGGTTTAATAGCATAACAACAGAAGCACCCTTTTTGATTCTATATGGAACCTTCCTCAAAAAGGTTCTATATAGAACCATATATGACACATTCTCCATCAATCTGAAGAACCATTTCACCATGCAAAGGGTTTTTCAGTGCTTGAGTGCTCATGGTTCTTTAGACAACCATTGTCTTTACTAAAGAACCCTTGAAGACCTTTTTAAGAGTGTAGGGCTGGCCATTTTCATGATTCAATTGCACTATGGATAGCATAGTGGATAACACCATCGCCCTACACACAGAAGACTGTAGGGTCAACTCACCTATCCTCACATGGATGTCATAGGAATCCTCGTGCAGGATTCTAACCTTTACAAAGGTTAG